AGTTGTACAATGGGTCACGGTTTATGGGGAATCTCCCGACCTAGAAGTAACATTTTCACAGTTGATAAACAATGTTTGAAACCACATTTCTAGATGTAACTTTACATGTAGATTTCAAATATGACATCACTATGACCGAATTCTGAATATTTAATGATGTAAATCAAGACTATTTTTACTCGCATCTAGTCTAATATTTAACTATTATTATTACTCAATATTGAGTTGGAAAAAGAGGACAATGTTTGACAAATGTTTGCAACCAGAAATTTTCCATGGATAACATCAACGGTTTCAATGCTTATATCAATGTTACAATCTTGATTGTGTTCCTAAAGTACAATAGTTCGAAAATCCATGACTTTGATGATTCTTTTTAGATTGACAAACAAAAGCAAGCTTTGGTAAGCGATCAAAAGGGGGAATTCCGACTGCCAAACTTATGGAGGGGGTGTATCAATAAGAATATAGGTGCCCAGGGGGAGATCTCCCAAAGTTCAGCCTTCGTATTCGATCATGTGGTACCCATGTGCTAGATCCATATAAGGCTTACCTGACCATATAGGAATCCAACTAACCATTGTCCGCCATTTTGAATATCATGTGATAGATCCATATAAGGTTTGTATGATCATATAGGATGGCTAAGGAGAATCCCCGAATACGAAAGAATATGATAGTATTATGGGAGCTACTCACTTCTTCTGATAGGTGCCTGTATTTTTTTGATTTGGAAAGCAATACCGTCTGTTGGTAGTTTGATAGAATGATTGAATTTTACAAGTAGCCTACACATTTATCATATCTGTAATGAGTAACTAAAATGACCTAAGCTATATGATGTATGTTCACCGTATACGATAAGGTATGTAATTGTTATTCTTGTTTAATGGTACCGACTTAATGCAGGCCCGTAGCCAGAATTTGCCAAGGGGGGTTCACTTTTTGGAAAATTCCAGGGGGGTTTCACTTTTGACAATTCTGGTCCAAAAATGGCCAAAATCACTAAATAAGTGCTTAGAATGGTGAAAAACTGCATGATTTTGAAAGAATTTTTGGCCAAGGGGTTCCCTCGAAACCATCGCCCCCCCCCCCCCCCCGGCTATGGGCCTGTAATGTGTTCATTAATTGTAAATATATAGTGACACGTATCTCGTAAAGTGCTAGACAAATTCGCTAGATATTGTATATAGAATTTTCTGTTTTGTAATTTTAGGTATACAGATTAATTTTCTGCACAAAGTGATAGGTAGACATAAACTACTTTCAATTCACAAAAGGTCCAAAAGAATTTTCATATGATGAGCAAATATAGCCTTTGAAATATCAGTTCTATTGAAAGCTATGTGTCTAATCTTAATATCAATACCAAAGAAAGGAAACGTGATTGGATTTTGAATTGATCAATAGGAACTGTACCATCGCTCCAAAAAGTATGGGTTCGATATCGATATCAATTAAAAAATCGAGAAAGTGTCAACTAAATCGAATTGATAATTAAATGTCTTGTCCGAGTACCTGCTACAGAAAGGTGCAAATTGTGCATTTGAAAAGTCACGCATGAACAATTATGGTTCGGATTGACTTTTAGAGTCTGTGTTTGCTAGCAATACCAAGCGTCATAAGTATAAGAGCTATGGATAATACTTGTATCTTACAATATGCTAATTGAAAATAAAGAATAAACAGGTAAAATTTGTCAAGAGTCCAGTTAGATTTAAACAAGATAACAAGTTTGCCTTGCATTGCACACATTTTGCCTCGCATTCGTTTTCAGCGCTGGTGATGTAAAACGTTTTGTTCGATTTCTTTGAAAACTCGTTGACAATCGTGATCCGCTCGATTACGCTGGTTACCAAAACGGTTCGTTTTGGTAACAAAATGTCGGAACGTCGAAGGTACGATTTTTCTTTTTTCCTTATTTCACGCGTTGTAAATGAAAATGTTGCTAATCAGAATAGCGTTAATCTTCACATCAGACTTTGACAAATACTTGAAAATGTTCATACATTACATGTGGGAACACATTGAAATCGAGAAATTCAATGGCAAAATGGCAAATAATCCAACTCCAAGGTTTATACTTACCGTTGCTCAGACATGCATATCGAATATTTCCCGATTACCATTACAGGTACTTATGATATAATTCCTTTATTAAAGCCACACACACGCATTTTAGAGGGATTTCAAGAAATACTTCTCAAGAAAATAGTCTTACCTTTGTATTAAGATGGGTTTAAGTGCCAAAAACAGCTGATCCATCCATGGATATACAGGGTGTCCAATAAATAAAGTGAAAGATATTGCAACTTTCTTAATATTGCACCAATCTTGATGAAATTTTCAGAGTTTGTAGCCCAAACCTATTTACCTTTATTCTGTGAATTTAAAGCGTCTTCTATTTGATTGGCCAGAGTTGTGGTTGCTATAGCAACCGAAACAACAAAATGGCGGGGCAAGTTTGTTTACGTCACAACTTTCCAAAACATTTATTCTTTCTGATAGCTTTATTCATACTCCCAGGTCTATTACTATCACAAATACAATATAAAAACAGTCCTAAAGTCCCATTGTTATAAAAATAAGCTATTCAACATAATGTCCATCTCTAGCTATACACTTCTTATGCCTATTCACCCACTCTCTAAACACACTTTCAAACCCATTCTTGCCCATTTCCTGAAGTCTTGTTGAGACATGTAAGTGGCCCAATGGATAAGGCTCTGGAGACGCCCAAGCACACTTTTGTTGGTTCGAACCCCGATTTCTTTTTTATTATCTCTGGACCACAATATTTTTTCAAATCTCTTTTTATATAACATATAGTCATATCTATTACTTTTGGGGGTTTTAGATCATAGATACATCGTCTGTGTGTTACTTTAATGTTCCAGATATATGAGCAACGGTGTACACCAAATATGTACTTTTCACCTTACTCAATGTAGGTGGAAAAACAATTAGTTGATTTAAAAAAACAATAGATAAAACTGATCAGTGCTGATGAGATAAATGTCTTTAATGTCTTGATTACTATCTTATAAGCAGCAGCGAATGTAGCAGGTTCAATGTGGGACCATCGAATTCAAATTCAATAAAACCTACACAAATGTTACGTCTTTAGCCTTATCTTTGTACTTGTCTTCAAAGGAAATATAGCAATGGTCTCTTCTGATGGCTTTTTATTAATTACATTGTATTAATCCATGATATATCCAATTCCTATCGCTACGGGAGGTCAAATTCACGAATTACAATTATAGTTTCGATTGTATAATTCCTTTTTGGGGAACATTGTGACTTTATTTAATCAGAGAAACCGAAAATCGAATCCTTAACCTCCAACTGGCGTTTTGGCTATTGATCATTGGTATTTATTTCGTTTTTGTCTGTTATAGCATACGGTCATATCGATAATTAATTATAGTCGCAGGTCATTTGCTGGAACTGGAGATTACAAAGTATTTTTATGACGGGGGTATTGTACTTTTATTTTGCCAAACGTGTCTGTGTCTGGTTGTGGTATTGAATAAGTATGGAATTAAAGATTTAAGGTGCAGAATGCCCTTGCTTAACTTAACAACGAGATTTCTCTTCTAAAGAAATTCCACTTGTTTGTTAAATTATCAACAGATATATTTCATATCCATTTTAGACCAGGATGGACTGATCTTACTTTTTCTCTACTAATCAATTTAAATACATATTAACCATAATTGCTTAATGCGTTATTTGTTGATCTCATTCAAGGCACGGATATATTTAATTTTTCTATATTATTTGTATTGTACAAGTTGACAAGTTCAAACATTTCAGTAATTAAAGAAAGTACTGTACATAAAAAGTACAACAGTCTATTTGTATATGGTAATACGGGCTTATCTGAAATCAATTTGTTATATCATTGCATAATTTAAAGTATCTAATTGCAAAAATAGTAAATAAGTCATGATTTAGTATATACTCGTACTCCATGATGTGTAAATCAACTACAAACTTTGACCTTGACCCAGGAATGTAATTTAAGAGGTCATTCGTTAAACAATACACCATCAGACACACAACTTGCGATCAATGAAATATAAAAACTTTTATTAAAAAACTAATTACATATAAACGTTTCATAAAGTACCGATTATTTTTCCCGGGAGTGTATTCACTTATCTGGCTGTTAAAAATCTTCTGTCGCTTATTTATAATGAACTGACTGGGAAACTTCGTGAGTAAAGTAGTAAGTGGACGTAATTTTTGTAAAGAAATGACTACAGATCTAAAAGTATGAAGTTAATCATACAACTTCGAATGTCACTGTCGGTCATGAAAAGAAGTGTTTAAAGATAATTACTAAGTACATGAGATGGATTCCATTTTAAACATTTGAATTACGATAACGAATGGAACTATCTGGGAACCAATAATGCATTAAGTTCTTGATGAAAAGTAATTCAAACTTTCTTGAATAAAAAACAATTAAATCCACATCAATATATAGATCGCAATCGGCCAGTGAATGATAACCTAGAAAGAGATTGCGCTCGTAGAGCGATGAAATTTGTTGGTCGGTGTGAATCTACTAAAAGCCTACTCCATATGGAAAGGCAATCAAACAATAGAGTGGATGAGATCTAAAACAACCAATCAAGATATAACACAAAAATTGATCGAATTCATACATTGGGATAACTATATTGGAGTGTAATTGTTTTATTGGGATATAGCCGCATCAACTAAAACAAACGCTGGTGAAGAATTAATAGATTAAAACGATATTATTCCCACTGATATAGCACTCTCGGTATTAGGAGAACTTTATACAGAGAAGAAACAATTCAGACCGTGATTTAGAGTCCTCATTAGAAGTCCAAACGTTCGCAATTTCAATGAAGCATTCTCATTTTAAAGACAAAATACTTTCAAGAGCTGTGTTTTATAGTAGCTGTCAATATTTCGTCAGGACATCTTTTTAAATGCGATTGCAACATATTGCGACTTGATAAAAGATTGCCAATTTGTAAAAGTGATCATGAACATAAACAACGGCTAGCACATACATGATGATCATGCACAAAATGTACACACGGAAAAGAAAATAAACGTTTAGATTTCTTCATAAAATAATAGCGAGTCTCATCTTAACTTTACGATGTCGGCACCGAACGTTACTAAGTCGAATTTGAATTTTACCGAGTTACCATTTAACGTTAGTGATTCAAACATGAGCGTAACGGAGTCGCTGTTGTACGATGACGAAGCACAAGAATTTGACAACGAAGAAAAAACGTGGATGTTCGGGGCACCGTTGCTTCTTGTGTTTGGAACAATTAGTAACATTCTCATCATCATCGTATTAATGAGGAAGAAATTCCGTAAATCTTCGTGGGGACTGTACTTGACGACTTTAGCCGTTTGCGACACTCTCCTGCTGTATATGTTCAGCTTGGACTCTTGGCTTCAAATCGTCTTCAAGGTTTGGATATCGGATGAAACAGTCGCCGGGTGCAAGGTGTATCGATTCGTCAGCTACTTTCTTGTCCACTTTGTCGCCTGGATTCTCGTAGCGGTCAGCTGTGAGCGTATTGTATTCATCTACTTCCCCATGAAGGCTAAGATTGTCTGTCGAAGGCGAACTGCTTGTATTGTTTTGGGAAGCATTGCATTTATCCTCACTGGAGTGAACGCTCATATCTTCTGGACGTTCTCGCTCACAGAATATGATGGCTTTTATTATTGCGACCTCGTGGATAATATCGCTGAGTTGATGGGTCCTCAGTTTGTGATTATATTCTTATGGCTTGACCTCAGTATTGCGTCTCTTGTGCCCTTTATCTTGATGATTACCTGCAATATTACAATTATTGCGCGGTTAATCCAGTCTGATCGCCAACGACGTGCAGCGACATCTGATGGCGCCCAGAAAAGTAGCACGACATCTATCGCTATCATGTTAGTCTCTACCGCCACGATGTTTTTAATACTGACCCTCCCTGTAGCTATCTGCATGGTGTTATCACTCAATGATGAATTCACCTCTACTGGCAACAACATGGACAATCTGTATTTTGCCAAAAGAATTGCAGAGTTCGTACAACAGATCAACAGTGTGTTGAATTTTTGGCTGTATTGCCTGACTGGAAAAGCCTTTAGGACAGAACTGAAGGCGATGCTTTGCTGTGGAAGATTTAGTCGCACACCAGGGGTCTCTAACGCTTACGTCACGCGCTCCACTTCTGCAACCACTCAAGTTGAACACAAACCTAAAGACGTGAAAACGAATGGTCAAGACAATACCGTTAAAAAAGCACAAGACGATACCAAACTCTGATTTATTACTCTGTATTCAAGACGCTCGAAAATATATATTATTTTGTTGTGTAAATGTGTAATTCACAAGCTTATCATCTAGTCTAGATCTGTTATCAAGATGGCCTTTGAATGATTTTCTTTTTAAAATATTGTAAATTCATTACATATATCTCAATAGAATGCTAAAGCATCAATAAATGAAGGATAAATGATAACTATTTTTTGCGTATGTTTTACGAAGTGTTACGAATGGCTACTTTTATTCGCCAAAATGCGTTGGGTCTCGCAAAAAACGTTGATCTCCCGGTCAGCGATTAAAAAACGCAAATAATTAAATTCAAATATGCCTTCAAATAGAAGAAAATGTTTTCCGACGAATAAGATTTATTCCAACGGATGTAAACGCTCACAAACTCATCCAAACTAACATCTTCAACGATGTTCGACGTACACATGACTTACACTACACGTAGCTACATTTCAAAATCTCTCTTTGGGAAGCGTAATTTGGCAGAAATTCCCGGCATGTGAATACCATTTTCACGAGAGTGATTTGCAGGTAGATACCATTTTCGTGAGAGGGATCAAACTGTTCTCCGTTGTTATTCACCTGGAAGTAGTAGTATCGACAAACGTACTTAACTAAGAGGAGGGAAAACCCCATGATTCAATTATTAATGACAAACAATTTCGTCCTTTGTGCACCTCCTTTCCCGGAAGTACTTATCCTCCATCTTGGTTTTCAACGTTTTCAAATTGACCTAGTTTTAAACCAATCAACGATCGACTCGCTGAACCAATCAGCGACGATGTCATCTCAATATAGATTTACATTATAAGCGTATGTCATCTTTGAACTCTGGGGTTTCTCCCCCTCTTTACTTAACTCATCACCTTTAATGCATCATTTCCGGTTGTTATTGTGATGTGTTATCATCACGATTTGACCAAGTGCTACATTTACCAATAAAAACATGTTCCATTAAGATATAAGGCTAAAGCAGTAGATTGATGGGATGTCGAAACAAGATATAACAAATTCAATGGATGAATCTAGTACAGTTAAGATAATACTGCTAAAACAAATAAAAGTGTTGGATTAATGGATTAAAACGATAACCCTGGTATTGACATAATAATAATTGCCGCGAAGTGTAGATTGACGTAGATGTCCGAAAGTTGTCTTCATTGTTTTTTGTGATTATCCTTTTTCACTCTGACTTCCTAATTAAAGATTGACATTGATTTTTATGTAGATTTTTGCACCATAACACCCCAGTCACATTTGCTACGGACGCCGTGCGGTTACCATTTCTGCGGTCAGTAACATTTCTACACTCGCCGTAGAATTTCTGCGGTCAGGTACTTTTGCAGTCACATTTCCTACGGCAGCCGCACGGCGAATTTTGATGATTTAATAAAACCACGGTTGTCATGCGGCCTTTTAAATGATAAATCACGGTCGCCGTAAGGTCTCCCTACAGAGGGCGTAGTTTTTTCGGATACAAAAGCAGATGCAATGTGGACCTTCGGCAAACGTACGTTGACCATACAGAAATGTCGTACAAACGTTAATGCTCAGTTTTGTAATAATTACATCATAATGTAAGTGCAATTTATAAATGATAGTTAAAGTGCTAGGATATAAAGTCAAATAAAAAGTGATGAGAGAAGCCAAGACCCCGAGTAACTTAGGGAATCTGGTCACATATTATGACAACTCTAGTAAATGCTATTACGCCATGCCCCCAAAAGAAGCAACGCGTGTTAGAGGAAAGAAAGAACAACGATGCCATTCCTGATGAATAAGGTGAGGAAGAGGAAGATGATTTGCCTGCCATTCAGAAGAGTGTATACAATAGAATTTTATGAGGCCCATTCATACCTGTTTGACATCCGCCATAAAAAATACCGCAATAACAAAAAGATGGGGGTCCAACTAAACACGAATAACTGTTAAGTTAGCCTTGTACCAGATGTTTGAAAATCAAGGATTGTGAGTCTCCTACACCACCGTTTTCCTTCAAACTTGGAAGCAAAACAGAAATGCCTTAATGTTGGTACATAACTCTGTTATACAGGGCGCTTCTCACAGCTGAAGACCCAAACGCCGCTACTAAATGGAGGGACTCAATACAATAAACCAATGGGTCAAGATTGCAGTAGAAAATCCCATTGACGACCATTATAACGTTTCATTCCATAATATATTCATGGGCACAGATCTAGCTCAGCGAAACAGTGCCCAGTGTTCATTGGAGTCTTGTCTAGCTTGCCGTTACAAAATAAGCATACGGTGACCACACCGTTTTTGAGATAACTGAATCTGGAAAGAGCTACAACCGTAAAGCTACAGGTACCTGTTTCAGAAATTTATTCTGCTCTACATAGTCTCAAAAATCACTCCGCCATCTCTAAAAATTCTGTTTCTAACCAAACTTGTAAATGTTTCCTGATAGATTAGTACTTACCCTATCGAGAATAAACCTTGATTCATTTATCAAACACTAGATGGCGCTGCGACGGGACAGAAAAGGAGAAAAAGCTTTTTTATACAGAAAACCAAATAACCAACGGTAACCGCTAGTATCCCTACTCCGGACTATATTCTAATAGTGACACGGTTGAATGATTTTGTGCCAGAAATCTTGTTTTTCTTAAACATTAGAGTGTTTCAAGACTTTTTGTGCAATTTAAGCCCAATCGCACCATTAGAAGAGCTTTTATAGCTGCTTTGTTAACCCCGGGGTCATTTATTTTACGGCCATGCAGTTTTATACCTAACTGACCATTTTTGCAATAGAAATACTGCTACTCGCTATGGCTTAACAAAAATTCACAATATTTAGCTTGTCAAAACGTTTATTCGTACTTCCATGATGTTTATTGCCAAAATCACTGAACCATGAAACAAAAAATGGTCAAATCTAGTCATTTTTGATCAAAGATTACCCCAATTTATCCATTATTTAGTGATTAATTTTCAGTCAATGAGCGTCTATATTAAATTATCATATCAGTTTTGCATAGCAATGTTCTTGTTTTAATTACATGCAAATTAGTAACTGTTTTCAGCCACATTTAGTCATTCTATGGGGTTAAATGTGTCAATTTTGTCATATATTTTCCAGAAAAATTCAGACACAAAGGAAAAGCTGTATTACATGCTATGATAATGGCTAAATGCTTAAATTCGGTAATAATTTGATAAAAGCCTGTCAACAACCTCTTAAAACCAGCACTAACAGCCCTCTTGTGCTATCCTATAACAAAATACAGGCCAAAAATGGTTAAAACCTGTGATTTTTAGGTAAAAAATGAAAAATGCTGAATCAGCGAAAATCTAAATGGCTAATTCTTCGGATAATTTTATTTTTCTTAGAGATGCAAGGTACACATTGCTAAGAAAGTGTAATTTTTACAAAAATAACGCTATTTCCGACCCTAGTACTGTCACCACCCTGTTGCTAATAGGGTCAAGATTGCAGTAAAAAATCCCATTGACGACCATTATAACGTTTTATTCCATAATATATTCATGGGCACAGATCTAGCTCAGCGAAACAGTGCCCAGTGTTCATTGGAGTCTTGTCTAGCTTGCCGTTACAAAATAAGCATACGGTGACCACACCGTACCGTTTTTGAGATAACTGAATCTGGAAAGAGCTACCACCGTAAAGCTACCTGTTTCAGAAATTTATTCTGCTCTACATAGTCTCAAAAATCACTCCGCCATCTCTAAAAATTCTGTTTCTAACCAAACTTGTAAATGTTTCCTGATAGATTAGTACTTACTCTATCGAGAATAAACCTTGATTCATTTATCAAGCACTAGATGGCGCTGCGACGGGACAGAAAAGGAGAAAAAGCTTTTTTATACAGAAAACCAAATAACCAACGGTAACCGCTAGTATCCCTACTCCGGACTATATTCAATGCACCGGCAGAAAGGCAATTTTGTTTTGCTTTTTCTCATAAATCCCTGGCAGTGCTATTCAAGTGAGTGCCATTCTTCAACATAATCCGAGACACTACATGGGCATTCGGCTTTAAATGCCGTGCGTAACATCACTATGATTTTATTTTCACTGTAAGCAATTTTCACTGTAAGCAAAATCAACTTATTTTAATGGCGGGAGAAATAAAAAGAGGAAATCTTTTTAATAAATCCAAAATTATAACAAAATTTATTTTTGAGAATCTCTAAAATTATTTTTAGGCGTAGGAACATTAAATATTGTAAATGAATGGTTAAAACATGTTTTAAAACTTCGCATAGTGCCTTTAAAGCAGGTTTAACGTCGCCCTTACATTCTAAAATAAAGCATCAGATGCAACAAATATACAATCATGTGGTTACCTAAGGAAGAACTTTTAGAACACGTCTAATATAAAATCCACACATGCAACTTACACATGGAAATCTATCGCGCGTGATACACCAATATACATATGTAATATATGTACATGTATATGTTTTTTCATTCAGAATTAGAATATTAAATTAAAATTAGAACGTCGTATGTGTAAAGTGTTGCAATTCGTGATAAAAAGGGATAGGCCTACTGTATATTATTTATTTTATAGAAATATATTTATCTTGTCAACCGTTACTTTTAATATATGTAACTATGTGAATATATTTATTCCTATAGGAAAAGTGACACATTCCAAACCAATTAACAAATTAATCCAGCGCTGGATTTGTTCATTTCATGCATTTTTTATCTTAACGCGTACGCAAGTATAGATATACTGTCATCCGACAAAGTATAAGTACAAGGATATTAACACATTAGCTACCTTGATGTAGAACGTCAACAGGCCTCGGGTCTCCAGTGATTAAATAAGTATAATTTCCATTTGATTTACTCACATGGCAGGGGATGGAAACGCATGGGGAATTTTCGTAGCGTACAACAGGAAATACTTTACGACAGCCGACATTTTCCTTGACACATTCCAATATAAACATGCAAAGGTAGTTGTAGCTTTATTTAGACGTCTTTAAATATTGTAAATGAATACAGTCGGCGACTTTTCGCTTCGAAGTGTTCATTAATACATGTATACTTCTTTTCGGCTGGTTTTATGAAGCCGTCTCCTGCGGGAAAAAATTGTAAGACTTTCAAAGAATAATCGGTTTGTCAATCACATTTCTGCTCCGAAACTGTACGAATAACATAATCAATAGGAAACATGATTTTCTGGATTGGTCTCTTCAGCAGCTATCGTTGCCATTCTTACTGATAACAAGAAAAATAAATGTACGTTGTACGGTTTACATCGATCACTCGATTCAGTTGTATTTCCTTTTTTAATATTCACAAAGTACACATTTACTCACAATAGCCCAATGATTATTCTTTGGAAACGTTTTGACATAACAAATTCAAGAGGTGGGTCTGTGGCCAAAGCTTCCCTCTGTCCATGGACAGGAAATTGAAATGCGAATTCGATATCTAAATATAGTATCAAAACAATTTACCACGAGATAAGTACGTCGTAAATTTTCACAATTTTTTAACAAAAATGAATAATAAAACACTGAGTATGAAGTGCCAAAAATCTAAAGGAATTCATAGATAGCGTCTTAATATAACATAAAAATACATTGTAAGACAAAGTGGTTTAAACTTTACATCGGGCCTTTAAGCCTCTAATTGAACATATATATACATGTACAACAACGTAAGATGTAGAAATACAATGATTTAATGCAATAAATACAATGGTTGCACTTGAACAAAAAGAGATCATTCGAAGACCGCCCAAAGTAACCTAAATCTAGACTGATTAACAAAGGACATCGTGACAACATTGGATATACTGTACATGTAGATTCTAATTAGTCAACGTGGTTTGAACTTAACACGGGGCATTTGAAATATCTAATCAAATAGACAACGATCATAAACATGTTTGGCCAAAAAAACATCCATATTTTGAAATACATGCATTTTTAATATCGAAATAAAAATATGGACTTTTTTGCCCACCCTGTTTCTAAGAACAGGACTGTTACACATTATGAAATCATAGTTTGGTATGTTCTTGTCCATTTTTAACTGTGTGATTTTGACCATTTACTTTCATATGCTTTAATGCAGGATTATGTTCCATTGCAGTCGTTGCAGTTACGGAACGCGTGACGTAAGCGTTAGAGACCCCTGGTGTGCCACTAAATCGTTCACAGCAAAGCATCGCCTTCAGTTCGGTCCTAAAGGCCTTTCCAGTCAGGCAATACAGCCAGAAGTTTAACACACTGTTGATCTGTTGTACGAACTCTGCAATTCTTTTGGCAAAATACAGGTTGTCCATGTTGTTGCCGGTAGAGGTGAATTCATCATTGAGTGATAAAACCATGCAGATAGCTACAGGGAGGGTCAGTATAACAAACGTCGTCGAAGTAGAAACAAGCATAATGGCGATAGATGTCGTGTTACTTTTCTGGGCGCCGTCAGATGTCGCTGCACGTCGTTGTCGATCAGACATAATTAATCGTGTAATAATTGCAATATTACAAGCTACCATAAATAAAAAGGGAACAAGAGACGCAATACTAAGGTCCAGCCATAGAAATATAATCACAAACTGAGGACCCATCAACTCAGCGATATTATCCACGAGGTCGCAATAATAAAAACCATCATATTCTGTGAGCGAGAACGTCCAGAAGATATGAGCGTTCACTCCAGTGAGGATAAATGCAATGCTTCCCAAAACAATACAAGCAGTTCGCCTTCGACAGACGATCTTGGCCTTCATGGGGAAGTAGATGAATACAATACGCTCACAACTGACCGCTACGAGAATCCAGGCGACAAAGTGGATCAAAAAGTAGCTGACAAATCGATACACCTTGCATCCGGCGACTGTTTCATCCGATATCCAAATCTTGAAGACGATTTGTAACCAAGAGTCTAAGCTGAACATATACAGCAGGAGAGTGTCGCAGATAGCTAGGGTCGTCAAGTACAGTCCCCACGAAGATTTACGGAACTTTTTCCGCATTAACACTGCGATGACAAGAATATTACTGATTGTTCCAAACACAAGAAGCAACGGTGCCCCGAATATCCACGTTTTTTCTTCGTTGTCAAATTCTTGTACTTCGTCATCGTACAATAGCGATTCGGTTACGTTTAATTGCGACTCACTTAACTCTACCGTTGTCTCGCTAAAGTTCAATGAAGACTCATTTAAGATAGGATACGACATCGTTGAGTTCAGAGATGACATACTCACAAAAACGCTGTTTATGGTTAATGGTTAGAGCTAAGTGATTATAGAAACGTGGGTATCAGTGTGAAAGAAGGTGACAATCACATACCAACTAGAAGCCATAGATCCAACTTTTCCTATTGTCTATAGATTCTATAAAATCGGTCAATCCTTTTTGTTTTCCTTTGTTTCGTTATTTTTTATCTCATTCACTTAACTGTTTGATATTAATGTTCTAATTGCTTGAAGGTATATCATATTCCCTATCAAAGTAGTATCATTTACTCAACTGACATCCTCTTTCTTAACTGCCTTAAGATCGAAAACTCATTCCAGGATATCGTTCACTGGTCAATTCACTTATTAAGTAATTGCGGCATCTTGAAAGTAAATGTTTAATCTATATTAATGTAAATAGGTTTAATGAACATTGTCGATCCCTGGACCTGATTATTTTGTTCCTGGCCGTGACCATATTAATTACATGTTAAGTGATTAAAGTGAAATACTGTCACGTATTTCTTTAACGATCGCTTCATTTCTGTAATCGGGTAGCAACTAGTTTTGAATTTTCTCGTGTTTTATTCCTTGCCAGCTAAACACATATTCAAGCTATTTTACATTGTGAAACAAAACTATCTGAAAGCTTTACGTCTACCCTTCTCGTAATCATTCTATAAGCGATAGAGGATTGTTTAAGTCTTAGATAAATTAATACACTCCAGGGGAAAATATCGATATTTTCAATTTATTTCTGATTTGTGCGTATGATTCTTCAATTTTGTCAATGTTGGTTTTCATCATTAACGACTAATGTGTCCGTAGATAAATCGTTTATCAATTGACCTCTCAACTTCCTGCAAGTTACTAAATCACTATGATTGTAAATGTACCTAAAAATAATTTCCGAATGGAAAGATCCAATGTAATCGAAATATTACCCTCAAAATATATTACAGTTTTGTTGCATAATGATTCGCTATTTATCTTTTTCGAATTTAACAATTGAAGGGGTTGTGGTAAAATGAATTGATTTAAGAGATCTCACATGATATTACATTACCTATCAAATATTATGCACTGTGCCATATATTAAGTACGTATAAATACTCATAAGCATTTTCAATAATTACAGGTATGATTAAAGTCTCAGAGTCAATTGTTCTAATATTGGTAATTCTAATCACCTCTCTTTAGACAGGATTACGTTGGGGTTATGATGAATTTAATAGAGTTTGGTAAATAGTTACATCAATTATTTTCAAAATATTTTCCATCGGTATTATATTTCGATTAAGACATCAAAGCTTCATAATTAAAAGCTTAGATATGGATTTTTGTGGACCACGACGTTGGTATTTCGAATATATGTTGATCTTTGGCACCCTCGTCGACTTAGGGACTTGGTCCTGTACTGGTATCTCAACAGCTAATTTTGATGTCGAGAAATTAAATGTGGAATCTACCCGACCTAGAAATCGTTTTTTAAAGAAAACTTACATTTAAAAGTTGACAAAAATTCCTGAAACTATATTTTTGGTGTACTGTATGGTGTACAGTAAGGACTGAGTATATTGAATATTTTCGCCGAGAAAAAAAAACGTTCAGTGTCGGTAGGTGTTCACTATAGAGAGGGTGATTTAGACAGAAGTCAGTATAGGGTATGCGCAGAGGAAGGGTGTTCACTAGAGAAATGTGTTCACTAAAGAGAGGTTTTCACTAAGGCAGGTTTTACTGTACGTAAATTTCGAATACGATATCACTTTTTAATATTTATATTATGAATGTCTAGTGGTTCATCTGTAAAATCTGTCTCTAAATAAAAACGTTAGGAACGATTTTGTATAAATTGTAGTGTTCGTTAGAAAACCAAATGCTCTGTCGGTAGCAGTAAATTGTTTTTTGAACAGTTTGACGAATGCAAACACATGCGGTTTTCCCAGTTATGTTTGAACCAAAGAGCTATCTAGAGAACTAAGCTTTACTAGTGGAGAATTTATCTTTTTTAAATGATGCTCATTGTGTTTTATCCATTATTACAAGATGTGCCTTCGAAATAAAAATATAAATATGCATTAGGCTAGTAATATCAATGATATAGCCTGTCTAACGTACACACGTGTTTCTAACGGAATACATGAATGTGTTTTAGTTTGAGATTAACATGCATGAATTTGAAGGGATCCATGATCAATCAAAATTCAGACTCTAATGCCCGGGTCACATTTGCTCCGATTCATCGGCCGGCGCCCGGCCGATTGAGTATTATGTTCACAATTGTATTTAGAATAAAATAATCAATCGGTCGGGCTCCGGCCGATGAATTGGAGCAAATGTGACCCAGGCATTACAGATGTACAGGTAACTCTCAGATTTCACTTTGATAATGTTAGGAACATGGCATTCGTTCGATCGGTGGTAGTTACACAGGGTTACGGTATCACTAACAATAGAATGATCTCAATCTCCGATTATGCTGCAATGTACTCATGTGTTTTATTCTTGTGATCTCAACATAAGACAAATGATCTAACAACGAGTCGAAGATGGCTATGATAAAGAATTACAAAGTAAAACAATGATAGACAATGTTGAGTTAATGAGTACAATGGTTTCCAAATCTGACCCCATTCAATTTAGTGCATGCATGTAGTCAACTTTTACAATTTCATATAGTCATAATACTACTTTAAAAAGGATCAATAAAGATTACTTGAAAAGTCGAAAAAACAATTTACTAGATAAGGTCTCATAATAGACCTTCTTTTCCATATATTTGCACATCATGTGGAAACCTATAGACTAAGTGAATTCAAAGTTAAGCGTAGGGCCATTAATTATTGTAGCTCCAAAAACCTTTTATTGAAAATCAGGTATAGACAAACAATTCCTTATCAGAATATCCAGAGCAATTAACCATTAACTCCTACGCAAGATAGGTTACATTGTTTTCAGAAATAGAGTTAAAAGGGACTATTGTGACCATATTTTGCACCTTTCTTTTCAATTAACGTTGATATTTGTGCAACCCCACATTCTATTCAATCTAGTTTTGATAGATAGCTGAATTATCTGAAACTACATTGGAAACAAACTACAATATCAGGAAAATCTGGGATGGACTTGAGAAGTTTTCCAGATCTGGTTGATTTGACATGGTTAACCAAAAAACACGTACATTGTAGTTGTATTCTTATATATTCAATAGTATAAAATCATCATTATTACTACTTTACATGTAGTTATTTATATACATTTTTATAGTTAATAATTAAAATAAAAATAGAAAAATTTTGCACAATGGGTTATAGCTAAAACGTATCCGCAACCTACATATCGTTTTAATCGAACTGCTTCGCATAAATCTGGTGAATGAGCTATGGATTTTAGATACGTTAAGCTAAAAATGTTGTACAAAACCTTTCTATTATCTGTGACAAACTACTTTCACGTGAAAAAATGAACTCAACAAATTCAATATCATTGAAGTGGAAATCGACATTGATGCCGAGTTTTTTATCCCTATCAAAAAATTTAACACAATTCTCTAAAGACAAAGTATTCACTCATTTATAATTTATAAGCCAACTGTCATGATATCTGTCATCATCTTGATTGTCTTGCCAAGGATGTCTATCTGCTTTGGTCTTGTAGAGTGTACATTGAAATATTTAATTGAAAGCAGTACAGTAAAAGCACCATGATTTCCCTTGACTATGCGACTATGTGAAATGTATCACTTTTACTGCAAGGCATTTATATATTCTGTTATATATATATTCTGCAGGGTATAATAAATGATAATAATGGCTCTTCAATCCAATCTGTTAATAGAGGATTTCGATGAAAGCACAACGTATGTTTATGCGTATAGCTATTGGTTATACAAGTGAATTGAAATGTGGCGTTTTGCAAAAATATGTACTGTATTATGCAAAAATAAACACTGATATATTCGCCATCTATTGGCAGCGGCAATGGGAAATGATTCCCTTGGTCATCATGTTAAAAATGCGATTACTCATGATGTATGACATTTATAAGAACGTCCCTATTTGCAGTCATTAGTCAACGCCTGGACTTGGTTTATCATAGCAGTAAATGCCCTTCACTTTCCCATTTGACCTAAACAGTCTTGTATGACTTTTATTAGATCGTCCCTTTTTGCACAGTAATTAGTCAATGCCTGGACTTGGTTTATCATAGCAGTAAATGCCCTTCACTTTCCTATTTGACCTAAACAGTCTTGTATGACTTTTATTGGAACGTCCCTATTTGCAGTCATTAGTCAACGCCTGGACTTGGTTTATCATAGCAGTAAATGCCCTTCACTTTCCTATTTGACCTAAACAGTCTTGTATGACTTTTATTGGAACGTCCCTATTTGCACAGTCATTACTTAATGCCTGGACTTGGTTTATCATAGCAATAAATGGCCTTCACTTTCCCATTTGACCTAAACAGTCTTGTATGACTTTTATTAGGACATCCCTATTTGCACAGTCATTAGTCAACGCCTGGACTTGGTTTATCATAGCAGTAAATGGCCTTCACTTTCCTATTTGACCTAAACAGTCTTGTATGACTTTTATAAGAACGTCTCTATTTGCACAGTCATTATTCAACGCCTGGACTTGGTTTATCATAGCAATAAATGGCCTTCACTTTCCCATTTGACCTAAACAGTCTTGTATGACTTTTATTAGAACGTCCCTATTTGCAGTCATTAGTCAACGCCTGGACTTGGTTTATCATAGCAGTAAATGGCCTTCACTTTCCTATTTGACCTAAACAGTCTTGTATGACTTTTATAAGAACGTCTCTATTTGCACAGTCATTATTCAACGCCTGGACTTGGTTTATCATAGCAATAAATGGCCTTCACTTTCCCATTTGACCTAAACAGTCTTGTATGACTTTTATTAGGACATCCCTATTTGCACAGTCATTAGTCAACGCCTGGACTTGGTTTATCATAGCAGTAAATGGCCTTCACTTTCCTATTTGACCTAAACAGTCTTGTATGACTTTTATAAGAACGTCTCTATTTGCACAGTCATTATTCAACGCCTGGACTTGGTTTATCATAGCAATAAATGGCCTTCACTTTCCCATTTGACCTAAACAGTCTTGTATGACTTTTATTAGAACGTCCCTATTTGCACAGTCGTTGGTCAACGCCTGAACTTGATTTATCATAGCAGTTAAAGCTCTTTTCTTGCCATTCTTGTATTGCCGCACCTGAAATAAAAACCAGTATATTATCATTCTATTATTAGTCCTACATAATAAGGATGAAATTAAAGGAATTAGAAGGAGTTGGCAAATGCCAGTAGCAATTGTTTCAAATATCATACTGATGTTTTTCTTAGCCTACAATCCTAAATTTTATTTTCTGAAAAAAAAGAGATCTGATCAGATATTGAAGTAACTGAATGTCTATCTTTACAAGTATCCAATTTTGATGTATCAATTCCTTTTCTTTGTTATGTTTTCACATATTAATCTATTTTTCTGTTAAAAGTCTATGAAACATGAAGGATTTATCTTTCACAGATTATAATGACAAAGAGCATTTACATGCAGAATGGACCAGAATGACGACTATGTATCACCATCAGGGGCCTAGCAAGGATCTAAAACCAGGTGAGGCAAAATAACAGGCAAGATAAAATTTGTCTAAACGAGGTGCATAATACCTACAGTAACATTAGGTTAGTAGTTTTCATTTCAACATAGATATCCTTAGATGCCTTGCTTGTCTATACCATGACATCAAACAAAGTGCAATTAAAAACAACTAAACAGTGCTTAGATTATACAGTATCTTACTGTTTTAGGCTGTTTCTTGATGATCTGATCCAGATGTCCTCTCAACACAGTAGGGTCAGATATTTGTCCCCAGTTGTTAGATATCACCAGATCTCTAGGACACGTTGTAGTTCCATCTAGTAGCATCTTGAGAATCTGAAAGTATGGAAAGAAATTGTATTGCAGAAACCAATGTGATGAAGGTAGTTAGCAGTTTGACAACCAAGTGGCTAATCTGGGTCAGATGATGATTATAGACTAACAGAAAGTTCCTCTCGCGTTTGATAACAAAGCATGTTGATGGACTTTTTGCCCCAAAAGCCATATGTACACCTTGTTACACTATATATTTAAAAACTGCCATTAATAAAAATGTCAATTCATGAGTTAGATGATTCAAAGCACAACAAAAATACCTTGGTTCCTATTAGATTATTTATCTGGCCATCTATTTTCAGGTCAAGCAGCTCTGCAAAGTGTCCCGGCTCTACAAGGTAGCTGAAAATATTTACAAAATAAAGTTACATATATCACTTCAATTATATGCACACACTGTAGAGTCTGATGTATCACGCTTAAAGGTTATGTTACTGTAATGTGAACTATGGTTGAGATCTGCGTATTGTAGAATACATTGCAAACATTCTTAAACAGTTTCATAGTTTTCCATGCATTGTATTATATTTGCTTTAGAATACTTTGCACTATATAGACCAACTTCGAGAGGCTCTGTATTTGGGCAACAATTTACATAATCCCGTTGTTACTTTGTATAAATGACATCACAATGTTGGCATATTTATGTAAGGAAGTTTATGTGCATACTGTATGTACAACTCATATGGATTTGAGTGAAGGTAGACAGAAACATGGATTTACAATCTCTTCCACTAACCAACTGCATCCCCCCTTCCCTACCCAATATCCTGCACTGATCTCATGCTCCTTGCTTTCACATCACACACTCACCATTGTGATGCCTCTAACTCTCTCTTGTTGAGTTCCCCATAGAGATAATACAGAAGATTATAGGCTGTAAAGCTAGGCTGGGCACGTGTCAGACATAGCACAGCATGGAAATAGCTACGTAAGTCAGCATTGTACTGAAATGTGAAAAATAAATGTAAAGTTTATTCAAAGTTGTATTTCAGGGAACACTAAATCAAGAGTCAGCTCTTTACATGTATATAGATCTAAACCAAAAGCCAGCTCAATCTCAGCAGAAAGTCTGTCCTTTATTTAGACGTACACTCAATCTGCTCCATATTTAGACCTTACTCTAACTCATCCCCAAGCAAGAGTCTGCTCCATATTTATACATAAACCTAACTCACCACTGAAGCAAGAGTCTGTTCCATATTTAGACCTAACTCTACTCAATCAAGAGTCTGTTCCATATTTATACTTAACCCTAACTCACCACTAAAGCAAGAGTCTGTTCCATATTTAGACCTAACTCTACTCAATCAAGAGTCTGTTCCATATTTAGACCTAACTCTAACTCACCACTAAAGCAAGAGTCTGTTCCATATTTAGACCTAACTCTAACAGTTCCACTCTGTTGTCTTCAGGTAACCTTGGCATGGAATCCCTCAGCTCATCAATGTTGATTAAACTAAAACATAAAAAAGATGAGCCATAATTTTTGGAGCCAAGAAGTTTGGTAATTTTGAAGGAGAAATCAACTGAACTTATTGGTTACAAGGATAACTGAAAGAGGGCAACTTGCAATTTTGGAATAAGTTTTGCTCATATCATCCAGTATTATGGCGTTTTTTTACTGTTTGTTCCACATCTATTTGGCAGATGCTGTATGTGAGATTACACATTTAAACTAAAACATATTTTCATCCCTCTATAACAAATAACAACTTTAAGTGTCTACCTGGTCGCGTCCCCTGACTCTGGTACAGTTGTATTGTTGTAAATGATGACTGGAGGAAGGTTAGGTTCAGGCATAAATCTGTAGTCCTGGAGCCGTTCCTTATCTCTCATTGCCACAGTTTCCCTAAACAAAAGAAATATAATGACCATGTTAATATATATTTGACTCTTACATGCAAAAATATAGCAAACACCAGGCTTGTCAGACGGGGGGATGTTGGGTGCTAGTAATCCTAAAATCAGAACTGTTCGACTTTTTAAAAGATTGACATGAAATGATGAAAGTCCCTCTCTTCTTATTATACATCCTTTGACGTTATTTATTCTAACTAGACAATGGCAACTCCGCGGAGTAGCAAATCCCAACGAACAAAATATCAATTACCGAATTCCAATCAATTATACTCATTTCTTTGGTTAAAATTGAAAAATTTAGATTTTAGAATTGCGAATTCCTGCAAAGCAGCCATTTTGAATTTTCTGAGGTACAAATCTGAAGAATAATACCATAATTGTGATCCACTCCAAAATTTCATCAATTTGAGTATAATATAGCCATACTTTGAAGGGATCGAAAAATTATTGCGAAATCGTACATTAGACGGCCATTTTGAATTTTACGAGGCTCGAATCAGAAAAAAGATACAATATTTGCAATCTACTCTTAATTGCCTTTCATTTGAGTATAGTAAAGCTATACTTCAGAAAGATCTAAAAATTAGCGAAAATTACTGTTTTCCTGACCCCCCATACACAGCCCCTGGGGGTCAGGATGAAAAACACAGAATATATGTGAAATAGATAGATGTTGCGAATATATTACCAAAATTTCAAACAATAATATGAATTACTTTGGTTTAGAATGAAAAATTTATGGTTTTTGCGAAAAAGTCCCGTCATTTTTAAAGCGGCGGCCATCTTGAAAAATTTTTTTTTGCGTACAACTATTCACCAATATACATGTTTCCACTAAATATGAAGAAAATCCGTCAACTCGTATTTGAGTTATCTTCCGGACGGACGGACGGACGGACTGACGGACGAGGGGCTTCACTATATCCCTACCGAACTTCGTTCGTTGGGATAATGAGTTATAAAATGTATGAATGAGATTCTAAATTATACCCCGTATCTACATCAAAAGATCTAGTCTTATTGACAATTTCTCCACCATATTAGGATGGAATGATGACAGTCACTCCTTGCTTCTACTTTGACATTATATGTTCTAATGAGTTTGAAAACCTATGAATGAAATGCTAAATCATACCCTGTATCTACATCAAAAGATCTAGTCTTATTGACAATTTCTCCACCATATTACGATGGAATGATGACAGTCACTCCTTGCTTCTACTTTGACATTATATGTTCTAATGAGTTTGAAAACGTATGAATGAAATTCTAAATCATACCCTGTATCTACATCAAAAGATCTAGTCTTATAGACAATTTCTCCACCATATTATGATGGAATGATGACAGTCACTCCTTGCTTCTACTTTGACATTATATGTTCTAATGAGTTTGAAAACGTATGAATGAAATTCTAAATCATACCCAGTATCTACATCAAAAGATCTAGTCTCGTTGACAATTTCCCCACCCGCAGATTTGATGGCAATTTGTCGCTTGATCTCAGACTCAATTGCTTGCTTGAGGGCCTTGAAACTGTTCAGATTCTTCACTTCAGCCCTTGTTCCCAGTGGATCATCTTGTCGGTGTATGGAGATATTAGCATCAACTCGTAATGAGCCCTCTAAAATAGATAGCAACATTAATTTTGATATTCATTCATTTGGGAATGAAATTAAGATGAAATAAATTGAAGAATAAACCAAATGCTAAGGCACCATTCAAAGGTTTGTCTAAGACTCCTGTGCATGATAAGAAGAGTTAAGAATTTTGACAAAAAAAATGTCAAAATTCGCTACAGTGGAAGCAGCCTAGTGAGTGAATTTCCTCCAAACTCAAGCAATAATATCAAATTTCATATATCTGTACTCCTGTGACAATGGGACCCCTGGGACAATACTCAGTGTGTCAAATTCCCTCCATGGAGTCTCACGCAAACTTCTGAATGGTGTATGGCAGTATACTAGATTCTAAGGGGCAGATCTAAAAGCTTTCAAGGGGGGCCCACATTTAAGGTCTGAAAAAATGTTGGCTCAAATTATGAGAATTTAAGGCCTGTTTTGTTAATAATTTGGCCTAAAATTAAAAATAAGCCCCTAGAAGGCCCAGTAATGTCCAAAACTGTCTAAAAAATGTTGGGCCCTCCAACCAGATACACAAATGCTTCCAATTTTGTTTAACACACCATGTGAATCGAGAGGAGCAAGCAGTTAACTTAAAATTACTTAAAGTTACTTAAAATATCACTTTCAGTTCAGCGCATTCAGATTTTTTCCTTAGTCTAAAAAACCTATGTGACTAGCCAGCTATACAAGGACAAGAAACATCATCCTTTTTTCATAGTCTAAAATATCTGGAATGAAGCCTTAGAGCTACATTAAAAAGAAACATACCCTCCATTCTGCAGTCGCATGTTCCTATGGTTTCTAGTACTAACTGAAGCTCACGTATAAAAGCCACTGCTTCAGATGATGAATTAAAGTCTGGCTCTGTAACGATCTCCATCAATGCCATACCTGTAGAATATATTTTTTATTCACTTTTTTTATTTATTTAAATGCATTGTATATGTTATCCAGTCCTCTTGCCTTCCTCACTCACTGATCTCTTGTCCTCAAATTGGAACCATCAATTCATATTATCAATAAATGAATAACATTATCATAAAACACTTGCATAAGTGCCATGAAAACCCAATGCAATAACATAGAACACTTGCATAATGTCTAATGAATACCTAATGTAACAGCATAAAACACTTGAATGAGGTCTCGAGAAAATTAAATGCAATAGAACAGTATAAGACACTTGCATGAAGTCTCACCAAAACCTAATGCAATAGCATATAACACTTGAATCTCATGAAGATCTAATGCATATAGCACAAAACACTTGCATTAGGTCTCATAAAACACCTAACTAGCAAACTACACATGCATGAGGTAACGTTTCATGAAAACCTAATGCAATAGCAAATAACACTTGAATCTCATGAAGATCTAATGCATATAGCACAAAACACTTGCATTAGGTCTCATAAAACACCTAACTAGCAAACTACACATGCATGAGGTAACGTTTCATGAAAACCTAATGCAATAGCAAATAACACTTGAATCTCATGAAGATCTAATGCATATAGCACAAAACACTTGCATTAGGTCTCATAAAACACCTAACTAGCAAACTACACATGCATGAGGTAACGTTTCATGAAAACCTAATGCAATAGCAAATAACACTTGAATCTCATGAAGATCTAATGCATATAGCACAAAACACTTGCATTAGGTCTCATAAAACACCTAACTAGCAAACTACACATGCATGAGGTAACGTTTCATGAAAACCTAATGCAATAGCAAATAACACTTGAATCTCATGAAGATCTAATGCATATAGCACAAAACACTTGCATTAGGTCTCATAAAACACCTAACTAGCAAACTACACATGCATGAGGTAACGTTTCATGAAAACCTAATGCAATAGCAAATAACACTTGAATCTCATGAAGATCTAATGCATATAGCACAAAACACTTGCATTAGGTCTCATAAAACACCTAACTAGCAAACTACACATGCATGAGGTAACGTTTCATGAAAACCTAATGCAATAGCAAATAACACTTGAATCTCATGAAGATCTAATGCATATAGCACAAAACACTTGCATTAGGTCTCATAAAACACCTAACTAGCAAACTACACATGCATGAGGTAACGTTTCATGAAAACCTAATGCAATAGCAAATAACACTTGAATCTCATGAAGATCTAATGCGTATAGCACAAAACACTTGCATTAGGTCTCATAAAACACCTAACTAGCAAACTACACATGCATGAGGTAACGTTTCATGAAAACCTAATGCAATAACAAATAACACTTGAATGAGGTCTCGTGTGTCTTACCTGCTCTGTTTAAATCTATGTAACTTTTCCCTCCCTCTAAGTCATGAATACTTTTTCCACTGTCCTGCTCTAACTGGACCTGCACTATTTTAGCCTCTTTTTCATATGGGACTTTCTGTCCAATGTTGTTGATGTACCGCAAATGTCCTCCCTTGCCTATAGGGGACCTTTGTTGGGTGATTTGATAACCTTGCTGGAGGGTAAGATAAAAACAAACATTTTGGTTAGTATACTGCTATGCCTCTATGTACATTTTGTTAGCAAGCACGTCAAAAGCTATGTAAAATCAGTTAAGTCCCAGACACCATCCCCCCTCCCCATCCCCATGTTAACTATATACTGAACATGTTATAATAGAGGATTGCAGTCAATGACTCAATAAAATGTGACTAATTTTATAGTATGATAATATTCAACACTGTATAGTCTAGCTACAAGCCATTGTGACCCCCCCCCCCCCCCTACAAGAATCTGTGTGAGATGTGTTGTCGAGTAAAGGGGGTGGGGATCACAGAGGCTTGTAGCTAGGCTAAACACAGCACAGAGCGTTATTCATTGGGTCTTGTGCTTTAACTATTTTCCCATAGTGCAAAAACAGTTATCATAATTATTGAAATGAAACATTTTGGGATGGTTATATCAAGGCCATAGCATTGGCATTATTTCTGATGTGTAAAAATGCTACTCACTGGAAGATCTGCATAGAAATAATGTTTGCGGTCAAATCTTGATGATCTATTCACTTCTGACCCCAGAGCTAAGGCAGTCATCGCTCCTGCTTCGACACATCTCTTGTTCAGCACCTACAATGCCATAAACATATAATACAGTTAGCTTGAGGTATAAAGCCAAGTACAGTGTTAAATCTATATCAAGGCAAGCTGAAAAAGTAGATGCATAAACCATGTCTCTGAGTAGATCCAGAAAAAATAAGATTAGTCTAGTGGAAATTAAAAGATTGTATGCAGAAATGAAAATATTTAATGAAAGAAAAATATTTGGAAATAAATGTAAACAGAGACATGTTTTATATATCTCTACTTATGTATATATGGTGCCTACTATATAACAGTAGTAACAAAGTGTTTAACAATGTCATATAACAATGTCTAATCTCATTATTATAGTAAATAATGAAGAAATAAAATAAAAATTTATAACAAGGCATTAACATGCAAAAAATATCCCCCTGCCATTTGTTACAGATACCAACTGCTGAATGCCAAACACCTGCTGAACACCATCCATAAAAAAAGTAAGAGATTACAGGTATATGAAAACTGAAAAAATGATTCTTACTGGAAGAGTTCCTGGCAATGCAACATCAAATAATGAAACCTGGGAGTTGATTGGTGCTGCAAATTTTGTTGCTGATCCCGAAAATAGCTTTGTGTTTGCTGCAATCTGAGCATGAACTTCCAGTCCAATGACAGCTCTCCATTCTTGGATGCTAGAATACAATAAAATCGTAATCGTAATCGTAATGTATAGTAGTTCACTACTAAGGTAAATTTGAAAGTAGCTGACTCTGAAGTCTGAGGTGTTTGATATGAATATCCATGTACATGTGCAGTGCATTGCCATAATAAATTACACCTACATGTACATGTACGTGAAAACCCAAGTTGCACTTACATACACTGTACAATGTACAGGGTGTCCCGAAAGTATGCCCCCCCCCCCCTAGGCAGACATATTCCAGTGTCTAACATGACCAAGGGGGGACTCATTGACTAGTAATATGGTAAAAATTTTAACTTTATTTTGACAAAACACTAAATTTTGAAATGTCTGTAATTTTTTCACATTTGAGAGTTGAACCATGATACTTGGTGAATCAATGTAACTTTGGATAAGCTTTAAAATGATATATGATACATACTATGAAGACACTGGTTACTGGTATATGTCTGCCTAGGGGGGGCCCATACTTTCGGGACACCCTGTACATGTACCCTTCTCTAGAATACCAATGATATAGATAAGCTATTGTAATAACCTTGTAATTTGCAGTCCGAGGATCCACTTTTCTTTTATTTATTTTCGACTTGCCTTTTATAAAATGCTGATACGGTAAAAAAAACGAAAAAAACTCATTCCGTTCGGACTTTACACGCCAATTCCGTATATGTCACACACTTGCTTTGAAATATGTGTATATGTACACATTTGCTTCTAAATATTTTGTATGCACCCCCCCCCCCCCTCCCCCACTGGAATCTGCACTCTTAGACTGCAATATAATGACTACCGCATAGCTCCGGCCATCTCTCTTTCATACATATTCCTGGGGCGCAAAGGACACCGTGCAGTAGATTATTTCTTTGAAATAGAAAATGTTATGTTTCATAAGGTTGTTTTTCATTTTTCTACATTTTTAAATTTTATTATTTAAAAGTGGGCGATAATACAATGGTTTTATCAATTTAATGAAAATCTCGGGAAAATAGATGAATATATTCTACACGTCTTATCAACATACCTTCCGCCTTCAGATGAATGTCTTATTAGATTCCAAATATACTTTAGTCGACTATAAGAAGCAGAAAATGCCGGCCCAAGTTTGGGACGAAAGATCATTTTAATTTTCTCCTCCAATTTGAAGAGCGCAATTACCCATATTGCACCAAAAAACAAGAATGGCAGATTTTGACCAAATATACGAAGAAGACGATGAAGAGGAAAGATTCATCGTAGATGACCTCACTATTCCCGTCCAAGACCCTATCGTAATCAGAGGTGCTGGTAATGTCACTATGTGAGTACAATTTAAGCCGATTTCCCCCAAAATAGATAGTTTATTAGAGCTTTTTTATGAACCCTTTTTTCTTTGTTTTGTTTTTGTTCACTTTTTGACATCGACAAAAATTATATTTTATTTTGTATTCTAAGAGGAATATAGAGTATAAGCCGTAGCTCTTAGTCAGTTTTGACTTCTGTTTTTGTAAGGGTCCATCTGTTGATTCACAGAGATCACCTTGGTAGACTCACAGTGAACAGAATTTCCTTCATGTTATTATTTAAAACTATGCGACAGATGTACTTGACAGTAGAAGTGTAACTCCCGAGTCTGTAACTCGAGTACAGCTCTGCCTATACATTGCCTCGAGGTGTCCTCTAGAAACTCGCAATCTATTTCAACCCGCGAGTTTACTCGAGTTATATCTTGCACGCATGTAAAATGAATTTGGGTCCCAGAGATCATGCAACATTACTCCATTGTAGGCGAATAAATATACCGATGATCAACATATTTAGCGCCAGTCACCTAAAAAACACTCTCAAAGCTTCACAAAGTTCAACAAATTTCGAGGAATGACAAGTTACACCAAAAAATCAGAAGAACATTGACTATCGAAGGAACTCAAGCGGACGATAATAGAGTAGTCACTAAAATTGAATAAAAAATGGTCCCCTTATTCTCACGTCTTTTACACAACTTTTACATTAAAAAAATGATCTATCATTAAATTAAGATCATAAGTCATAACTTTAGATCAATATCCAGCAGTCTTAAGTAGAAATAATGAAGATAATCTGGGAAAACCATTTATTAATTTGAGGGGCCCTTCTGGGTTTTCTAAAATATCGTTTGGTTAGATTCTTGGTTCATTTTAGCGATCTGTACTAAGTCCTTACCGTATGCGGCGTCGTCTATACCAGATCGTTTTTGATTGAAATATGGGTTAACTGCAATGAATACCACACTTTCTTATGGCACCAACGTGTTAAACAGCTTTTAGATGTGACTAAACCAGAGAAACTTGCTAAACAGCTTTTAGATGTGACTAAACCAGAGAAACTTGCCACTAGAAGTTACAGTAATTTTGTGTACCCAGGTTTACAATATGTACTGGACGAAATGAATTAACTCGAGTTTTACTAGAGTTTTTGAAATATTTGGCAAACAAGTTGAACTCGAGTTGGATTTTTCTGGCGAGTTACACCTCTACATGACAGTAATATAGAAACACCTACCCTCAAATGATTCCACATACCTTTTTGCATTACATGCTCATTTATAATAGTCACATGTGGCTAGATACGATTTCTGAGAAGTATTTTCACATTGGCCATTTGTATCTGCATCACACCGGAATAGCCTGACAACGTTAAAGCGAAATACCGTTGTCACAAATGGCGGACATAACCATTGCTTCAACTCTTCAATCACTTGATCCTCATTTCATGGGACTTTATTAAGATGGTACATGTAGAACATTATTAGCTGTACAATGAGTATAAAGACACTTTGGTTGATAGTTGTTCCAAAGGAATTTAGTCTAGGTGTTCTATTAAACATACAGTTCATGGAAATCTAGTTGAAGTGACGGTTACATCCGCCATTTGTGACAACGGTATCTGACTTTACCATTGTCAGGCTATTCCGATGTGTGCATGAGCACCATTAAAATTAACTTTTGGCCTAACAAAATTGTTGTTGAATAAATTGATAGTCTATAGCTGGGCATATTGATCAGATCCAATGGGAGAATAACATCAAACTCATTTAGTGTACTTGTTAGCGTTTCATTCAGCGTTACCGCAATCTGAACCAAACTTTTCTAAATCTGTCTCAAAATCATTCTTAAGTACAGATGATCGAGGACACAGGGGGATATGAAATGTTATTTTAGAATTAGACCTTGAAATTCATAATCCAAATACATTAATTGAAAAAAAGATAGTACAGAACATGCACTTTGCACATAATAGATATGTGTGGTTATTATTGATATTTTGAGGTTCTTGCAATTCACCAATTTATAACCAGTTTTTCAATTTCTGTTATTGTCTGGTCTAATAATAAACTCTCTAACCTCCTAACCATATTCTCTCTCTAGTTTCTTAAACCTTTGATTACTTGATGTAATGTATTATTATATTATTTTGGTATAAATGAATTGAATAAAAGAGTCATTTCCTGGTTCACCCCCACAAATAAACAGTAAGAGATCGGAGGATTTGTAACTTTCCTAGATCTTCTTTAATCAAAGACCAATTAAGTTAAAACATAATATTGTCATTCAAAACTCTAATTAGTTAGATTTGAGATTGAAGTATGAGATTAAAGTGTCTTACATATTCGATCAAAATTTGCCATGCAAACATGTTAGTCTACTTTACTGGCCCCCCTTGCTGTAACAAGGAACACAAAACACATTAAAATGTAAACATAAACCAATTAGTCACTTCACTATGAAAGTGGGGGTGTTAGTGTATTAGCAGAATACTGTGTGCATGGACTAACTCAATATCAGTGGTCATTTACTGTGTCAACTTAGTAACCCTTGCATATCGTGCTCACTCAAGTATTGAATATTTTTTATGATCTAAATGATTGTGGTTTATCAAAAAAGTGATATATTTTACATTAATACATTAATAAATATATTCATTCAAATAGCACTAGAATGCGGGAAGAAAGAGCAATGATGACAAAATGCAGACAGAATTTTCCGTAAGGGTTTCAAACATTTCTGGACACAATCATACATGTACTTCATGTGTACTGTTATTTTTAGTGCTGTATTTATAGATATAATTTCACGTATTAAAATCATATTTTCCAGCAATGACTTCAAATTCGGAACCACACCCATATCACATTTTCTTCAATAACTCCAAACATGTGTAAACATTGACCATGTGCATATAAATTCAGATTTCACGAGCTCTTTCCTATTCGAGTACCTCATACACCCCTGCATGGATTTGAGTTGGATTCGCCTTTTATACGTGAGCCGATACACATCGCAAACGCTGATTGGATAAAGATTGCGAGAATCTTTAAAGAAATATGCATTGCTAATTTCCCAAAATTGGAAATCTAGATCTACATTGTACTTCTTATCCCTATTTTATGCTGCATATTTCTCTCGATTTTTAGAAGCTATGTTCGCCATGCAGTTGCCATAGATCATATGTGACTGAGGCATCAACGATGAAAGAGATGGATCCTGACAATATGTACTTGTATATTACAAGGATATTCAAAAAGATTGAATTTCATATTTTGAATTGGCATAAATCTTTTTAAGACCCAAATTGTTAAACATTATTAATATATAAAATATTCAATCTGTTTACCATAGACGAACACCTGAATTTGTCAATTTTGTATTTTCAGATTTGCGCTAAGTAACAAGTTTGAGCCAGACTTTCCGACTGGTTTGGCTGCAAAGGTAAGTAATATTTAAACCCCTAAATTAATGGTGTTCTAGTTCCTTACTTAGACCTTTACATTGTTCTTCACACTTTGTTAGGTTGAGTGTTAAAGTACATGTACTCATAACTTGAAATTAAACTTAAGAATCCTCCACATGCTGTTAGAAGCCATAATATTCTAATTGTTAGCTCATTGTTGAGGTACATGAGATAAGATTATACAGGCCCGTAGCCAGGGAGGGGGTTCAATCGGAACGAACACCCCCCCCCACCCCTGGCCAGAAATTCTTTCAAAATCATGCAGTTTTTCATCATTCTGAGCACTTTTTTTAAGTGATTTGGCCATTTTGGACCAAAATTGTCAAAGTGAACCCCCCTGAAATTTTTCAAAAAGTGAACCCCCTTGGCAAATCCTGGCTACGGGCCTGTTATATACAATATCTGAGTCTAGCTACAAGCCTCTGTGACCCCCCCCCTTAATTGACTAAACACCTCATGTGTACAGGGGCTTGTTGCTAGACTAACAATATTTCATCCATGATTCCAATGATGTTTTATATGAAACGGATATTATAGACCACATTATAATGACAGATAGGGCCCGACAGATATGCCCTGTAACATGTATGTGTGTAATATACTTTATTAAGACAAAGCCTGTTATGGGAGATTCTTTGCCTCTTTCACTCATTTATTTCACACTTTTTTAACTCTTTCACACTATTCATTCTCTTATTTCAAAATTCATTCACATTTGTTCCAACATTTAGCACCATTTTCACTTTAATCTGAAACATTGTTTAATTATTTCACACAAATTCTACTTTCATAACATTATCTCCCTGTTTCCTGTTTTTACTTAAACTCTATTTTGGTATTTTAAACTCTATGTTGTACTTGGGAGGCCTTCATTCTCCACACAGACATTCTCTTATCTATCATCACTTCTTTGAGGTAGATAGGAAGGTGATGTAGCTAATATCCCCTAAAAGAACTAATCTTTGTAATTTAGCACACCTACTTCAGATAGCCCAATTGCTCATCTGTGAGTAATTATTACATGAAAAATGTTCAGATTGCACACAGCCACAAGAACTAATTCGTTATTTGGTGAAGATCATGTGGATAGGCTAGTGGAAATGGATTCAATGACCTTGTAATATCTTTGAATTTTAAAAGCTAATTTGTTAAAAATGTTACTCAAGCCCAATGGTTGCCTATGAATTCTAAACCTGTAACACTTTTCAGGTTGTCCTTATTTCTGCATATTGACACACTCTCCCCCCCCCCTCCCCCACCCAATAATTATATCACCACCACAAATGGTGACATATTGTTATAGTCTCAAATTTTTTGTGGATTCACTGGTTGGTGTTTGGCGTTCAGAATAATATGTTCAGAGTTTTGCATCTGTGACAAATGGCAGGTGGTGACATTTCACTGGCGGACACGCCCCCCCCCCCTCCTCCTTGGATTTTTTGGGCCCAACAATTTTGTAGGACCTTAATTAGGTGGCCTCTTTGGGCTTTTCTAGGCCAAATTGGCCTTAAAAAATGGGCCTTAAATTTTCAAAATTGTGGCTCAATTCTTGGATTTAGGGCCCCAAAAAGATTTTGATCCGCCAGTGCATTTTGCCTTTTAAAGCCTTGTTATGTCACCACCAAAAGTGGTGACATATTGTTATGGTCTCCGTTTTTTTGCGACGGCGTCCGGCGGTTGGCGTCCGGCGGTTGGCGTCCGGCGTCTGTAACAATTTCTTACAACTTCCTATAACTTAACAAATACTGTTTAGACTGACTTCAATTTTTTTCTAAATCATCTACATGTTCTCAGAAGTTCAAATCTGACTTTAGATTTGACCTTCAATGACCTTCTCAAGGTCAAAAAGGTCTTTTTTCAACTTGCTTCACATTGACTAAATTTTTTTTCAAAATCATCTACATGTTCTCAAAAATTCAAATCTGACTTTAGATTTGACATTTGACCTTCAAATCTGACTTTAGATTTGACATTTGACCTTCAATGACCTTCTCAAGGTCAAAAAAGGTCAAAAAGGTCTGTTTTCAACTTGCTTCAAATTGACTAAATTTTTTTTTCAAAATCATCTACGTGTTCTCAGAAATTCAAATCTGACTTAAGATTTGACATTTGACCTTCAATGACCTTCTCAAGGTCAAAAAAGGTCAAAAAGGTCTGTTTTCAACTTGCTTCAAATTGACTAAATTTTTTTTTCAAAATCATCTACATGTTCTCAGAAATTCAAATCTGACTTTAGATTTGACATTTGACCTTCAATGACCTTCTCAAGGTCAAAAAAGGTCAAAAAGGTCTGTTTTCAACTTGCTTCAAATTGACTAAATTTTTTTTTCAAAATCATCTACGTGTTCCCAGAAATTCAAATCTGACTTAAGATTTGACTTAAGATTTGACATTTGACCTTCAATGACCTTCTCAAGGTCAAAAAAGGTCAAAAAGGTCTGTTTTCAACTTGCTTCAAATTGACTAAAAAATTTTTTCAAAATCATCTACGTGTTCTCAGAAATTCAAATCTGACTTTATATTTGACTTAAGATTTGACATTTGACCTTCAATGACCTTCTCAAAGTCAAAAAAGGTCAAAAAGTTCTTTTTTCAACTTGCTTCAAATTGACTAAATTTTTTTTTCAAAATCATCTACATGTTCTCAGAAATTCAAATCTGACTTTAGATTTGACATTTGACCTTCAATGACCTTCTCAATGTCAAAAAAGGTCAAAAAGGTATTTTTTCATCTTGCTTCAAATTGACTACATTTTTTTTCAAAATCATCTACATGTTCTCAGAAATTCAAATATGACTTTAGATTTGACATTTGACCTTCAATGACCTTCTCAAGATAAAAAAAAGGTCAAAAAGGTCTTTTTTCAACTTGCTTCAAATTGACTAATTTTTTTTTTCAAAATCATCTACATGTTCTCAGAAATTCAAATCTGACTTTAGATTTGACATTTGACCTTTAATGACCTTTTCAAGGTCAAAAAATGTCAAAAAGGTCTTTTTTCAACTTGCTTCAAATTGACTAAATTTTTTTTTCAAAATCATCTACATGTTCTCAGAAATTCAAATCTGACTTTAGATTTGACATTTGACCTTCAATGACCTTCTCAATGTCAAAAAAGGTCAAAAAGGTATTTTTTCATCTTGCTTCAAATTGACTTAATTCTTTTTCAAAAATCATCTACTTGTTCTCAGAAATTCAAATCTGACTTTAGATTTGACATTTGACCTTCAATGACCTTCTCAAGGTCAAAAAAGGTCAAAAAGGTCTTTTTTCAACTTGCTTCAAATTGACTAATTTTTTTTCAAAATCATCTACATGTTCTCAGAAATTCAAATCTGACTTTCGATTTTACATTTGACCTTTAATGACCTTCTCAAGGTCAAAAAAAAAGGTCAAAAAGGTCTGTTTTCAACTTGCTTCAAATTGACCAAATTTTTTTTTCAAAATCATCTTCATCTTTTCAGAAGTTCAAATTTGACTTAACAAGTTATCAGAAATTCAAATCTAACTTAAGTTTGAACTCATAATATTGTGAGCAACTAGGTGGTGACATTTTGTCATGTTAATGCCTTGTTTATTCTCTGCTTCTACTTTTGTCAGGTAGCCCCTGAGGAGTTCAAGGCCACTATAGGCAGGATAAACAGCGTGCTGAAAAAGACTTTACCAATGAATGTGAAATGGCTGTTCTGTGGCTGCATATGTTGTTGTTGTACATTGGGGTGCTCTTTGTGGCCAGTTATTTGCCTTAGTAAACGGGTGAGTGTATATGATGTTTCAGTGATCACCCTAATATCGGTCAGTTGATTTGTCCGCTATTTTAATAAAAACACTAAGAAAACTTCACAAATTAGTTTTATATCAGTCATATGTTTTATTATAGCAAAGGAACTTATATCATTTGCAGGAAACCTTCACTTTTGTCCAATATTGGCAATTAAATGCTTGGAGTAAAAGCTATAGAAACTTTTTATTGGCACAATATAATGACGTGATAATAATATTTACATATGTTTTCAGTACTCTGAAGGTATTAATGAGATCTAGATGTATTGGGTCTTTTTAATTTTTTCATGTTTTAAATTTTTTGTTCATTATGAGGGAGCAGTTTTTCAAATGTGAAATACATTAAGATATATTTTACAACTACACTTCAGAGGAGAGAATGTGTCAACCCCCTTTCCCCAATTGACACATATAATGAAGAAATATAAAAGTAAAATAATATTTTTTCTTATATTCCATATTTTCCCTTTTCCTTTTTTAGACGAGGCATTCTATAGAGAAGGTTCTGGACTGGGAGAACAATAACTTATATTACAAAGTAAGTATTTTACTTTTTGCAAATGAGTTCTTTTGGCAGAATGAGTACTCAGTATCTGCTAAACTTTGGATATAGCTCGTGATTTAGCCCTCTATTCATCCATCAGTCTGTCCATTTGTGCACCTGTCCAGAAAAATACTCAAATCCTAATGTACAGATTTTCTTCATATTTGGTGGAAAGATTTTTTAAACTTTGAAAATGGCAGGAATTTTTTCATTTCTCACCAAAATAATTAGTATTACCATTTAGAATTTTAGTAGTTTATCCATAAAATATATTTTTTTGACGTACTCTGTGTTTTTCGGCATGACCCCCAGCGCCTGTGTAGAGGTAGGGTTGTCAGGAAAACAGGAATTTACATTATTTTGAGATCTTTTTTTGGTTCAGAAAATTTGAAATGTGGGATTTCACAATAATTTCCCGATCTCTTCGAAACATTGCTTTATTATTTGTATACTCAAATTGAAGGAATTTTGGAGATCACATTCATGGTATTGTTTTTCTGATTCTTGCCTCAGTAAATTCAGAATGGCTGCCTAAAGTTTGCTATAATTTAGAGATCTCTTTCTTCAAAGAATTTTTTTCAAAATCTTGTTCATGTTGAGTATATAGCAATATACAGTAGTTTTCAAATGCCTAGAACTTTGTTTTTTTACATGCACATGTATACAAAGTTGACAATAATTTTTCATTTTTGACTGGATTTTATAAACATTTATTTGACTTTCTGACAGGATTTTTTAAACAATTTTTTACTTTTCGATAGGTTTTTTAACACTTATTTGATGTTTTCAGCTGGGACTAAGATGGAAACTAAGCAAACAGAAATGTGATACAACTAGTATGATGGAATATGTGAGTACATGAAAAAACCTGGTATAAAGTCAATACACAGGGTGTTTCATATGTATGTACCCCCCCCCCCCATAAACTCATACATGTAGTGTTGCCACCCTATCTAATAGGTTAATAATCATGATATCTATCATTTGTTCCTTATGGAAAGTCGCATAAGATTGCAAAGTCTCAGAATCCAGTGGTGTCCCTGAAAAAGGATACAACATATCAAAGTATGTGGGTACAGGTCATTTCAAGAGGAAGTTCTGGTCATTTGGAGGGCAATTTAAAGGAAATATTTAGTTTCTGTATTGCACATTTCTAGCAGTTGTCATCATGGCAGAGGTCAGTCCAGATGTGTGTGACAGTTATGCACAAAGCTAGATAGGATTCATGCAGTGGCTCATGGAGAGGCCAGGAACCCTGGTGCGACCTCTTTCCCTAAAAATGGGTATGAGACAAAGTGAACAGATCACCAACACCAGATTGTGTACAAGAATGACCCGAAATTGCCTTCTAAATGCCTTCTACCCGCAAACGTTGATACATTCTCTTTTTCACTTTGCAATCTTATTTAACTTTTAATAAAGAGCAAAATGATATATAACATGACATGTTTTAGAAACAGGACTTATCCCAAGGGAAATATGTCAAAATGTGTACTATATACTAAATATATACTATATACCTCTTAAGGGACTAAAGGGGCGGTGTGATATACACATATTTCTCGAGGGAGGAATCCTTTCTTTCTAATGGTCACTGCATACATACGAAATTTGAAATAATATACACTGATTTGAAAATTCCTACATATAACAATGCTGAAATATCAGCCTTTAATAACAAAAACTCTTAGTGTATATTATTTAATGAATTAAAAAGTACTCTCATTAAAGTAAATTTTCACAGGGTTTACACAATTTCAATAGAAATTTTTTATATACATAGAGGTTATTTAATGGGAGGGATGGACTATGGATTTTATTCCGAGGGAAAATATGATATTGGCCAAGGAAAATATCATATTGATCGAGGGCGATAGCCCGAGTGTCAATATGATATTTTCTGAGGCCAATATCATATTTTCTCAAGGAATAAATCCATATTCCATCACGACCATCAATAACCTATTTATTTCATAATACCTTTAATGAAGTCATCAACATCCTCTGTTGCATACCTAGACATATTTGTCACAGTAATAGACCTTTGTCACAGTAATAGACGTAAACTAGATGATAATAATTTCAATAATTTCAATTTTCCAAACGATTTTTTTACTTCCTGTAGAGATGTGCTAGACGAAAAGCGTAAAACTCAAGAGAAATTACCGGGAATATTTCTGATACGGGATCTGATACGGGATTTTTGCTGATACGGGATCCAATACGGGATCTGATACGGGATTTTGGCTGATACGGGATCTGATACGGGATTTTTCAAATAACACTTTTATTCCCTGTTATTTTCCCAGGGAAAACATGTTATTATGGAATAAAATTTTTTTATTTAGCAGTAATATTACATACATTTAATACATTATACTAATCAGCTTGATATCCTTTTGGATAAATAAAGCATTAAATTACAATATTTTGTTATAAAATAATGGCTTGTTCACACACCACTTCTTGCTGAATGCAAATCTAAAGCGTGTGTTTGTCTAAATGAGAGTAAAGATTCTGTTTTGAACAATCTCTTTCAATATGTTTTTAATTTGTTCATTAATTGATCTGATTTAAATGAAATTATTCAACACTGGTGTTGGAGTTTGCAAAATTGACAAAATGTTAATACTTTACCATACATATGTATACATACGTGTACCACTGTAATTTCATTAGCAACGGGTAATAGCACAGGCTGGTATCGAAACATTTGTCCGCTGTGACGGAGCGTGCTATTTTGCATAGAATCACTAGGAAATCCACACAATTTATTTTTTTACTCATATGTTTTGCTATATCAAAGAAAATTACTGACTCCATGCAATGGATATATCATTTGCGGGTAACTTTAAATTCTGTTTGAAGTCCAACAACGTTATGAGTAAAAGCTATTGAAAACGGCGTCGGAGTATCATACTCCAAAATGTACCATTTCTTTTATTTCTTTTTAATGGTACAATATAGCGACACGATAATATTTACATATGTTTTCAGCATAACTCTGAAGGTATTAATGAGATCTTTATGTATTGGGTATTTTTATTTTTTTTGATAAAAAATAATAATTAATTTTTTTGTCCGCTGTGACGGAGCAGTTTCAAATCTGAAATGCGTTAAGAATTTAGATTCATAATATATTTCTTTACAACTAAACTTTAGAGGAGCGAGCATGTCAAATCTCTTTCGTAAAGTATTCTGAAAAATGAAACGTAATAAAAGTACACAATTCAAATTCTGAGATGTATATACGACCACTCTTTAAGCTTCTTTTCTCAGTTTGTACTGCAATCCAACTTATGCATGGTAACTCATGAAAATGATAGTCAACTTCCATTTCAGTAAAGGGTATTTGCCTTTCGTAGTGCCCTCTATGGATCCATCGGCCTGACATGGTCATTTTTTACGGTAACTTAATTATTTGAAGTAAAATGATTTGCTGAAGATGAAGCTAAATACATATAATGGTATGGACTGTGGATTGTTCTACCCTCTTTATTCGTTCCAAAAGGTAAGTTGAATGTATCTTGAAATACGAAAATGCAAAATTTGATTTTAAGATCGTTCTTTATTTGACAAAGAGTTATGGCTATCTGATGCAACTACAGTAAAATATGTGTACAGTGAACACATATGGAGCCCCAAAATGTGTTCCCAGTTGGTATAGATGTCCACTCCATAGAGGCAATTTCATACAGAAGTCAGAGGAATATTTGATAAGAAGAGGTGTTCACTAGAGAAAGATATTCATTGATACAGGTTTTACAGTGCAGCACGTTTACAAAGACTTTTTTTATAATTTTAGTCTATGCAAAACGATGAATTTTATGAATTTCAAATAATTGCAAATTAAATCTGTATTGGGATCATCTTATATACAGTAATATAATATTATGTGGTAAAAGGTTATACATCTGTCGGCATGCATGATGTCTGTGCGCTATTTCGAATAAGTAAATTCATATAAGTCCTATTTACACTACACGTGACATTTCAAGACGTCTAGGCGAAAACGTATTAGAAATATTATGTTGAGTTTACATCATGTTGATTTCAGTACAAACCTCCGAAAAATACTAAGAGTGGTCGTTTTTATATCTCAGATTTACATTACCCCATATCTCCAAGAGGCTGCTTGTCATTATTTAGGAAATTGATTTGTGACGTTCTCTCTTCTAAGGGTACTTTTAAAAGATATAATTTGAATCTTAAATTCTTAACGTAGTTCACAGTTAAAACTGCTCCGTCATAGCTGACAAAAATGTAAACATTATTTTTTATAAAAAATATTAAAAATACCCAATACATCAAGATATCATTAATACCTTCAGAGTTATGCTGAAAACATATGTAAATATTATCGTGTCACTATATTGTACCATTAAAAAGAAATAAAACAAATGGTACATTTTGGAGTACTATACCCTGGCGCCGTTTTCAAAAGCTTTTACTCTTAGCGTTGTTGGACTTCAAACAAAAGTTAAAATTACCCGCAAATGATATACCCATTCCATGGAGTAAGAAATTTTCTTTGGTATAGCGAAACATATGAGTAAAAAAATAAATTGTGTGGGTTTCTTAGTCTTTCTATGCAAAATAGCACGCTCCGTCACAGCGGACAAATTTTTCGATACCAGCCTGTGAATAGGCAATTTTCACTTATTGTTTTTACAAAAATCACCTGATTTTGAAAGAACTCTCTCCTCCTTTTTTCATTCATTTTGCCTGATGTCAGTTAAACCATGGTTACATTTATAAAATGGTATTATTATCCATTTCAGGTTCTTTTAGTAGAGTTTATACCCAAAGTTCCAATCCTACGGCCGGACTGACAGCAACTTCTCCATTCTTCATTAAACGGAACATTACATAGACTAAAATCCACGAAAATTCAAAATTTTCTGAATGATCTCAAAAGATGGCCTGTTAGCAAGTGATAGAGCGACATCTATAGCTTGATGGCAGGCTAATCTACAAGTTATATGGACCAATGCTAGAGCTAGTCCTCTATTAAACTATTATAAAATAGGCAGAGTGGTTTGTTGATATGGAAAGATACAAATTGTCTTGATAACAGACATGAGTATGTTTCAAAATCTGAAATAGAGGACATAAAAACTATACTCTAAAAAATCTTTCAGAAGTGAACTCTGACAACATTTTATGTTAAGAAATCGACATCCAAAAAATCTGATAAAAACTTTGACCCTATAACAGATTGGAACATATTCATGTCTAATTTTAAAGGGCTTTGTTAGTTACCATATTCACCAAATTTAGTATCGAGTCTCTATATAGTGCCCATTAGAGGTGTCAAGTATTAACCGGTTAACCGGTTAACCGCCGATGATGCCTTGACCGGTCTGAGTTTTTATGGGCGGTTAGTTGACCGTGTATAATTCTGTTATTTCCCGCGCTTATTTTGCATGCTAATCCGTTTGGTTTTATGGTGTCAGTTTCACGTAAGCTACTCATACATGTCATAAGTCCCATAACTCCTTACAAACATCCAATCAGCAACTTTAATCCCTGCCACATTGCTTTCCCGCGCTTACTTTGCATTTTAATCTGTTTGTTTTTCAAGCGTCAGTTTCATGTGAGCTACTCATACATGTGATAGGTCCGATAATTCCTTACAAACATCCTGTCAGCAACTTTAATCCCTGCCACATTGCTTTCCCGCGCTTACTTACATAGAATAGCGTAAAGCTTGACGAAGGTAAAAAATAAACGCCGATATATCATTTTTCCAACTTTTTCAACTTTCAAGATCGAAGATGAAGATTTCATTTGAAATTATAAGTTCAAATTTCCCGCCGGTTAACCGACTTTAACCGGTAAAAACCCCCGGTTAACCGGTTAATGCTCAAGCGGTTAATTGACACCACTAGTGCCCATACCCATATATTTTCAAATAGAAATACATGTATGAAGGAAATAGACTAGGCTGAAGAAAAGAAGATGGCTTATTAGATTCAGTGCTCCCTGAAGCCATGTTTTTTATATAGGGCTTCTTTCATACATGAGTACCTTTAAAAGGCCTTTGGGTGTGGGTATTTTGAACTTTGAAGATATTCCAGGGCACTAAATTTGATGAACATACTCATCCTACTGAGCCTGTCTTGAGATAGTAAGGCCTTGTACACATGTAAATTTGAAGACTAGATACAACTTGGAAATGTTATATACACATACTATATATGGAAAATCTGATATGGTGGGCTTATTGGGCCATATTTCTGGCCAAAAGAGCAATGGACTTTAGAAATACTAAACCACTCATTTGCGTGGTAAAATGTTCTTTGAAGTGATGGCCATCTTTGTAACATTTTCAAAGCCAGATTTACACCTAGATTTCCCACCATATACTTTAAATTGATGGTGCTTAATAATGGCCTGTCATGCATATTGGGTCTTAATAGAGTCGCAATTGAACCAACATTATTCAGGATGGGACTCATGCGGGGCACATTGTTATAAGGTCAGAAGATATATTACGCAGTATTATCACTAATGCCAAAATTGACCTATCCAGTAAATCATGGCGCCACCTATTGGTTATGATTCATTCTGACAAATTCAGGGCAGAGAAAGGATTATCTCTAAATTTCAAAATTAACAAAATAAACCAAATTTTGGCATCTGAAACAAATGGCAGGTGGTGACATTTTGCATGTTAATGCCTTGTTTTCTTGGTACACCAAATAAAAGTCAGGATCTTTGGAAAGGTCTTCAGTATGTACATATAACTCATCGTACAGTGTCATTTGTGAGACATTCTTATGAATCTGAAGCATGTCAATTTGAAGTCCATTACTCTTCAAAAAAAATTGTTATTGAATTGAATAGGTTAGACTCACTATGGGAGTTCTTAGTCATCATGCTTATAAAATATATGTGTGCTTGGTGATTTTTGGTTTAATCATTTGTCATCAAATTAGTGATAATATCTCAATGAAGGTATGCGACAGAGATGTTTTCCTCAAACCAGTTGATTTTCCAACAATTTTCGAAAATTACTGACAGCTGGTTTGAAATTTAATTTTTGCCAGATTTTTTTTTGGCACACCATGTGGTTGATGCATGAGATGGAAAATATTTTTCATCTTTTTCATCTTCTGTGGCCTCAAAACACATGGTTGGTATCAATTGAAGGATTTCTTGTGGCTTCATATTTGACTTTTCTGGGTACATGTTGCTAAATCTTGAAAATTACACTCCCCTCCAAAAGTTTGTGAAACCAGAGGTCACCACTGGACCTCACATAAAAAGCCTGCTTAAGATGGGTAATTTTGATAATAAACTATGTATAAAATATGTCATAAACTTCTGACATATTGAGCAATTAATTAAGGCTCAAACGGGCTTTCACACACAATCCGATGAAGAGTTCCGGTTTCCAAACCTATGAAGGGGGGTGTATCACATCATGTAATATAATACTAGATAGCAGATATTTTAATGATGCTGTGTCATAATAAGTATGTAGACTTTGATAGTCGATGTGATGTATTTGTATTACTGTGAATATGTAAATTGCTCGAATTGCCTAATGTGACATTAGATGTACAGTACCGTGCAGTAGTAATTGTATGTATATATATTGAAACAATGCAATCCTCCTTAATCTGGCAATTCCCCTGATTTCCACTCCCCAGTAAATCTGTTCCCTTGATTTCCACTCCCCAGTAAATTTGTTCCCTTGATTTCCACTCCCCAGTAAATCTATTCCCTTGATTCTCCCTCCTCATTAGATTTATTCTTATGATTTTCTCCCCAGAAACCCACTCCAATATTTCTCTTTTCTTTTCTCCTATTTCCATAGTTCTTAGTCACCATTTAACATATTCGCCCATACTTTTCAGTTTCCATTGTAGCTGTACCTTGTCTTATAATGCTCTCACCCATTGAAGAAGTTCCAATTATGATCACCCCCCATGAAAACTGTTTCCTTAATTCAAACACCTATTGTTTTTGTTTACAAAATTCTGCCTACCCAGTGCCTTCATTCATCCCTATACTCACTGTCCAAGTCTTTAATAATTTCGCCATCTTTATTATTCACAATTGTTACACCTTGTATTTTTTATTTATAGATGGTGACATATTTCGAGTTTAATACATTGTCTTATAATGCTCTCACCCATCGAATCTGTTCCTGTTATTCTCAATTCCCATTGCATTACCATGTGGAATAGTATATATCAATCACTGTCATTATTGTTGCATGAAATATGAATATATATTTTATCGGTGCTTTCCTATGCATGAAAGCAACCGGGTGCTAGTACACATTATTGGAAATTTGAAAAGTACATGCCTCTCTGTTGAGTTTGTTTTCATCCTGTCAAAATGATGAAATATTGAGATACCTGATACGTACTTTGGTATTAGGATTTTGAGAAGAAAAACCATTAATAGCAGGGTAATACTTGGTGATCACTGATCAGCTAGAATACATTGGGAGGGGCAAAACTACACCCTTTATAAAGTGAACAATGGTTGTTAAAACATCCTCCTAAGCTGATGTCCAGAATCCGTACCTCCTTCTTCCATGTCTTCCCCCTGCTATAACCAATTTGGAAGCGCCCGATTTAACTGAATCACGTGATCTAATTATACGCAATGACTTATACGCAGTGTTGCGACAGCCAATCAGATTGCGAGTTCCTAATCGGCAAAATGCTAACTGCTTATCGCAGGGGGTAAAAAGAAAGAATATATTCTGGATTTTGAAGCCCTTTGATTGGAGGATGTTGTTACAACGGTTGAATATAAATGTGAAATGCGGGTCATATGTTTAAAGAAAATTTTAATTGTGCAATATTAAATTTCTTAAACGTGCTTATTTGTTCAACATATTCAGACGTACATGTTCAGACGTACATGTTCGAGAACATTTGTTAAAATGTAACCAGTTCAGTAAATGGTAAATTATGCCATTTATTTGTTATGATGTCATTCTTACAGTTTCAGCACAGAAATAGGATTAATTTTTTGTTGATTTCCTCATAACACCCACATTTGTTTACAGGCCCCTGAAAAGAATGACACTATAAATCTCAGAGCTAGATAACCTAATTCCTTGGTTTCCGCGGTTTTTTAGGAAGGTCTATCGATTACCTTTGTATGATTGCTTTTTAAAATGTGCAGTAAAGCACTCTTTATCATTAAATACACTTCAGGTATAATGATTATTGGAATATTTTATCATGATTAAGAGAGTATAAATATTGTAGTAGTTTCCTATGGAATTATAACAATGGATTTCAAAATTTTTGCTTAACAATGTTTCACGATTATGTAAACCCTTATCAGGCAACCATTTATTGTTATATGTAATGCCGATTGTGACTCAAAATTGTAATTTGGATGATAATCATATTTTAATACGTATATTTTCTATATGAATAGAGATATTTTGCAACTCACTTATAGCATGTTTATTACTCCCGTATAACCAATAACTTATGAAGCGTTCGATTTCGTCATCATTTATTGAGCGACTCTGCATGTCCATAAATGTGATATCCTTACTTATAGACGACGACCTATAAGAATATCACACTTATGGACGTATAGAGCTGCTGACAAACATTGCTATAAGTGAGTTGCGAAAACTCCCTAATATCAAAATGATTAAATGTATGTACAGCATGTGTGTAGTTGATATCAAACAAGTGATAACTAAAGTTGCTGGAAAATATAGTCGTATATTTATTGAACCGTCACTGTAAAATGATGTAGTTTTGCTGATTATAATGCTGTCGATTGTTGTATATTTACATGGAATACAGTGTCAGGCAATGAAACATAGTGAATTTGTTGTTTCTTTTTAAATCCATTCTTCATTACGTTTTTGACTCAGAGGGTATCCATCAGTCCGCCTCTCCGCCCACCAACAATTTTCCAACATTTTATAACGTTTATTTATTTGATTGGGGTCCATTCTGGTAATGTACAACATTGGTTCTGGATAATAAATGTTGCTTTGTTTTGAAAAAATCGGCAATCAATAGTTTAAGTTTCAGAACGTAAATCAAAGTATTATATGCCATTGCTCGGACATTTGAGTTACAACCACGGAGAGTCCAAAGCATGTTGTGGAAGAGGAGTATACTGCCTATTATGTCATGCTCGGACATTTAAGGTACAGCCAAGGAGAGTTCAAAGCATGTTGTGGAAGAGGAGTATACCTATTATGTCATGCTCGGACATTTAAGGTACAACCACGGAGAGTCCAAAGCATGTTGTGGAAGAGGAGTTTACTGCCTATTATGTCATGCTCGGACATTTAAGGTACAGCCAAGGAGAGTTCAAAGCATGTTGTGGAAGAGGAGTATACTGCCTATTATGTCATGCTCGGACATTTAAGGTACAATCACGGAGAGTCCAAAGCATGTTGTGGAAGAGGAGTATACTGCCTATTAAGTCATGCTCGGACATTTAAGGTACAACCACGGAGAGCCCAAAGCATGTTGTGGAAGAGGAGTATACTGCCTATTATGTCATGCTCGGACATTTGAGGTACAACCACGGAGAGTCCAACGCATGTTGTGGAAGAGGAGTATACTGCCTATTATGCCATTGCTCGGTCATTTGAGGTACAGCCAAGGAGAGTCCAACGCATGTTGTGGAAGAGGAGTATACTGCCTATTATGCCATTGCTCGGACATTTGAGGTACAACCAATGCAGAGCATGTTGCTGTGGAAGAGGGCAAAGTATAATGCCTATGGTGCCATGCTCAGACACAGGCCCAGGAGAGTCCAGAGCATATTGTGGATGAGACGTATGGCTAAGTTTCAGAATGTAAATCAAAGTAAAATGCCTATCATGTCACGCTTGGACATTTATGGTTACAACTAAGGTAAGTTCCTGTTGTGGAAGAGAATTACAGTATAAGAAGGTCAATTATGGGCTTTCAAGAGAAAGCCCATGGGTAAATTAAAATTCCCTACACAGTCACACAGTTTTATGTGTAGAGGATTTGAACCTTGAAATTAAATCAGGTACGCTACCAAAAATTGTGTGGCATGTATTTATGATATTATTTCTCTTATATACAGCATGTTGATATGTGTTAACTCTATCGATTACAAACAAAATATTTACCCAATTGCATGATAAAACGTTCATATTGAGTGGAGAAGCATTCAGTTGACTTCATCAGTAAATTGAAGAACACAAAATTATACTTACATTTAACCAACATAGTATTGATTTGCAATGCCGAAAGTAAAAGTCAATCACCGAGGCATTGTGTGAAAATATGCAATCTCGTGTTATTTGCTAAGAGCGTGATTTTATCCAAACCCTTGATTTTAAAAGTAGCGAATGAGGTACTTAATGGAATATTTATATGTCACGTGATTCTCATGGAACAAATCAGATTTCAAAAGTTGACATTATTCTTCATTTTATGACGATGGTCGAGAACATTGTTTTAGGATGTCCAATTAATGGAAGAAACTATCATGCAACAACATTTTGAAAACTATTATTGAAGACGAATTATTTTCACAATTGATACCAATAGCAACTAATATTTACATCATATACTAATAATGCATGTATTGCGCATAAGACCTGGAGTGAAACTGTAGAGTGACACAGGCCTATAGTGATACGCAAAAAGAAAGGGGAACTCTGATAAAAAGCATGGAAAACTTGCTCTTGTTAACGATTGCATTATTGGTGATGCTCATCGAAACGAGCGTGGGTAAGCATCTTAATTTTTTGATAAATTAAATATTTGTTTATAGATCTATTTCTAAAATCATTAATTCTACCGAGTTAAACTACTAATGATCAGTAGATGAATTTACATAATCTTTAATCTGATATATTTGTTTACAAAGGTTATGAATATGGAGTGACTCGAACAACGGAGTGACGCTACGTCGTGTTTTGAATTGCATGCAGAACTGTTTCTGACGAATTCTATTTACCACTACTTTATGATTCCGCTCTACCACTCCTTCAATGTCACCACCAAAAGTGGTGACATTGTTATGGTCTCAAGTTTTTTGTGACGGTGGTTGGCGTCCGGAGGTCGTAATTCGGCGTCTGTAATAAATGGCAGGTGGTGACATTTTGCATGCTAATGCCTTGTTTTTCATCTGTTTTAGGCATGGAAATTCTTGGCATACGCTCAAGCAGTGTTTATCAAGGAAAAGGCCCAGAGTTGGCCATTGACGGGAATCCAATTACATGCTCGCAGACGGGCATTGAATTCGGTCCATGGTTCAAGATTACGCTGAACGGAAGTCGACCAATATCTAAAATCAGAGTCGCTGGTGAGTATTGGGATGGTACCATTTCAACGTGGTATCCAGGTATACCCTATACAGTTAAACTTTTTAAATGGAACACCTTTCTAATTGGCACACCTCTGAAAGTGAAACGCTAGACCCGTGACTAACTGACCTCTTTTGAGTGGAACACCTTCCAAGTGGAACACATTTTAGAGGTACCAAAGGTGATCCACATGCACAGGTGTTACAGTATAACTTTAATGAAAGTTTCGAAGTATGCTGGGTTATTTCGATTGTACCACGTTTTTCAATTACTTAGGCTGACATAATACCTAAACCTTGAAAAACAATTTTAATTGTACAAACCATACCTAAACATGTAATAACATAATAAGCTTTTTTCTTTTCATTACAATCCTTATTTCATTTTCTAAAAAACTAAAAATGTCAAAATTTTATTTAACCCCTTTTCATTTTTAAGAGACAACCTTAAAAACCAAATGATCATATTGAAATAAAATGTTACTTTTTAAAACAAAATCATGGCGTGGATAATAAGAACAATACTAATGTAAAATTGGAATGATGGTTTTTTCGAAAGCAAATCTCAGATATTATGTTTCAGGCCGTCAACTTCGCGACTTCGACATTACACTTGGAAAAAGTACATCCGAGTTGGGACTAGGATCTTACATAGAAGACGCCGTGTTCTGCGAATCTTACAACCGGAATAGGACGGCACCTTTTGATAACGCTATCAAAACAACCGAACAGAGCTGTTTAATCGACGGACAAGGAGGAGCCTACACGGTTGTGAAACTTGAGGTGATTAAATCCCAACTGACGAGCAGTTTCGAAGTGTGCGAAATTGAACTTTTTTAATTGCCTTTAGATGCGGTACTATAAGACACACTTTTGAAGAATTTCATTTACGCACCATTTGCCATAGCATGGGGCAGACAGTGGGGCACGCTATGGATAGACGATTGGCAAAACAAATAGTTTACAGCAAGATATTCCCCACCAGACCAATTTCAAAAATAAAATTGTACCCAAAATTAGCCACACGGTATCGAACGGTGAGCTCAGACGGCTAATGTGACAGTACTTTAGGTATAGAAGTGTTTAATATGCAAATTAAAATTCGTCAAACCTTTTGTACAAGGCAGCTATTTTGAATGTCTTAAAAACTTAGATATATATACATGTATTTACTATAATAATCTTTACAATACGAGTTGAAGTAATTTTCGAAAAATGTCAACAAATTCAATTCGCTTTTTTATTGTCATCCATTTGGGATTTTCCGTCCTAAAATCTCGACTGTTGTGAAGTTTCGTCGACATGTTTCATGTCAAAATGTTTGATAGTTTGATCCGAGGTTTCAAGAACTATTTTTAAGGATAAAACTCTAATGATTAGTTTTGGGGCATCCTTGGTTAATGTCAAGGTGGCCACATTTGGATTTTTATCCTGAAATATTGTCTGTTTGTCTTATCTTAACGTATTAAGCCAAACTGTTTAATAAATGGATCTGTGATTTTCAGAAATATTTCATGGTATCAAACTTTACAGCTGATTGAATTTTGGGTATTCTGGGTAAATGTTAGGGCAGCCATTTTGGATTTTCCATCGTTAATTCTGGTCTGTCAATTACTCAGATGCGAGTAGGTAGTTACCAGTTTCGCCACCAGGTGGCTGATTCGGGGGAAACAACATGGCAGGGTATTACAAAGTCCTTAAACTTGAGTATGCATCAGTTTAAGTGGTTCACTTTCTATATTACCCTTCTGTATGTGATAGTTATACAAATTAAAATATGTCCAGTAAAAGAAAATATTATCTGCCCAACACAAGAAAAGATATTTCACTTTTTGTGGTTTTACAACATGGGGTCTATGGGAATCTCCCCGACCTAGAAGGCACATTTTCAAAGAAAATCAAATTTTCAAAGTTGAAAAACTCTTTTCAAAACACCTTTCTAGATGTAATTTTATATGTAGATACCAAATGTGACATCAGTTTGACTGAATTGTGAATTTTAATGACGTAAATCAAGATTATTTCTACTCGCATCAAGGATATTAAGTTGTCTCGACACGTTTCAGCCAAATTATTTCATGCTGATCCCTCTAATCAATCAGGGATGTTTCTTGATATGAATGTCTAAACTGATTAGTCTTTGTTGGACATTATGGAATATGAGGCTTCCGTCCCGAAAACGTGTCTTTAAGTATTCTTCGCGATTGTATTCCAGGCAGCTCCAGTAAATTATCCCATATCTCCACCAAATCTTGTTGGATAAGACTTAGACTTGCAGGAATTCTTCATACATCACTTATTGATATATTTACAATGTTTTATCATAACTGCAGCATCCTCAAATGAGTTATTAAATATTTTCTAACATATGTTCAAACTTCGACTTCAAAATAATAATTTGCTGACTCAGCACTTTTGAGCCTGAGTCTTGAAAACTGATTAATCTACGAGTATGTAGGATCACACAACAGTAAGGAACATGTTCTACTCGTGTATGTCAATTTGTCTTGAAAGTTCCAAAATGCAAACAATTTGATACCCATGATCAAAGGTATACTTTTGATATAAATATGATAATTGTTTTATCATGAAACCTTTTGAAACCAACAATGACCAAATGATGTAATTGAAACCATTTTATTATAGAATATGTAAAACTTTACAATAAAATCAAATAATCACTAAACTAAAAGTTCTGTTCTTTTGGGGAAACAACTCATCCTTAGAGTTTGGCAACAGCGACATCTGCACCCCCCCCCCCCCCCCCCCCTTTAATGACGGTTTTCAAAGAGAAAATACACAACTTATAGAATACATGGAATAGTGAGCTGTATGGGCATTTAACACAGTTTCAAGCGCATTCGGGGTTGCAAAACCTTTGAAAGGGGTATGTAAAAAGAGTCGCGTAATTGTAATAGATCAAATAACAGTTAATATCTCAGAAGACAATCAAGGTCAAATTGCAGAGATTCTTGCGTACTTATTGACCAGTCAGTTAATATAGACGATACAACTTCGGTTACAACTTCCTGCCCTTGCGTACGGAGACTACAACATCCCATTCCAGCCGAGTATTCTCCAATATACTTTTAAAACTAGTAATGTTTCTTTGGAGAAATAGACCTAAAGACCATGGAATTGTCACATGGACCGCCTCCTTGATGTCAGCTTCATCATCGCGATAAATAAGGCGAGACTATCCACCAATTAGCTGACGATGCCCAGCTTGTTTTTACACACGCCATTTTTCTAAAGGAAACGCCGGTTGGCTAGTTAATGTTGACGCTCTATCGTGTTGATTTAGCTGATGACGCCCTGCTTATTGACTTTGCCCTGGAAGTTGCCGATGAGATCCTTGAAGGTGACGGGCTTGGAGTTAAACTATCCCTGGACATCGCCGAGGTTGGTCGACCGGGGGATTTAAACGGAGATTTGTCTTTATTAATACTGCTCATAAGTTTTTCAACAGGCGTCAGTTCCTTCAGAGCTTTCCCATCGCCTCGCATCAATGCCTGAAAAACACAATTTGATCAAAAAACATTATCACGGGAAGTATATTTTCGTAGAACACACCAGGATTTTAATATATGGAACAAAAAGGAATGACACAATTAAATAAGAGCTCATACTATGGGAGGTCAAGGACTCAAGGTCGAATTTATAGGTCATCAAAGGTCAAGTGAACAGCCAAATCGACGAGGGCCAAAACCAAGAACACGACAATCCAAAACAATATGACCAACTGACAAACGGCAAACTGCAAACCTGTAATTTCTCTGACATTTGCATTATAATGTTATCTTCTGGTTCCTTATTGGCGTACAATTTCCTCAGTCTGTGCATTTTCTTGATATGTTCCTTCTGTCCCGCTATCAATTCCCTGTAAATAAAACAAGGCTTGGAATGAGCGATGGTGATGGTTAATTTCTCTTTGATCGTACACCGAACGAAACGTTTAAACTAATATCAGTACTATTACACGTTGCTAATTAACAAGACAAGGGATCATATCGAGAAGTCAACTTTTGTATTGTATCCTTTATTCCATTCTTTCCCCTAATAATGTTTCATACAAGTATACTCACCCAAAATCGACTTCGCCATCGCCGTCCACGTCCAGTTTAGTTATCAGTTTGTCCATTGCCCGTGATGTCAGCGGAATATTGGCTGCCTGTGGTGATCAAAAAAACAACATAGAATAGAAAGCACATGTATGCTACGTACATTTCCATTTATGAGAAAAGGAATTAATCTTTCTGTTTTGTAAAACAATCAGTTAGCAAGTGAAACACCTTTAGTACATCTTTTAGGGATTATCAAACTTCGCTTGTATTCGTGAGTGCAACTAACGCCTGTCGGCTAACGCATTTTACGTACTATTCCGGGTAGTGCCGATAGCCGACAGCCGAAAGTTGCATTTGCGAATATAATACAAGCTTAATATAGGCCAATAGCTCAAGGAACTCTAAAGAGCTGTTCACTTTCGAAGGTGAACATGAACATGTATCTTTTAAAACTGCGAAAAGGAATTAATCTATTGAAACACAAAAATAATGACCATGTCTAGCGGCCAATTTAATCACGCCATTTCAATTTGTGCTTTGTATTTCAAATGCCTTGAGGGACCTAAACCTCAAAACTAAAATATTGACAATGCCGTGACCAGGATTCGAACCTGGGTTATTACGGCCACAAACTAGGGTCCTCACCACGGCTATGCTAGCAGGCCAATTTGATAACGCTATTTCCATGTCATTTCTATTTCATATGCCTTGAAGGAGCCGAACCTCAAAACTAAAATATTGACTATGCCGTGACCAGGATTCGAACCTGGGTTACTACGGCCACAACGTAGGGTCCTAACCACTAGACGATCACGGCTATGCTAGCAGGCCAATTTGATAACGACGTTTCAATTTTAGTCATTTCTATTTCATATGGGTTGAAGGAGCCGAACCTCAAAACTAAAATATTGACTATGCCGTGACCAGGATTCGAACCTGGGTTACTACGGCCACAACGTAGAGTCCTAACCACTAGACGATCACGGCTATGCTAGCAGGCCATTTTGATAACGACGTTTCAATTTTAGTCATTTCTATTTCATATGGGTTGAAGGAGCCGAACCTCAAAACTAAAATATTGACTATGCCGTGACCAGGATTCGAACCTGGGTTACTACGGCCACAACGTAGAGTCCTAACCACTAGACGATCACGGCTATGCTAGCAGGCCATTTTGATAACGCCATTTCAATTTTAGTGCTTTGTATTTCAAATGCCTTGAAGGACCCAAAATATTGACTATGCCGTGACCAGGATTCGAACCTGGGTTACTACGGCCACAACGTAGGGTCCTAACCACTAGACGATCACGGCTATGCTAGCAGGACAATCTGAGAACTCCATTTCAATTTTAGTCATTTCTATTTCATATGCCTTGAAGGACCCGAACCTCAAAACTAAAATATTGACTATGCCGTGACCAGGATTCGAACTTGGGTTACTACGGCCACAACGTAGAGTCCTAACCACTAGACGATCACGGCTATGCTAGCAGGCCATTTTGATAACGCTATTCCATTTTAGTCATTTCTATTTCATATGCCTTGAAGGAGCCGAACCTCAAAACTAAAATATTGACTATGCCGTGACCAGGATTCGAACCTGGGTTACTACGGCCACAACGTAGGGTCCTAACCACTAGACGATCACGGCTATGCTAGCAGGCCAATTTGATAACGACGTTTCAATTTTAGTCATTTCTATTTCATATGGGTTGAAGGAGCCGAACCTCAAAACTAAAATATTGACTATGCCGTGACCAGGATTCGAACCTGGGTTACTACGGCCACAACGTAGGGTCCTAACCACTAGACGATCACGGCTATGCTAGCAGGCCAATTTGATAACGATATTTCAATTTTAGTCATTTCTATTTCATATGCCTTGAAGGAGCCGAACCTCAAAACTAAAATATTAACTATGCCGTGACCAGGATTCGAACTTGGGTTACTACGGCCACAACATAGGGTCCTAACCACTAGACGATCACGGCTATGCTAGCAGGCCAATTTGATATGAAATTTCAATTTTAGTCATTATTATTTCATATGCCTTGAAGGAGCCGAACCTCAAAACTAAAATATTAACTATTCCGTGACCAGGATTCGAACTTGGGTTACTACGGCCACAACGTAGGGTCCTAACCACTAGACGATCACGGCTATGCTAGCAGGCCATTTTGATAATTATTCCATTTTAGTCATTTCTATTTCATATGCCTGAATGAGCCGAACCTCAAAACTAAAATATTGACTATGCCGTGACCAGGATTCGAACCTGGGTTACTACGGCCACAACTTAGGGTCCTAACCACTAGACGATCACGGCTATGCTAACAGGCCAATTTGATAACGCCTTTTCAATTTTAGTGCTTTGTATTTCAAATGCCTTGAAGGACCCAAACCTCAAAACTAAAATATTGACTATGCCGTGACCAGGATTCGAACCTGGGTTACTACGGCCACAACGTAGGGTCCTAACCACTAGACGATCACGGCTATGCTAACAGGCCATTTTGATAACGCCATTTCAATTTTAGTCATAATTATTTCATATGCCTTGAAGGACCCGAACCTCAAAACTAAAATATTGACTATGCCGTGACCAGGATTCGAACTTGGGTTACTACGGCCACAACGTAGAGTCCTAACCACTAGACGATCACGGCTATGCTAGCAGGCCATTTTGATAACGCTATTCCATTTTAGTCATTTCTATTTCATATGCCTTGAAGGAGCCGAACCTCAAAACTAAAATATTGACTATGCCGTGACCAGGATTCGAACCTGGGTTACTACGGCCACAACGTAGGGTCCTAACCACTAGACGATCACGGCTATGCTAGCAGGCCAATTTGACGGCGCCATTTCAATTTTAGTCATTTCTATTTCATATGCCTTGAAGGAGCCGAACCTCAAAACTAAAATATTGACTATGCCGTGACCAGGATTCGAACCTTGGTTACTACGGCCACAACGTAGGGTCCTAACCACTAGACGATCACGGCTATGCTAGCAGGCCAATTTGATAACGACATTTCAATTTTAGTGCTTTGTATTTCAAATGCCTCGAAGGACCCAAACCTCAAAACTAAAATATTGACTATGCCGTGACCAGGATTCGAACCTGGGTTCGTTCGGTCCTAGCTAACCACCAGACGGTCACGGCAAGGCTAGCAGAACACACTGTGGGCCACCATAAATATCAGAGATACAACTTTTAGTTATTCATATTTTAAATGACTTGAAGGACTATAAACCTAAAAATCAAAATGTTGGACTTCGTCTTCCTTTTTAGATATATATTTATTACATTAATGGTGGAGTTACTTGGGTACATAATTTCTTCATGCATCATAATCTTCTTACCAATAACCCATCTTTTAACTCTTTGCGAGTTAATGTCCAGCTGTGGTCCTTATCAAGGGAAGTGAACATGTCAACAAGTCTCAGACCCCGGAGTCTGCAGAATTCCATCAACACCATGACAGGGTCGCTGGAGATAAAGTCGTCCACGCTCACCTTTGGGATTTCCTCTTTCCTGTACTCACGTCCGTACTTTACCGTCAGAGTGCGGTCTTTACGCACTTCCGCTAACAAATCGATGAACTCCTTCGTTACGCATTGGTCCTATAACGAAAAGGATAAGGCGTGCTTGTTTTGAACTCATCGTCTACATATACGTCCTATCTGAAGCTCTGGACCGGTGTAAAAGGGTAGTATGTCCTATCAAATTATGGTCCTACTCTTCATTGATTTACATGGTGACCCCTTTCCTTTATTATCTTATACACAATCAGGGCCAGAAAGGGCCGTTAAGAAAGGGGACCATAATCCCTGGGGGACCATAATTTCTTTCACACCGGGTTAATACATGCGTGATATTTCAGTCCCAAGCAGCCATGACTATAACGCCTTTAATTTCTCAATTACAACTATATGAATATCATTGAATATCAAATCTCAGGGAAGGAAGAGTAATGACGTTTTAATTAGTAATTCCTTGCCTAATTCTTCATCCTAGATTCATATAAGGTAATTCAAACTTACTGATATATCTATTTCCGAAAGGCCAATATTTGGCATCTGTTGCATAATTTGCAGCATAGCTGTCACTCCTAGTGTAGATAAAGGATTTTGTGCAATCTGAAATAAATGGAGACAGTAAATAGAGACTACGTAGATGAAAACATTTGATTTAGAAGATTTTGAATCTGAACACCTAAACGGTGTATCGGAAAACAAAAAGTCAACGGTTACATTTTTACATCTTTCTCTCCTGCGTAGTCTAAGTAAGATGGGTAGAAATAGAAGATGCATGGCGTGCCATACGTGAGGAAGCGTGACCTACCTCATTGGAAAGGGCGTGGCTTACCACGCCAGAAAAACCGTTCCCTACATGTTGTTGTCAGCGTGAGTTAAAGGAACTGCCTCAGAATACCAAGGCTTTTGTTTCTGGAGAGAGTTTTGGCTTGGAAGGCCTACGATCTATTATCTGACATATCATCTTAGACCTCGAGCGCACCTTGCATGACGTCATGCACATGACGTCAGCCCAGATCACAACACTGCCCACCTATATTTCCTCTGGACTATTTAAGTTAACATTAAATACTTGACATTTAAATATACCTTCAACACCTTGAGTGTTTCATTATTTTTCAAGCCACGCAGCAGTTCAATAAGACATTCTTGGTTGATCCTATTACATATGAGATTCAGTTCAATCAGTTGGTTGTTCTCGGGCAGAGATTTCGCTAAAGCGCGACATCCTTTCAGATAGAAGCCATTCCAAGCAACGTTTAACGTCTTCAGACATGTGTTTGACTAAAACAAAAAATGATTTATTGATTTGTGTACGTTAAAGTTGGCAAAAACAAAGACATTAAATTTTTGTATTCTTTGAAAGGTCTATAAAATAATGCAAAGATTTACTTCCTTTAAACTTTCACGGTGTAATGCCAAATTAGGAATTCTATTTAGACGAATATTAATAATATCAGTTTTCAAAGATGCGATGACTTATCTCTATTTTAGAATATATATTGCGTCATTTTGTTTTACCTTAGATTACCTAAGCTACATAAGGATGTTTTATTTCTGTAAAAATTACCTGAGTTACGTATTAAGAATGTCCTTTGTAAAAAATATTACTTGTAAGTTACACTCCCCTCCATAAGTTTTGCAACCTTAGCTCCCTCATTAAACTATTAAAGCCTCTTTTACGTTCGGATTTTTATTTACTTAACCTGCGATGAAATAGCTTATAATATTGATGGAAACGTAACTTGACTTTATTTTCAATTCAATATACACAGGAGGCGAAAATGATTTTCAAAAATGACTTCGCTATGTAACTTTAGTATTCATCAAGTAAACTAAACACTTAGTGTACAAAAAAAGTTAGACAATTCAATTTTCTATATAAAAATATTTTTGCTGGATCTTTTACTGAATAGATATCCTGATTTCTGATTTTTGCAGATTAAGTAAATAAAAATTCAAACGTAAAGAGGCTTTAACAGTAGTTCAATGGGGAAGCTAAGGTTGCCAAACTTATGGAGGGAAGTGTAATACCCTTTGTAAAAAATCACCTATTGTAAGTTGTCTATAGCTGCGAATACCATTTGCATTGATTTATAAATATTATTATGATATCAAAAAATTGTAACTGAATTACATTATTAAAACTGTCATGTCGTTTTTGGCAATAAATTGCATATAAGATGACGTGTCAATGTTTATTTTGGCACAGAGTCACTTTATAATATATTTAGTGTACCTTGAACTTGAAAATTTACATTATTTTACTTCCTGGTTTAAAAATGGCATTTTCGTGAATCATTTGACAACATTAATCAGCAGTATGAATGATCTTCTATGTTTATATAGGTCAATGAGAATCAAAGTTTAAATGATATCACTTTTGGTAATTACACATTGTACACGACTGTTTATGTCGCGTATTTTCACATACTAGTTTTAAAGGATATTGGAATAGGAGACCAATCAATAGAATAGCAGGCAATATTTAAGAAACGAAGTTGAACTTCTTAGGATAATCCTGTGAAAATCGCTTTAAAAGGGTCCTTCTCTGATTTTCAGTTTTAGTGGTTGCTTGTGACGTGTACTATACCAATCCGTCTTTATTTAGGGATGCAATGCTATATACTGTAGCATCGTATCGAAAAGTAATGCAATAGCATGGCTCCGTGTTGAAAAGTAATTCAAAAGCATGGCTCTGTGTTGAAAAGTAATGCAATAGCATGGCTCCGTGTTGAAAAGTAATTCAAAAGCATGGCTCCGTGTCGAAAAGTGATGCAATAGCATGGCTTCGTGTCGAAAAGTAATGCAATAGCATGGCTCCGTGTTGAAAAGTAATTCAAAAGCATGGCTCCGTGTTAAAAAGTAATTCAAAAGCATGGCTCCGTGTCGAAAAGTGATGCAATAGCATGGCTTCGTGTCGAAAAGTAATGCAATAGCATGGCTCCGTGTTGAAAAGAAATTCAAAAGCATGGCTCCGTGTCGAAAAGTAATGCAATAGCATGGCTCCGTGTCAAAAAGTGCAAGAGCAATATCTTAGCTTCATGTTTATCGTAATTATGGAATATTTACCCGATTTTTTCAATGCCCTATATTTATAGAAAGATTGCTTCTAGTATTTTATTCATAAATGTTTTGCATCTACTAGTATAAGCTCGATATCCGCTTTAATTTATAATGCGTGTTCCGTAATATTGAACACAAAACCCTTCACTGATCTAAATCTCATAATGCGTGTCCCGTAATATTGACACAAAACCCTAGGCCTTCGATGATCTAAATCTCATAATGCGTGTCCTGTAACATTGAACACAAAACCCTTCGATGATTTAAATCTCATAATGCGTGTCCCGTAATATTTAACACAAAACCCTTCCATGATCTAAATCTCATAATGCGTGTCTCGTACATATTGAAAACGACACACTTTAAATCTAGAATCCAAATCTTATGCGTGCCCCATTTATTGAAAACAAGACTCTTAATAAAAAAATGATTTAATTTTATAACTTAGGCCCTAATATATTTTTATATCTCAGGAGAGACATGCGCGGTATTCAAAAAGAAACTAATTCATGAAAAGTAAAGTAGTTCTAAGCGTCATAATAAATATTGTTAGAAATATGTTAGTGATAACAGCCCCAAGCCGTGGTATTTCCAAGTGTTTAGTTAGATCATGAATCCCACCCACAAAGGGAATTTCCGGCATGGAGTTTGATATTCAAGCAATTGTATTGTTTTGTTTACTATTTGTAATAAACCAAAAGTGACATCATGACTGAATCTATTTCTTGAAGTCGGGGTAGAGAATTGTACAACAAAATCGGCTTTAATGATAGCCTGCACGTCCTAAACAATTTTCTATAGTCTGTACTCTTGCGTGGTGACAATGCGTATGCTCTAGATATTTTTCTAGTTGAAACTCCAATGTTCAAATCACTTTCTTTTACTGCTCGATATTACATGTACTTAGCTAATTATAAAATGCGTGAGCAGGCATTTGGAAGAAAAGATGATTGAGGAGATACCTTTAGAGAGTCTCCAATGGCGACTGCTCCTTTGTTCCGCAAATGGTTCCAACTCAAATCTAACAATTCTATTGCACCATTCTGGGCTAGAAATATAAACAACAATGGAATATAGATAACCAAACTTTAAAACAATGGAGAGACAGGAGAAAAATTCAAACATATATACTTTTTACAGTGACTCAAAATAGGGGTCGGGGGAAATGCAAATAGCTAGAAATGTGATGTTTAAATATTCTAAAGTTCCTAACTTTGATCACTTGGATACATTGTAAACATTGTAAAACTGTTTTTATTTATTTATCATAATACAATAAAAAAATAAATTTTGCAAACCGTTCTCAAAATCATTCCACCCCCACAATTAGAAACAGATCTCTAGTGTGGCATTACCGGGTAACTCAGTTTTAGTAATAAAGTGGTCTGACGTGATTTCTTGTAAGTGTCGATGAAATACCACTTACCCAATGCTGGGGCTATAGTCTGTCCACCCAGCTCGCGAAATTCATTATGACTCAGGACAAGCTCCTTAATAGAGTTATTTTCCTGAAGAAAAATACTAAATGTTGGATTATATAAACAAAATGAGCACGTATGACAAGATAAATGAACTATAAGATGATATCATAGGTCTGATGTTAAGGTTAATTCTCATTCAGTAGGTGTTAGTTGAGAAATTTGAAATGGGTCATTCTGACTGATATAAAGGTCATTCTGACTGATATAAAATCGAAGCCCAAGAAAAAGTGTTAAAAATAATTGTTGATATCATCGTAAATGCCAACATCATGACATCGAATATACAAAAAGTCAGAACTTCAGGAAGCCATAGATTAATTGTATCCCGTGTTCGTTTGTTTTTGTTAATTTGAAGTCGTGGAACCCTGTCACTGTCTTTTGATTATTTGATTTTGAAGTCCTCGTTCTGTTTTTACACATTTGGCGATGGCCAAAAGTAAATATGATTTAACACATGGTCCAATAAGAGGGCGGGCTTTACTATATATTTAGAGGGGAATGTATAGATATTGTGTATACACTTATACACTACCCTCCATAAGTTTAGAAATGGGAAGTCTCTCCTTTTGGATCACTAACCAAAGCCTGTTTATTTTTGGCGATTTGAAAAAAATCAAATACCAGGTCGTTCAATAAGTTATTGGCGCATAAACAGATATTTTGGGGATATTATGTGACAAAAAAAATATTTAAATATACGGTAGTATTTTTTGGAAATGATGCCATATATTTTCCTAACTAATTGTAATTAATGAACAGAATTAAGATAGAAACACTGACAGGCTTTGTGGTATCAAATGAAACTTTCTGTTGCCAAACTGATGGTGGGGAGTGTATTGTAAATTTTACCTCCATCATTTCTGCAACCAATTCTCCATCTTCTTCAACAAAATCGTTTCCTAAAGTGTACAATAAAACGTGTCAAATATTTTCACATAAAAAATATAAGCCTTATTTCTAACAAAAACTTATAATGCGGTTGTAGTAATAACCAAAATTGCAGAAACTGAATTATTTAAAGATAAATAATTTTCATAATAATTCTGTTATAATTTCATTGGTAGACACCAAGATGGCAATAACTGCAGTCAACATGATTAGTAATGGCGGATGGATAAAGCTACTGTTATTATAAACAACATTTTATCCCGGTGGAGAGGTAAAACACATACACAATTTGAGCCAGATTAGTGTCAATACAAACAATATGTTCTAGAAACCGTAGTGGGGGGGGGCTCAGGGGGTGCGAGCGAACGCCCAACTCCCTGACAAAATTTCTCTCAAAACCATGCAGTTTTAACCATTCCGAGTACTATCAAGTGATTTTGGACAAAATGGTCAAATGTGAAAGTCCAGCGGAATTTTTAAAAGGTGACCCCCCCCCCCCGACCTTGAAAAAAGGGCCTGGATTCTCCACAACCGCTAGGCTTACCTGATAGGTTGAGTTTCTTGACAGATGTGTTCTTACTCATTACTTCGGCTATTGTCTTCAAACCAGGAGTGGCTAGTTGGTTGTCTGCCAAATTCTGTCAATGTAAGCAAATAGTAAGGCTAGGGTTGTCTGCCAAATTCTCTCAAAATGTAATGTAAGCAAATAGTAAGGCTAATTGGCTGTCTGCCAAATTCTCTCAAAAGGTAATATACGCAAATTGTGAAGCTAATTGGTTATCTGTCAAATTCTTCAAGTCAAAATAAATTACATTTCGTCGATTGGGCATTTCCTTAATGTTTAGGCAAATAAGATTTGGCGCCGAGCCACATACTACACTTACAAGATCTGTTATGTAGACATTGTCTCTCAACATCTCACCGATGTAGAATGCCCCCTCTGGACCGAGATCATCACACCCCAGGTCTAACTTGTTGACTGTTGTATTATTCTGCAATGAGTAATTATAAAGCTGTATGAATATATATAAAACCAACAAGACCAGTGCATATCAATGTTGCAGGGGCGATAGTGCCCACGTGTCAACAGATATTGAAGAACAAGGCTATTTTGGTTTAACATCTCCTTCGTGTTATAGTACAATAACGTCATTTCTAAGGGCAATATCCAGATTCGCTAACATTAAAAAAACATTAACATGCAAGATGTCAACACCTGCCATTTGTTACAGATGTCGAATGCCGACCGCCAGACGCCTAACACCATCCACAAAAAGTTATAGACTATAAAAATACGTCAGCATTTCTTGTGGTAACATAAAAAATAAAACCGTCCCTTAATCACCGACACAGTGACGTTTTATATACTAGATATAGTGTGTATTTATGATTTAAAGGGCGTTGTGCTGTTCTCTTAATACTTATGCCTGCAATAGCAAAAATGCCATTTGCACTCAGCAAAATTGACTCACCACTAATGCTGTTGCACAGGCCTTTGCACCATTAGGCCCCAAACTGTGATGTTTCATAGAGATTTCTTGGGTCCCCAGTCCAAGATGGCGGATGAAAAATTTGGCTGGTATAATGTTCAATGCTTTACATGTACCGTGGTATATTATCTGGCAAGGATTGGTGTATTTGGCATATTCACTTTGCGGCCGAAGATCGTCATCAGCTACAAACATAACATACAATGTAATTAGTTAATTAATGAAAACACAGAATGAAATCCTGTTAGATTTCTGTTAAAGTGATATCATGAAGTGATATTGAAACAATATGAAACGCTTTCGATTTCATTCCACTTAATTACATGTAATTTATCAACCTTTACTAACATTACTCACCATCAAAATCATAATCTCTCTCAAGGTCGTCGCCCACGAGGTCAGTGACAGAGCTACTGCTACGTTCTCTTTCGCTGCCATGGTGAGACCGTTCGCTGTCTGGAGTCTTCGTCCGGCGAGATTTCATTCGTGCCACTCGTTTATTGAACTTTGTCAGAAAAGTAAAATATGAGGTGATGAAGGTGAATAGATAATGAGAGCAAAACACAAAACAATTTAAGATATAAGTATGTTGTCAAGATGAGAGCTAATTCCTAATTGTATCGTTATGCTAATAGCTAAGTATACTATCATGATGACAGACTCTTAATACTACATGTATATACTGTAGTAGTCTCAATTAATAGTGCTCTATAAAAATTAAAATTATTTCTTGTAAACATACCGTTGTTTTGACTTTGTATATGGTTCCGAGTGCCTCATCGGGGTTTGGCATGGACGTTATCCTATAAGAGATTGCCTTTTTCAGGGCTGGGCCCTGCATGTTCCTCTGTACGCTACTCTCCATCTGTATTACCCAAGCACAGTAATGAAATAACGGAAAAAATAAAAAATTAGACAATAATACATAACAGCTGTTTACTATAATTGTGAATAAATATTAAATAAACTAATCAAAGTTGCCATTCTGATTTTTAAAAATCTAACACTTTTAAGTCATGTCCTACCTCCTCGATTTGTTGCCTATTGGCAGTTGCAATATAACATTGTTCAGTTTTGATTTTTAATTCCTCGATCTTCCTCAGTCGCGCTTGTTCAGCTTTATTTTTTTCTGTGTCGCGGATCCTATCCTCTTCATGTTGTTTCTCGTCCCTTTTTATTTGATAGATACTATGCATGCCAGGCCATGCTTCTTTGCCGTTATTTAGGGTCACTCCAGAAACGGCCATTTTGTGTGACGTGTACGTGTAGTCACCGTCAGTCGTGGTGCACTGCAGGGAAAAACTACGGTCGTATTTCGCTACATCGCTGTTTAAGATTGTCCTTTGTGTAATCTACTGACTGGATGCGAATTGAGTATTCCATACTATGAAGTATACCTCTCGGTTATATGTTAAGGCACAAATTTTAAACGGTGTCATCAACTTATTAATAAAATACTGATATCACACAACGTACACTCTTTTCAGCACCTCAAGCTGTCAAACCCCGTTAATATTTACGGAACTGATAATACACAAAAGTAATCCTATTGTTTGGTTATTATTTGCTTGTTTTATGATCTATCATTGTAATTACCTAATAATCGCATTGGAAACACTAAATTCAACCACTTATTGTAAGTTTCTTATAAAGTCAGAAGTGTGCAGTGTACTCCTTCCTTAGTACCATACGGGGTCAGATTTAAGAATAGTTGCTATCCGTTCCGTTGAATGATTTCACCTTTTAATCAAGAGTTTTCCATTTGTGATTTTGAACGTCCGTTAGTTCCTATTTGTGTTTATAGTATCCATTTGGAATTGTTGTTACGATCTAGAAGTGTCTAAGGATATCCTTCATTTACCATGACCTGTATCGAAGTTCTGGTTAGTTTATATAAAACGGATTATCACGCTAAGAATACTATTATAGTTAAGAATTAAATTGGAAATCTTGTTTGCAACAATATTGCTGAATACAACTTTATCCCTCTTCAGGATATCGCTATATTGTGAAGTAAGAATTGATACTATTGAGGATATTTATTGGATTATTTAAGAAATCTCGCATAAGCGTTTTTTCAAAATAAAGAAATTATTTGGTGGACTGGCTACAAACATGTTTAATACAAATATGGGGGATCAGTTGTTTTATGCAGATTGCTTGAACATATAATACATATTGCATATGTATGTAGGAGTGCCACAAGGTACTATAACTGGGACCATCGTTTAATAATTTATTTAACGTTATTTTAGCCGGAGACATATAAAATATTATAAATCACAATACCCAACTTTCACTTAATGTAGGTAAACACATTTATTTACTGACATAAATAATAAAATAAAGTTATTGTGTAAATATAAACTATCAATATACAATATTGTTGGGGAGTGTTTGATATGTAACAATAGGTTACAATCTGGATGTGGCAATTCCACACACAGTGTATATGCTGTAAATACAGCTACTTCATTTTACGGATATTACAAAAATCTTTTCTTTAAATATTTAAATATTTGTAAATATATATTATGATATATGATATCAATAAAAATCAAAGAATAAGTGTTGCTATGTTCGCCGCCAATTTTAAACAACACGTGCTGCTTGAGCACCATTTTCAAAACAGTACCGAACAATAACTATAACATAGCTGTATAGGGCTGTGCTCGATCAATACTTCTAAACAATAAGTAAAGTAACGTTTGATAATACAGAGATATCGCAACCCACTTATAAAATGTTCATTATAATATTCCCGTATAACGTATAACTTGTGAAGCGTTTGATTACGTCATCATTTAAGGCGTAGCGCTATACGTCCATAAGTGTGATATTCTTATAAAATGTCTATACGTAAGAGTATCACTCTAATGGACGTATAGAGCTGCGCAATAAATGGTGACGTAATCAAACGCTTCATAAGTTATACGTTATCCGGAAATAATAAACATGCTATAAATGAGTTACGAAATCTTTCTAATTTTAAAAATTGGGAATATACACGCATATAGTTGTAAAGGCAAGTTTATAATTCAATGTATAAATAGCAATAGCATTTCTTAGTAGCAAATACAAATGGCATCCTGCTTAATAAAGATTACAGTTTCCTTGTATGTACAGTTACAATTATACGTTTGGGTTGCCCCAGAAGTAATTCGCTCTTTACTTTATTTTCTGGGACACCCCGTGTATGGTTTTCAGGGCTTTACATGTTCACTATCACACAGCTACAGTTTCTCATGGCTGTTCGATGTTGCTCCGTAATTTGGAATTTCTTTTTTGATGGCTTTCTATCTTTCCATCGTTTTCTACCTGAAGACAAAATATGCAAAAAATAATATTATTATATCATATTTTTTGTATTGTATTAAGCGTTTCTTGTTCATTTCGTTAGGAGCAGGTGAGAGGCCATTATTTATACATGTACATAATATCAATACCATTATAAGATTTGTTTCGAAAAGAAAAACTGAGTTTCTAATAAAAAGAAGGGACTCACCCTTTAACTAAATTGCACTGTAATAATTATAAATATATTATATCATATTTATTGTATTGTATTAAGCGTTTCTTGTTCATTTCGTTAGGAGCAGGTGAGAGGCCATTATTTATACATGTACATAATATCAATACCATTATAAGATTTGTTTCGAAAAGAAAAACTGAGTTTCTAATAAAAAGAAGGGACTCACCCTTTAACTAAATTGCACTGTAATAATTATAAATATATTATATCATATTTATTGTATTGTATTAAGCGTTTCTTGTTCATTTCGTTAGGAGCAGGTGAGAGGCCATTATTTATACATGTACATAATATCAATACCATTATAAGATTTGTTTCGAAAAGAAAAACTGAGTTTCTAATAAAAAGAAGGGACTCACCCTTTAACTAAATTGCACTGTAATAATTATAAATATATTATATCATATTTATTGTATTGTATTAAGCGTTTCTTGTTCATTTCGTTAGGAGCAGGTGAGAGGCCATTATTTATACATGTACATAATATCAATACCATTATAAGATTTGTTTCGAAAAGAAAAACTGAGTTTCTAATAAAAAGAAGGGACTCACTTGAACTGTAATGATTTTTGGTTTGGATTGTGATGTTCTGAATTAGGTGGGGTGTCAGACACGTTTCTTTGCACATAAAATCATTGCAAGATATAGTTTGGTTTTGTTATAACCGGCTAATAAACAGAAACCAATGATTTGTATGATTGTCATCTTTAGAAGCAAATTTTACAATGACACCATGCATTACCTTGTTTTGAAATACCTTTCATCATGCGGCCTATGAAGTCAAGCACTGTAGAATAAAACGATCGTGTTTCAACATCAGTGCACTGTCCCTTTTCATTTGGATGCTTTATATGGGGATTGAGTTTGCAATTGTTCTCCTTCGATGATTTTCTGGAGCAGTGGTCGCATCTTTGCTGTGTTATATAAAAAAGTCGATGATGAAAACTAGTAAAAAAGTGAATCATATTGTTTTGAGTGATTTTTTGAAACCAACCCTTCATGTTTCGGCCATTGGATGATAGCTCTGTGGTTTGATAATTTTCGGATTCGTGTTCCTTTTTGTGCTTTGTTGTTGTGTCGTTTTGTATATTGTTGTGAACGCGTCCGTTAATCTTGGTCGCACCATTTGGATTTTCACAAAGATCGATTTTAACTTTTTCATCAGCACGTTTCAATACGTCATGATGACGGTCCAGTGCGCCATAGGAGCATATATCAATTGACCTAGATGTTCTATCCGTTTTTAAGCAGTATTTAATCAAGCATACAATCCCTATCATCATGACACTAAGAAAACATAATACTCCAATTGTCAGCCAAATATTGAAGTTTTCCATTATTTGATACATGTTGTCATTTTCATCAACATTAGGGTCGGTGTTATTGCTAGAAACTGTGACGTCATCGAAACCATTTGAAAACACTTCATTGTTTGACTTATCCGTAGTTTCGTTCACGCATAGATTTGTGTATGCATCCCGATAAAAACCTGAAAAACAAAGTATAGCTGTTACGAATTGATGACAAATCGATATATAGATAATATTTGCTTCGACGTCGGCACCAGTAGAACGAGGCATTTTAAAACCTGCAAAATGTCACCACCTGACATTTGTTACAGACGCCGATCGCCGAGACTATAACCATATGTCACCACTTGTGGTTATGACATAAAATGGTTACACTTTTGTCTTTGCAACGAGATGATGACATTGTGTTATGATAATTGTTTTTTGATTGAATTGTAAAACGAAAACAAAATCGATTTATCTTTACCTTTTTTACAATGCCCACATTTGGTATTTTCTGTTGCAGTACATTCCTTGATTTTAGCTTTCTGTCTCAAGAGGCAATTATCGCACGCCTTGCACGGGTGATGCTGGCTTAGCCCCTTCGAATACGTACTCCCGGGGGTACATTGTTCACATATTGTGTCTTTCTCCAGCGCACAATGTTCTTTGACCCCGTACCCGGGCCTACATTTAGAACATGGATGACATATATGACTTCCATTCGGGAATAGTTCCAGCCACTTCCTGGTACGTCCGTGGCATATTTTCCTGTATATTTGATAAGTGGGTTCCGTGCGCCTTCTGTGGTGTTTCAACGGATTTGAATGCGTAATTTTGGGATCTTGTTGCTTCGGAACAATCACTATTTCTTGAAATAATGAATCTCTGAGTGATTCAGAAGAACTCTGAAAATTATATATGATAGTAATGCGTTTAAATCCAGGGAAATATTCACAAATAAAGAAAAATAATACTTATAACATTGCATATCGATATTAATATTATGGCAACCCTACATCAAGTGACAAAATAAATATTATCTTGATGATATTATATCATTTATCATTTTATTGAATTCCACACAATAAAACACGTTTTGTATACTACTCAAAAATTTATCCACCTAAAAATGTTTCATATTTATTAAAATACGAACATGAACACCATCCAAAATTGAACTAATGAACATAACAATTTATATACATGGACATTATTGATTTTAGAAATTCAAGTTTATGTCCAAGTTGTCTCTGATATATTTGCAACAAATTGAATTGAATAAATGTGATACATCAAATATCCAGTGCTTATATTATCCCATATGAAACTTCCAGATTCTACTTTGGGAACATAATATAACAGAAACTATAATTCCCGAAATTCTTGTGTTACATGATATGTTAACCGTACTAACTTTAAGCTTTATCAAAGGAATTTAGAATATCTGCTTGTCACAAAGGCAAGGTCACCGTGAATAGTCTATTTCGAAATATTTGGATGTTTTTTGCAAATGTTGAAATGATCATATCTTTAATCTGTCGGTCAATAAAGGTGCGATCAAAGTAGATATTAAAACTCTATTGCGGATTTTATCGCTCATTGTCCACATTTTTCTGATTCATCGACATAATTTAGCTATATTTTTTGAATGGGTGAGCTTAGTTATTCATGACTTTTAATTTAAAGTAACACCCTTGGAAGTGATATTATTTCAAGCATTGATGAGGTGAAATGGTCATATTGGCCCTTGTGATATTTCCTCATAAATTGAACATGTTCCGATATATTTATTGTATCTGACAATTATATAATTATGAAACCAAAGTTTTGGTTTTCCGTCATTTGTTCAATTTATAGGTGTGAACATTTTGAAACATGACTAATCAACCACAAAATTAGGGTTAACATATAACCTTTACCACTTTGAAATAAATCATCTAGCGATGAATGATCTTTTATATCTACTATACTTGTCGTCTGAAGTACATTACAATTACTGCAGTAAGAGGTTATGCCCTTCCTGTCGAACTGCGTGGTATGGTGAGATGAAGTAATTATATTGGCCCTTGTGGTATTTCCTCATTAATGAAACATGTCCGAAAATTATATAATTATGAAACCAAAGTTTCGTATTTTAATTTCTGTCACTTTTATGATTATTTGATTATTTGACGTCATTAAAATGTAAAATTTCAAACTTTATTTCGAGTATAATCATGCATAATCACGTATAATCATGTAATATGTACGGATATGTCATGTCTATGTCCTCAATCCATTTGCTATTTTGAGGATTTTCGGGTTTAATAGACTGTACTACCATACAGTTCTTGTTATGTTACGTTTGTTTGGTATATTCATGTATTGTTCAGACAGACATTATCTAATATTATTATCTAATAGACTCATGTTTCTTAAAAAATAGCAATGAAGATGACAGTGAAAAATTAACTATTTAACCGCGTAATAAACAAGAGGTCTCTGTGTTAGTTTCTTAACTGTATTCAGAATTTGACCTAGAAGATTTTGAATATATTATGCAAATACCTTCTTGTCAATATTCCAAAATGGCTACGTCAATTGATTCAAATACGATCATAGGCGATCTATTATACTGCAAAATGCAAAAATATTTCCAAATATATCGCAACTTGCAATGATTTGAACTGTACACTCACTCCTCTTGAGTCTGTAAAGCTCTACATGTTTCAAGTTATACTACCTACCTCAACAACCAGTGAGTTCAGGGTGTTCACTATAGACATACTGTAACATAGACGCCTATGCTCTATTACCAAAACTAGTCCACATAGCCATATCATTCCTGTCTTCATTTTTTAGTTTCGTAGAACTAGACTACACATGTCAAGGTTAAGGTATAACACTGCGCGGTTTCTTAGTAATCCCTATGTTATATCATGAATATACGTTGTAAAGTAAATATAGTCTACTTCAATATCAGCATTATATCGAAACTACGGGTATTCCCCTTTTTGCTCTGACTCACCAAATTCCTATTTGCTTTGTTGTCGTTGATGTTCATGTTATTTTGTTGGTGAAATGTAAGAATGTCATTTAAAATTACATAATCTAAGAGGAAGTAAACTATTTTTATCTCATTAAAACGAAAATGGCATGTCAAAAAATTCCCATTTCCAAAAATAGTGATACTGACTGAAATTTCAGTGTACTCATGACCGAAATGCAGCAAAACAATTTCCTGGACAAAGGACCAGTTTATAATTCAAAAGTTTGGCAAGCCTGCCTGTTTCTCATAATATTTCGAATAATTAAGTATTTTTGAAATTCTTAAATATCCGCCATTATTGTTTTGTGTAATTTAATTTTCCTTATCTTTATTCATTTGAGCACCAATTGTTCGCAAATTTTACAAATAGTGTATTAGCTCACAAACCTCTGATTTTAAATCAAAAATGAAAATGCCAAAATCGAAAATGAAAATATTATTAAAAGATATGATCAACTCTTGTATTACTACGCTTCCATTAAGCATATATTTAGAAAGTTCTTTTGTGCTGTATACATGATATTATTTCAAATACATTACAGGAATCGATAAACCCCCTTCACAAAATTGGCACATGGCATGAAATTTATCATCTTATTTCCAGAATATTTTTTGAGTTTTCCGTGAGATAGATGGAACTTACCCTGGTTTAATCAATGTTTCTGTGTTTCAACTGCTTTATGTTATTCTCTTCATAAGGAATGAAGAATTCTCCTGGATCCTAATAACATGATAGTCTTTCACGATAAAACCCCAGTCCAATAAAACGAGGAAAGGATTACAAAATGCAACCTTTGAAATAATATTGAAAGATCCGACCCCGTACAGATTGACTCCTATCTTACATCAAATGGTGAAATGTATATAGATTATACAAATATTATGAATAGCTAAATCATACCGAGGGTAACACCTTTTCTGGGCCCACCCAAGGGTCCGGGCCATCAGCACCTACCATTAGTTGAAAGCGCATAACGCCCAACGCTGAACTCCAACAGCCGAACATCTTCCACAAAAAAACGTTGGAGACTATAAAAACATGTCACCCCTTATGACGGTGACATAATAACTGCAACGGACTATTTTGATAGCAAAGAAATCCTATTAATGAGAATGAAAGGGAGAGTAAGATTTAATTGAAATCAAACTGACCTGGTAAAACAAGGATAAGTTTCGATACTTTTGGATGGATTCAACAATAGAAATATGGCCACGCCGCTTTTTATTTTCTATAGATATATTATGTTCATCATCATAAATTAATGTGTCATACTTTGGTAAGTTTTAATATGTAATTCGTTTTTCAGTCGTAATCGTAAAAAAAGATGGCATTAGCAATTACAAGGAACGTTTTGGATTTAAGAACATGTTAAACATACAAACGATATAGCATTGACTTTTTTTATTAATATTTACTTACTATTTCATTCATATTAACATAAATTATTAGCATCTCAAATTTACAACATTTGTGAGTAAATATGAAATATAAAATCACTGAGAACAACTATTTTATAAACGTATACATTTGTAGAACCTTTATACTATAGATCTATGTGTTTTAAACGATATACACGATTGTTGTAGCAATAACTATACAAATACTCTTTACATTCTCGTAACTATACACCATATTTATATTTACAATACCAATAGATCATAAGTATGATTTACACTACCCTAAAGCCAGTACATGTATGGAAATGAATATAATAGCCATATGTACAAAATATCGTCCATTATATGCGTTCTTAGATGCCCTGTTAGTACAGCAAGGGCAAGTAATTGCATTGCTATTTCCCATGATGTCATTTAGTTTAAAATCCCTGATGAAATCGGTTTTAATCATTTGGTCTACAGGGAACTCAAGTCTAGTCATTTTCCCCGCTTTATTTTTGTCTTTAAATATCAGCATTAGTGGAGGCACTTTAAGATCTGAGGTAGATAAATAGGAAAGTATACCGCTAAACGTAGCTTTAAACGAATTTGACAGGTCTGCTGAACGACTTAAAGAAAACACTCCGAATCGTCCGAAGTTAAGTTTAAGTTGGACAGCGCCCTGATGTAGTGTTGAATGTACTGATATGTCACCGAACATTGGGTGACTATAGTTGCCATTGTATTCGTTATCTAATTCCAGATCCAACCTATATGTTGGTGTTGTCACTGGTGACGTATTTCCGGGAACAGGTGGTTCCCATGGTTGAGGAAACGTACAAGCTGTTGATTGGTTGAGCCATGGTTCTTGGTTTAGAAGCAAATCAGAAGCATAATTGAGTATCATCTTGAGACCTACTGATTTATGAGGTCCACCCCCGTTAACAACCCCATACACTCCAGCATTCTTATCTGGGAAGAGGTTTAATAATGAAGAGTACGTCGATATTCCCCCTGAGTGCCATATCTTACGATAACCTACAAAAACATTAGACTCATATTAACAGAAATCATTCAATTTACCGATTATCCAGATAAAAACTATTTACTAGCAAGATATATTTTGACGTTTTTGTTACATTGGGGTTGATAGGCACTTGAACTCCACATCAATCCTTCTCTCGAAATTGTAGATATTTCGCCTTTCCTGTCTTGAAGATCAAGATTCTGCTATTAGGTACATGGCTATTGGCTAGTCTGGATATTTTTTCTTCCATTATCTTTGACGATATCTCAATTTTTAAGGCGTGATAATGATATTTGTTGCAATTAGAATAATGGAACACTCATATTAGTTCGTAGTCTCCAACAGACAAATGCGAGAAATCAAGAAATTAAGTGGCTATTGCAAGCTTTTAGCATAGAACTCAATGGAAGGTTGGCCCAAGATGAACAAAGGTGACATCTATTATGTCAGCTTTATTCAGCTTTATTGAGCTATTTAGAAACTATACTATTCTCCTAGGAGTGAATGGTTTATAGACCTATTTGAAGGATGAACTTTGCTAAGACAATTGCAAATAGTTCTTTGCAGATTTTGTAGAATCATTTTATATGTAATCTTTATTGACCTCTTTGAACTTTGGGATTTGCAGGTTAATGCATTTGCTGCCCTTCGATAAATTCACAAGCTTTGCGGATCTCATCAAACTAAATGATCTTATTGGACCATGGTTGCTGAAGTGAGGAATTCTCACATGATTATTGGAAGCATTGAATGTATATACTCATTTATACTCGTGAAATATAGTTCGCTTTTCAGTAATCGGATGTTACCAATAACATACGGGTAAAATATTTGGATAAAAATCGACCTCCTTCCTGGCGAAAATGATGAAAATAAAAATTTCCTCCTTCGGAAGTTCATCCATTTTGTTATAAAGACGTGTCATCATCTTTTTGAATCTTAATATGAACCGTCGGCTTTTTAGAATCAATTAACTTAAAATCCCTTGCAATCAGTATCGTTACTGACCACATTGAACCTTGGGATTTGCAGTCAACCTAACACTGACCACGATGGGCTTAGAAGACCTTGTTATTAAATAATCAGACCAGACCTTATATTCAAGAGAAAGCCCATGACCAAACCTATGGAAAGGGCTGTACCCCCAGGGCTACTTCTGTAATTTGCTAATGCAGATACCAACCTCTATACACTGAAGTTATCCATCCGAAATCATAAGCAACATTGATATCTTCCACGGGGAACTCAGGTTGTATGATATTTCTCTCACTAAATGGTTCAGGCATCTGTCCTTTCCAAGTCTCGTCAAAGAACTCTCGCGAGACTAGAGGAACGCCTTCTTTGTCTTGACCATGTTTGAGCTGATACAACATCCATGTTGATATATCTAAGGCGTTTGAAACTATAGAGCCGGCTGGTCCGGCAGGATGGACTGCCCTACAATATTAAATATTAATTACTTTAAGTAATGGGAAATAAGCATTCGGAGAAAGATTGACGATTGAGGAAGCGGGATACCTAGAGAGATTTGAGACTCTGGAACTGGCAGAGAGATGGCATCGAGTTGTAACTTTTCATTTGGGAGACATTGGGATATAGCTGATGTGCTACTTTGGCGACCAGGCCTAACCAGCATCAACCCACCATGGTGAACCCAAAACCAAGACATTTTTTCTTCTGATGACGAATACAATCAATTTTCAAGAACTAATACTGTACATATTTCAAATGAAATACTCTTCGATTCTAAATTACATTCTACCTCTAAGTTTATTAATGCCGACTTCAAGGCTTACCTTGCAACATCATTATCTATAAGTTCGAAGACACCATCCAAGGTTGTATGGGCAAAAGCGAAATCTTCGACGTCATCTAAAACGTCTACAAAAGTTGATGACGTCATCTCTAATGGCTGAAATATCATATTACGCACCAATGATTCCCAACTAGTTCCATTCGCTAGATGCTCTGATATGTAACCAGCCAATACATACATATAGTTGTTATAGATGAGCTTGGACCGAAAGGAATCTGGGACGGATCGCATGTACCTCAATTTCCTAAAAATGTACAGCACAAAAATGGGTATTTCATCCCTGGGAAATACAGATAGAAGTACATGAAGTACATAGATAGAAATGTAAACTTTGGAATCGAACGAATGTATTTCTAACAAAAGATTTATACAGTATGTTATCTCTAACATTTGTTGAATATTCTTTATCGCAGAACAACTCGTACTGTCACATTTATAATAGTAAAAATCAAAAGGTGGATTGGATCGAGTGGATTGGATTCATGTAAAAGGTAGATTGGATCGGGAATCTTCAAAATAGGGAATTTCTATAAAAATTATGCTGATCTCCCTATTAGCAAAATGTCTACTCCACAGAGTATTTTGCGATCGCTTGGGTACCTTTGATGAATCAGAACAAAACAACAACAACAAATATATGCATGTATTAATATACAAGTGTAAATCAACTTTTCTAAGGTATAGTAAGCATAGCTCTGTAAATAAAGCTGTCTTACAAATTAATGTTATGATGTTCCCAAAGCATTTCTGCTATTGTATGTCCTGTATGGATTGAAAACAGATGGAATGAATCTTCAAGGCAGTCTGCCTTATGATTTATGAATTTACAATTACCTTTGATTTATGAATTTAAAATTACCCTTGAAATAAATAAGATTGTGTTTTAGAAAGCTGGTACCAGGTCACCCTTCTAGCCCACCCAAGCAACATAATATTACATCTATCATTTGACATTTGGTCAAGAGGAGGGCACCAATCTTCTAAGAGGGAGATCAATAGTAACAAATTCAATATTCTGAAGATTCCCGATCCAATCCACCTTTGACATGAATCCAATCCACTCGATCCAATCCACCTTTTGATCATTACCTTTATAATCAATAACGTGTAGCCTAACGTGAGTGACCTTAAACGAAACGGTCAAAGGCTTATCAAAAGAACAGGGTTCTTTTAACCTAAAGTTGATAAACGATCGATCTAAATCCATAAATACTCGTTTAAGATTTGATGTACAAAAGATGCACTGGCGAAGTAAGATAACATACAAATAAAATAACTGAAGAATGAATTTGTCTAGGTTCTTGCTTGTTATCGTATCATTTTCGTCGACATGTGAATGTGGGAATATTTTTCTGATGCCACTTGACAACGGCTACAACAGCAGATTTATGAATATGATAAAACTTGGGAAAATATTGTCTGACGCTGGACACCACGTGACTATTCTTATCTCAGATCAGATTGAAAATGATTCATTGTTCAAACTATCAGAAAGCGACCATATGAACAACCGAATGAGTTTAATACATTACAAGAAGCCGGTAATTGATACAACTCAGGATTTGAATTCATTGAATCAAGAATGGGTCAACAGTCTGATGGAGACAGACCCGGTAGACACTTTAAGAGGATATGGGCCACTTTTTGATGACATCATTACTCATCATTTAGAGGATAAAACAGTTTGGGAAAAGATGGAAGCTACACATTTTGATCTAATAATAGCTGACGAGATGGTATATTTTGCAAGGATCGTTGCAGCGACGTTCAAGATTCCATTAATAATATATTCCAACTGGGGACCAATGACATTTGATGTAGACCTCGTCCAACGATTCAACCTGGCATATGTACATACATTTCTCCAACCTACCACAGATTCAATGTCATTCTCAGACAGAGTTTCAAACGTTGTGGAATATTTTCGTCTTCAAAGTGCTATGTTGGAAATATATGATAGTAGTATTGCCATTTGCCGAAAACACGGTCATCCTAGAAAGACATGTGACAACATAAAAGACGCGTATAAGACAGTCTCCCTCGTATTTATAAATAGAAATGATGCACTTCATTATCCAGTTCCATTTATGCCACATGTCGTATCAATTGAGGGATTTTTCTTGGACAAGCCGAAACCTTTGAATCAACATTACATGGATATTGTAGAACGTGCAGGAGAAGACGGGATTATTGTTGTTAGCTTCGGGTCAATGTTTCGGAGACTTTGGCCTGAGATAAGCACCACGCTAGCCAGAGCTTTTGCCGCAATGCCACAGATTGTGATATGGAGTTATGAGGGCCCTACACCTATAGGGCTTGGTAATAATACCATTGTGAGTAAATGGATACCTCAAGAAGATTTGATAAATCATCCAGCAACAAAACTTTTTGTGACCCAATGCGGCGCGTCGTCTACATTTCAGGCGTTGAAATACGCTCTACCGACGATCGGCGTTCCTCTTGTCTGGGATCAACCGTATAACTGCCATAAGCTAACGCACAGAATAAAGTCCGCAAAGAGTATCTCTTTAGAGGGATTGACCAGTGAGATATTCCAGCGCGCAATGGAGGATGTGATTAAAGACAAGACATATAAGGAAAATGCCAATAAGGCTGCAGCTATATTCCTCGATCAACTAGTACCAGCTAGGGATAAAATCACCTACTGGGCTGAATATGTTATGCGTCATAAAGGGGCACCTCATTTAAGATCCCAAGCTGCTAATAATCTGAATTTCACCCAATATTATTTGCTAGATATCTTTTCGTTGGTGTGCTTCACTAGTGTTATCATTGGAGTTGTCATTATTACTATTGCCAATAAGGTCATTAGTTTCTGTAAAACCTCTGATAAAAAGAATAAATATGATTGACAATAAATGAGCTCAAAATAACCCTACATACACTATATTGTACGTATGGTCACATTTTATCATTTGATGAAATGCCATGGAACTGTATGCCGACAAGATTCATTAAGCTGATAACTCTGCCTTTTCAGCGGTATATTGAACACTTACACCTGATTCAGACAATTTTGATATTTTCGCATATTGTAGATTTAAATGTCTTCTTTTGCATATTCATAATTTAATTTGGGTGTTATTTCTATATTTTTCATTAAAAAATTATTAGTCCATTAGACTTTTCTCCAAACCGAGACTTATCTTTTGACCATTCGGCAAATCAACCACTCAGATTAAATGCGTTAACCAAGATTATGGTATTTTAGCCAAAATAACTCACCATACTAATTCTTTCCTGGAAATTGTCGAGGGAAATCCGGTCAAAAGGGCTGTGAAGTAGCTTGGGACACCAACCCTATGTGACAACAAGTCCCGGATGTTCACATTCTGCGTCCGCATGTCATCCATAAGTTGGAACGTGTCACCGAATATTTTCACTATCGGGGTATCCCAATTATATTTCCTGAAACATATGCAACAGATCATTCTGATAGTCGTAGTAGTTTTTTGTTTTACCAGAAACAATTATGCTTTATATTACGAGGCATGATTATGTGATCTGAGCCCGGCCAATTGATGAGAAATGTTACAACTGTACAAAGTGTGATAGTTATCATGTACAAGAGTATGACCCCAATTAGATAAAACACAATCTGAGACGAAATATCTCAAAAGTTTTCAAATCTTGGCTCTCTTGGATCACCAAATCCAACCCATTATATTATGACATCTCGAGGCTGAGAAGAAATGCGATGTCATGGTTTATCATGGCAAAAGTCATCATGATAAACCATGACATCTTATTTCTTCTCAGCCCTGAGATGATATTTCAGGTGAAACAGATAGATGCTATGAATATCAGAATGACATCAGGATACTAATGATGAAAATGAGGCCTAAAATAGATAGTAGTAACTGGAACTTATCCTTTTTTTGTGCAAATATTGCTCAAATAAAACTTGAAAATATACAGCACTTAGCTGTTTTCAATCCTATTTTGGTGTCCTATTCTGTCAGAATTCACATATTATCATTGTATTTAGGTTTCCCCACAATGCCAAATATAGTATCTCGAAAAAGATTTATGATAGCTTACTAATAGTAATTTATCAAATTGTTATTGGAGTATCTCGTTTCTGTTGAATAAGGACTGCCTAGGATGAACGGGGTGTTAAATAGTAGCTAGGCATATATATAGTCTTAAGAAATTTTAAAACTCTATTCCTTTTTTTGGTTTCGACGCTTATGAGAGTTTTTAAAAATGCTTGTATGTTGATGATGAATATAAGAAAAAATCGGAATCTTCGAAAGTTTCTTTCACAAATCAACTGATTTTTATGCCATCTATTGACGAATCTCGAGAAACTGAAGTAGACTCACATATCTTTTATATTTCTCCATCATTAAATGTGGGAGGAAAGTTAATTATGAAAGCAAATTTCCTAGTTTCTTTTATTCTAGAACGTATATATAGCTTTCTCGAGATTATGGCACCATTGTTTTTAAAGCCAATATACAAAGATATCTCATTTTTATCGTTTTCCACCCACTATGCATAAAAATCAAATATGACTGTGGGGGTTATGATATTTAATAATACAATAGGGTTATTGATTTAACATTGGCGCGATGCTTTCCTATTAGGACCTAAATAACATAGCCTCAATATAAAATGGAAAATAAATTACAACTGAACAAAACATCATTTGTATTAAGTACCATAAATCTGGAGAAGTCAATTCTACTTACTTACCCTAAATTCGGTTTTTGACTGAGTTGCATAGCGAGAATATTAGCGGTGAAAGCTTTGGTAAGAGAACCAATCGGAAATTTTGTAGTAGCTGAGACAGGGGCCCGTGTCTCTGAATTCCTCAGACCGTAACCCTCAGTTAAGATAACTCTCCCGTTTTGCACAACGGACACCTGGAGTCCGGGAATTTGTCGGCAATCCATAACAGCCTTAACGTAATCATTGAATTTTTGTTTATTTTCCAAACTCCACTCAACAGCCCATGTGGTATTTAATAAAGCCAATAAGATTGATACAAAGCTGTGTTTGATGAGATAATGAATGGAAGCTGCCATTCTCGTAGATGTTTGAGAAATAGTCTTAACTGATTCAAGACAAATTGATCCCACACTGCAGCTCTAATAGATATTACATATGCTGTTTGTATAGATGCTAGGTGTCCCTACTAACTGCCACTAATAGCCTATTGTAATATTTCCCCCATTCCTCTCATTAGATCCTCATTAATCATAGCCCTTGCTAACAGTTGATTGTTTCCTAGATACGCATCCTCCTAGTTATAGACAGTTCCATGTCAGTCTGCACAGTGGGAATGAAATGCATGCGAAGTCAGAAGGCTTGAAGGAAAAGCTATTGTACATGATTTGGATCACTTCATAAAACCTCAATATTCTAAGCACTACATGCTCCCTTTTACCCTTTTTAATCGATTGATCCTATCTTTCCTTTTGAGAGAGTAGTGATAACGTCTAGATTCTGGGCCCCAGGGAAACGCCCTTATTAAAGCAGTTGTATATCTGGAATAGGAATGCACAAAGGGCAATATTAATCATTATGAAAATGTCTTATTTAATTTCTCGCATTAACAATAGCAAAGTAAGTCATTCAGTCATATCAACTCGATAAAAAGCTGACTTAGCTCTAAATCGGCAGATAGGAAATAACCGTGCAGTGTAATAGGTCTACTTACCTAATATCTATTAATACTGTGGAATATCAATTTTATATGAAAATTAAAGAGACTCATTATTTTCTCGGAGTATTTTGTAAACATATCAGAGCTCAAGATTTTCTACGCGTAGGAAGCAAAGCTACAAATTCCAAATTGAAAAAACTTCTTGCACCTTTTTCAATTTCAAAAACTCAATTAAGCTATGATTTACAAAAATAATGTTGATGTCAAAGCAATCCTTTCTAATTCAAAACTGGTTTTTATATACGATAAATATCATTAATAGATCGACCATGCATATACTTATATTTTTAATGGAAATGCATTTCAACTTTCTCATTCAAATAAAGGTCATTTAATCAGATACCATGTTTTAGTTAATAAAAACTCAACCAGGGACTTAATAAATCGAAATTCACTTCATTTGTATTCTTGAACCAGGGGATTAAAAATTGTCGTTGTATGTCATAAATGTCGATACGAGGTTGAAATAAATAAAATACGAGATATTTCTATCAAATCGCCCAAAGCCCGAGTGTTTCATGGAATCCGCGATCCCTTGCACGATATAATCCCATATTAAGCATTTGAGCAATTCCGTCAAACTTCCACATTCTATAAACTATAAACAGAGTTTATTTTTAACATACGCTCTTTATTAACGTAAAAATACACTGTCTTATCTTTTAGTTCTAAATCAGAGATGTTAAGTATGTAAAACATTCGCATCAACCACTACAAGGTTTGCAATATATTCCTGTGTGTTGTAGTTGTTGATCGAGGGGCCGGAATTGCCAGGGGTGCCGTTTTTTCTTTGAAACGTTATATCCATTCCTATATGACCGGTTGTGGAGTACTGTATATATAAACTCAAGTGGTATCGAAATCGTACAAAATAATCGAGTTGAAAAATCTCTGAAAACAAATGTTATATGAGTTGAAAAAATAGAAACGATTATTGACACTTTACATGTTTATGTAAACAACAACAGTAAAATCAATAGAAAAATGTGTTATACCTACGCACCTACTAGTGTTTTATCTCCTAATATGCATATTTTAACGATCAATCCTGTTATCTGAACAATTCAAATCAATTTAACTATCTCCAAAACGATTCGTGAAGTACGAATTTACGTGTATAAATCCCACAACTTAAAACGATGACTTTACCCAGAATGCATTTCAGGTCACATGATGCAGTCAATGCCTAGTCATTAAGTAGATGTCATCGGTGAGGTAATGTAGAATTGTGGTTAAGCAAGTCCCGAGATGAAAGCAGTTGAGTCTATTCAGGTAATCTAATCGGTTAAACCTGTGTTAAAACAGAATATCCGAGAACAAATCGCCCCGTCAAGAATCAAAGATTATCTAAAATCCTTGCCCCTGGCGAACTCTGTATTGACGTATCCCTTCCTCTGATCTTGAACAGTTCTGTAAACCTCTACCAATCCAAGGGGATTTGAAGAAAAGGCTGAAAACCCCGACACATAAATCAGCTTTGAGTGTCAAAATGTTCGTCAGCTCAGTGTATCAGGATTACGGTCCGCGGATTTTCCACCCACGAAAAAACAGATGATAAAAGCCTGGTGTTCAATTCTACTTCTTTAAATCGAGCTTCATTTGTACTTTCTAAATTAAATCTCGATCAGTTTAATCCCTTCGAATCTTGACGTTCGTTTTTTTATTGAAAATCACGAATGACGATTACAGATATAGTATTGTCTTTGGTCTGACGTCCATAGGATCCTTGAGTAAGCTGACATTACATGATTTACATACAATGGTCATTATCATTCAATGAGTGTATCTATCTCTTGTGTTTCATCGAAGACGATTATCCTTTTTAGAGTTAGATGTCCTGTAGAAAATCCGCATTAGGTAGCATTAGTGGTTTTTAAATGTATATCGCCGACACTGTGAACTATCGTCATAAAACGATAGAGAATCCAAAGATATCTATCTTTCAAAAATCTGATTACTTGAATGAAACGACAATTGCAGAATTTGATAAATCAATGATGAGGACCATCGGACGTAATACAATAAGCAATTGTATTACAATAATGCAAATTGTATTACAATAATGTAATTGCATTCTAAGAAATCAGTTGTAATACAATGCATACCAGCACCATTATATAGGTGTAAGATTATCACGATTTAATGTACAGCCTCCTTCTAAAGTTATTCTAAAAATCTGAAATTTTCTGGATAAAGCAAAAGGATTGAACATGGAATAAAAACCATCGTACTTGTATATTGTTAAAAACATATACAGGGTGGGCCAAAAAACGCCACTTTTTTCTACACCCTATTACATTTTTATTTTCCAACCTATATACCCCAAACTTTTGCAGTTATATAGTGATGGTCACATTTGTCGTACGGCGGCCGTACGTCGACCGCAGATCAATTAAATCAGTGGATTTCTGCGGCGAGCGTACGAAAACTACGCTCGCCTTGCGGCCTCCGTACGGCGTATCCAGTTTTTTACAGGCCGCAGGGTCGCCGTAGAAATTATAACTCGGAGTTATAATATTTGTTGATTTCTGCGGTCCCCGTAGATATCAACTGACTCAACAAGATTGAATCATTATTTGTCAATGTTTCACGATCACTTTTCATTTGATATTACATCCTAGCACTATGAATAACATTTATCAATTGTCCTGATGTAAATAAAATGAAAAAAAAGCATTATTTATCAACAGAAATTAAAAATTCACCGTGCAGCTGCCGTGGGAAACGTGACTGCAAAAGTATGAGAGCGCAGAAATTCTACGGCGAGAGTAGAAAAGCCACTGTCCGCAGAAATGATAGACCGCAAGGCGGCCGTGTGAAATGTGACTGGGGTGTTAGTAATAATACAATGTAACAAGTCCTCCAACTTGGAATATATTTGATATAAAAGAGGAGTTCAATTGGTCTGCCATCATCTTGGATGATAGCTTTTAGTCTTAGTTGCCTTGCTAATATAGCAGTATCAGTGAAATGTTGGCTAAGTTTCTTTCAACCTGTCTTAATTGCCAGCTTTAGTTGGGCAATTGTTTAGATTGGGTGCCTTCATACCATCTCCTGGAGACCTTTCCATACCCTATACTCACTGGGGATTGCATCAGGACTATTAGCTTGGTGGTCATCAGGCTGGATCAGTTCAGGAACATTTTGCAAATTATGTTTATTTCTCATGGCACACCACATGTTTAAGTGAGACGCTGGTCATGTATTTTACTCAAGTAAAAGTGTACAATTCATAATTTATGGCTAGATAGCATCCTCAAGTCTCATTTGGTATGCAAATTATGATTTTGTATCAAAAATTATAAAGTTATTGCAATTTGAAAAAAGTGACGTTTTTTGGCCCACCCTGTATTTAAGTATTTTATTTTCATTATTATAACGTATCATGATTGTGCTTGCCAATAAATGACACTTCAACGTTAGCTTTATAGATCCTAAACCATGCTTTTAATCATTTTGATTCTTAAAGGTGCAATAATTAGTGCAGAGGGGTCATTCAACGATCATGGACCAGTGTCAAAATATATTTAAGTTTTGATATTTCATCAAGACTAACATCTATTTTTATTATCTACAAAGAAACCCCCTAGATAAACATTATTTTAGCTGATATTCCTCTTGAAACATGGTGGATCTTAAAAATATAAAAGTGGAAGTCCCCTTTTTGAAGCTTTGAACTGAATTAACACTTCTTAATGCTGAAATTTATCCATACATTTTTAGAAAATAGGTATGTCAAAGAAGATGTTAAACCAAATGTTGCCTTGATAGCTCAGAAAAAAATGAAAAAACTTTCCTATTTTCTCTACAGTCCTTATTGCCCCTTTAAGGTTTTAGTTGCACGCTCCACTTGGAATTCGAAGATGGCTTTTAATACCAAAATAAGAATAAGATTTCATTTACCTGGAAGATGGCTTTTAATACCAAAATAAGAATAAGATTTCATTTACCTGTTGCGTCTTCATTAACCTCTCCTTTTCTAGTCGTAGGCCCATCCCTTTGTTATATAAACTGTACAGTCACTGACATACTACATAACAATACTGGAGACCTATTATTGAAATTGGTAATATTTCGATTTGCTTGCCAAGAAATTCGATTCATGGTTAATCTAAATCTCTTATACCACCACAGAGTTATCGCTATGCAACCAAATAGTATAAAAATAGTTGTACCATTTCGAGCAGAAAGTAATTTAATAAACATTGTATTTATCTATATATTTTACTTCTAAACAAGCAGGGCATAAACAGTCAGTCGTGTAGAAGATAAATATTTTCCCTTCCTGCGATTGCTTTGATAAGTGAGCTAACGTTTTCGGGTCGCGTTAGTAACGCATGGTAGCCCTATTGTAAACAGGGGATCACTTTTAATGTAACCATTTCAAAACAAGCCAAAAGCTATTACACAGTTAGGTTACCATACTGTAAAGCCTCAGACACATTTCCTCTACGGTCAGCGTATGGCAGCCGTAGCTTAACAAACTCAATATAGAACATTTACATCGTACTGCTTATCCCAATGTTTATCATGTTAATGCTGCATATTCTCTTGATTTGGGGAAGCAGTACGGTTGCCGTGGATCAGATGTGGGCGAGGCATACCCAGAGAGGGGTGACATTTGGGGGTTATTGTGGGAATAACAGTCTGGGTTTGCATTCGGCTGTATTTTGTTATAACCGTTTGACCATGACCATCATTAAATCATCTGGAGAACTAATTTTATTTCACTAAACGATTTATCATAATGAGGTTACGCCATTTACTAACATATACAAGTTACCGAAAATCAACTTCTCCAGTTACACTACAATGGATGTTTTTTAATGATAGCTAGTGATAGGGGGATGATATGGTATGCTTGAGCAATTAATCCACATATAATCTTTAGGCTCAATGTCAAGATTCGTTCCTGAATCGGAATGATTGACAATTTATCTGATTTATCTATCAATTTTGTCTGAGTTAATATAAAGCCAAGTGGAATTATAAAGATATTTTCTAAGGAATTTGACTGCTCGACAGTAATCTTAAAAGACATAGATTTCTGCGATATGCTCGTTCAAATAGATTACGGCAAATCCATAGTCAAAACAATGATATTTTAAGTGAATAAGTCATTCTTAGTCTAAAAGTACGATAAATCTAGATCTAAATGTGTTTATACCTCGTACTTTGCTGTGCTTAAGATTGAAACCACAACATTTAAAACAATTCCGCATTTCTTACACCCCTCCAAAACCAAACCTCTAACGGACAATCTGTTACAATCTGGTTACAAATGAATGTTTAGCGATTTGAAAACATCAAATTTGTCATTTTCCGATAAAAAAGCTCCAAATACATGAAATATAAACAGGCTTTTTTTAAAACGAGCTGTCCATTGGGAATTCGGTGAAGTCGAACCTTGAGGAACTCGAGAGTATTCTACGTTTACTCTTAATTCTTATCGTACCTAATTACTAATCGAGTTTCTCCATTTGGGTAAATATATATCTTATTACCTCACATCAAAACAGATCATAAACAATAGCTATAGGGTTTCTAGAGGGTGGAATTCATTAACTTTTGCTAGCATTGCAAGACATCTAAAGTTTTGAGGAGAGTGTACAACGGTATCAGATTGTACCCTGCGCGCAGAGTCTAGTTATAAACTACTGCTCAAGACGAAGCTCTCTTTTGAGAAGCGAAGAACGAATGCAAAGGGTAATCAGATCGAATAGTAAGAATATATTGGAGTCATGCACTGGGAAGTTATGGATACATTGAATATCCCGAGGGAATGAAATACATTCACTTGGATATGGAATATATTTCCGGTCGTTATGTCCTTGAAACCTCGTTAGGTATGGAATACATAAGGGTTGCACTTGGAGGTTTGGGATACAGGGAATGTCCGGAGGGATATTCAATATATCTTCCCGAGGGCCCGAAGAGACCAGGGTGAGATATGTCCGAGGGATGTATCCTGTATCAGAACCGACCGTGCATATAGAGGTTGGGAGGGATTCAATGTGGGGAGGAACAATATGATATACTATCACGAGGAATAAACTCACATTTAATCCCGACCAGTGAATATAGAGATTATCCTATATGAGGTTCAGGATATTGGGATTATCCCGAGGCAAATATAATATATTTGCCCGAGGGCCGCAGGTCCCGAGGGAAAATATATTATATTGGCCAAGGGATAATCCCAATATCCTGAACCGACTATAGGATAATATGTTTATCCCATACCAATCTTGGCCATCTGGTTTACATTGTTCAATCGTGGAAATATTTTAGAATATTCATGTCCAGTTTTGTTTTCTTGGCCGTGGGTTGATTTTCCTGTTCTCTCAAATATTCCCACATTTATTTTCTCGAATTTTTGATTGATTAAGTGGATGCTCTTTCCCTTTTTTAAACCATCAAACAGATCCCGATTGTCTGTGTTTCTCCATTGTAGTTTACAGTCATTACGCGAACGTTACAAATTATGAACAAATATGCAAGCGGCGATTATGACGTAGCGGGCAGATATACTATATCTGCCCGCTCGGAGCGGGACGTAAAGCTATATCTGCCCGCTGATGAAAATATAAGTTTTTACAAACCAGCTTTATGTACCCGTAACACGTCCAAATATGGGATAAAAACTTTTATCCCATGATATTCATGACTCTCTTCATAAAATCCTTAGTTCCAAATTCATATCTGATTTTTGTATAAAACAACAAAATATGACTTGCTGTATGACATTTTGAAATATGAAAAATCTCTTGTATAACATAAACACACCAACATAAAAAAGTAACAATACGTAAACATGTCCATCACAGGACATATCCGACTATCCACTTATTCGTGTAAGTATCATAGATCGATAATAATGATCTTAAAAAGATGGCAGGCAATATGGTTCAACCCCCCCCCCCCCCCCGATGTATATGGATGCACTGTTGACGATGTATGAGTAAACCTCAATCTATGATATTCACTACTGCCATCTTTATATCGGCCTCAAGGCATCACATAATTTTAGACAGAATGAACACGCATTCTCATGGCAGAAATTATAAAATAAATGCTATATGCATGAATAGATGTCTCTGCATACAGTGTCCTTGGGCTTTGATGGGCCTGGTGGTTCATTACGTAAAGTAAGTTGATGGAGCAAGTTGACATGGGCAGCTTGAAGTTCATTTCGTTTTCACTGCAAAAAACAGCGCATTTATACTGCTTAATTTTGAGTGATTCGGCCACTATCTATGAAGCTCTTCATGGGGGAGGAGATAAAACCATGACAAGAAGAATATCAATGTACCGATTTTAATTATTTTTCTCTGGTGGGTACATAAGACATTGATCGTTGAAGTAAGCATGAATTCGATCTGTTTTTTCTTGAGGACATTGTAAACTAACATTTCGGCCTATGGCAAAATAATTGTGGTGTGCCTTCACAAGAATTTTACCGCTCACCCAGTCGAAAGGGTGAATATGGAAGTATTTCGCTACACAATTCAGAGAGAACGGATCAGTTTCTATTAACAATATTTATCAAATGTCAATAGTCCATTTTACTGACGAGTTGAAAAAAGTCTTTCTGGAATTAAATTAATTTTTCCCCCGAGATCGTCAATATGAGACGGGACTATGGTTAGCTAACTTCACTTTCTTTTTTAATTCAATATAAATTAAATAGTTCACGGTGTATCAATTTCAGTCTGGAGAGTCAAGTTGTCACCTTGACAACTGTTTAACAAGCGACCTTGGATGCAGTGACTGGTGATATAATGCACTGCATTTATACAAAATACCGCTAACTGGATCTTTATTTCTACATCTTCGTTCACTCGGCTCCCATCGGTCGCGCAGTGAAGACCGAGCGTGCGAAGATGTTATTTCTAAGTATCACGAGTGTTTCATGTTAATGTACTTTTAATGATGATAAATCATTTTTTGTAATTGTTAATCTAACATGATCTTATATCATTAAGCCGATATTAATTACCAAAACTATATATTATATGATCTTACGAGAAACTTATGGTTATTTCAACCCGCTTAATGATTGGCAATCACATTTGTACTCTCAAATCTTTGACCTCTTCTCAAAATAGAGATATTGTATATTGAATATTGTAAATCATTTTAATAATAGCTCGGATAGAATTTATCAAGATCCGCTGTATCTGATCTATCATTGTCAGGAAGCAAAGTGTTTGATGGATATGTACAGTAATTTCCATTAAATTTACATCAAATGATTTGAGCTTCTATAAGCATTGTTGACGTTTAAACAATACCTTAATTTAGTGATTGGAATTAAAAAAATATATTAACATATGCGAAGAAGCATATACATGAAATGTCCTTGCCCTTGTACCTCCTTGGACTAGTTAACCTGGGTCAGTGTCAGTGATCAATAGCTTCACAAAATAAGCATTTGACAATAGACTAATATGAAAAATGGGAGAATAATTAGACATAATTATTAGTAAAAGTACACTTATAAACATGCGTTCATTTCCCTTTGTATTTGACGATAAGGATTATTGGAACAAGGATTGAAGGTAAATTTACTTTGATAACTAGTTTTGTTAATTTTATTACATATTCATTTAAAATTCAGGATGACCGCCTATATACAACTAACATTTCTAACTTGCGCAGCCGGTATGCGGAAGACATATGATATTTTATTTTGTGATATATGTTCTAAAATCCCCAAGATGTCTCAAAATATCGTGAAATAGCAATATGGAGCATATGTTATGTATTACTAAATAAACTGCTTGTATTGATCTATATGATCAAATTATATAACATTTATTGTACAGCCAACCATTTGATACACCCTCTTCTTTCTTTCAGATAGTATGGCTTGCAGATTTCACCTTGGTAAGTGAGCCTTGAAATGTTTTCTCAATCAATAAATTTTTATGTTGTTGTTAAAAACAACATGCAAAGTTTTTTGAATTGTATATATCTAGCATTCAAACTTCGAAACTAAAAAGATACATGCTTTCGATAAGTCTCAGGTGTTTTAGATTGAGTAAAGGTCATACAGTGCATCAACCATCTTCGATTCTATTTACATTGTACTTTATAGCATTTAATACATATTGTGCGGTCGTAATGTAGCTTTGGTATCCCGTCGATATCGTGTTTAATGTGTCTCAAACTTCAATGGGAGTTTTTGATAATGTTATTGTTTTTCAAGCAAGAATTTAACATTGAAAATCATAACTGCTCAAAAAGTGTATAGATTCAGTTTGATTTTGATATTATTTGTTCGGTATACTGACAGTTTTTTCGATAATTATCCGATAAAGAAGAAATTTAAAAAAGATATTACTTAATATTTTTCGTCAAAGACAGAATATCCTAAACAGCGCATTTTATTTCAAAATGGCCGCCGAAAAATTGAGTGGAAAAAATGAAGTATCGAACGGTCACGTGACCGTTCACGAGAATTTAAACTAGATGATTTTCTTTCGGTAACTTGATTTTATTCATTAAAAATGTCTATTCAACTTTCATCATTTTAATGTATTCGACTGTACTTTTCAAATTATAGTGAATTTTTCTCCGAACCGCTTTTATAACTTGTCTTGCTAAATTTAAACTTAATATATTTTCTTAATTGTTTCAATACACAATTGAAAAGTGGACAAACTTTGTAATGATCCTAAAAACAGTTTGTCAGTAAAGCTTTAATGCTTTAATTTTAAAAAAGTAATATTATTAAAATGGCTAAATAATATATTTAGTTTTACATTCCGTGAACGCGCAATTAAAGAGCAGCATTTGCTTTACACAAAAACTCAACCCTTAATTTAGGGTCATATGGTCTAGGATTATTCATTCACACACGCATCATACCCATTTTTCTTAAATGTGATGAGAAACCCAGGCAGAATTGGACGGCTCAAAATATTTAGAAACCCTGTATAATTCATGTGTGGAAATGTCGCAAATCTTTTTATTTCAGCTCTGACGCTTCTGATGTGTGTCTTCGGGGCGGCAATATCAGGTACTATCTCATAAATCCTATCCTATTTGTAAATGTTGAGTACAATAGTAGTTTAAACTGTACATCAAAATTAGACATATTATTTGGAAATTGTATGTTGGATGTACGTTTGGCCCTAAAATGGCATCAGTACAAATGAAATCATATGATATATATTATTATGTTCAATGATATCTTCAACATAAAAAATAGTAATCACAAGAAGGTATAATACACCTGTATCATTATGGAATGTTTTTTGCTTCATTATTCGTATTTTACAAAATGTATTCGTATATTGAACTTTTGAATTTCTTAAAAGCACATTTATGTTCGTTACTTGAGTATTTTTATTCATTGTTTGTATTTTCTGTTCGTTATTCTGATTTGTTTCGTTAAAACGTATTTTATACTGAAATACATTCAAAAGTCCTCAAAAGGCATTTGTAAGTGTCACATTATATTTCCGTATTCAAATAAATTTAAGTTCATTTTGTACCTTTTTCTGCAAATATATTAGTTTATATCTACGAGCTGAATGTCAAATTTATCAATGAATAAGTACTTGCATTGGCATTTTATTTTTTAATTGTCGAATTTATTTTCGTAACAAGGTAATATGTTTCCGTAAAAGTGCACATTTACTGTTCGTAAATATTGTCATTTGTATTCGTAAATTGCACTTATATATTCGTTTTTCATTGGATCATTGAGGTCACGTGATCATTCTCAACGAGACATGGTCAAAATCATCACCCCATCCCCCTAACAAACATAGAACTCTCGTGTCACGTGACATGTGCCTCGAGACTTGCAGTTTATATTCGTTAACTCACATTTATATTCGTAAAGTTTCATTTTATTATTCGTTAATGTACGGATATTTCTTTGCTTTCTGCAATTATTCATGGGTAATTTGCAAGATTACTATTCGTAAAATAAATTTCTGCGATATAATAACAGGCAACTTATTTGAAAGGAGCACGTACATGTAGGTTATCGCAAACAATTTCAAACGATTCTAACTTGAATTATGAATATTTTCTGATCATGAACATGGGTGTATCTTTTAGATCCATTCAATATCTTCAAGAAAAGTTTCCAAAATTTGATGGTTACCGACTTCAAATAACTTCAAGTAGTGTTATACAAGCCCGTACCCCAATAAAAGTATATATTTTTTGAAAGCTTACATGATGAACTATCATTTAGAACCATATTTGTACAGTTTAAGGGTTTTTATAAGAGTATATGACATGTTCAAACATGGAAAAATAAAAAAAAAATATCGCAAAATTATCTCGAAAACAAGATACACCATCAATACCTTTTTGGGTCTTCTTGTTCCCTCTGATAAGCATACATTCTTAGTTATTAACTAGGCTCAGGATGAGTTCACATAAATTACAGATAGAAGTTGGGCGGTACTCAAAACCAAAGCCAAAACCCACAAGTGAAAGGTTGTGTAGTGAATGTGGGGTAATTGAGGATGAGCTTCACTTTATCACAAGCTGTACAAAGAACTTAAAACACAGAGAGCTTTTGTTTGAAACTTTAGAATCTGATCTGAAACAGTGCAAAGATCCAGATAAACTGTTTGAAACTATTATGTCTAGTAAAAGCTCTCATGTTAACTTACATTTAGCCAAATTTGTATATCACTCTTTTAACAATTTGGAAAATGATTAATATTATGTAAACATTTTTTTAAAACACATGTATTATGGATACACCACACTGATATCATACCCTGACATGTGAAACTGATGTAAAGTAGTTTTGTAGTATGTAGTTGTAGTTTGTAGTTTTTGTACACTGTAGTGACTGATATGTCATTTACATGACATGGTTATTGAGTCAATAAAAGATATATATATATAGTAATAGTGAAAAAATAAATATTACTACATAACAGTCCAGGACCACGCCCCCTAGATTGCCCACGCACCCTACATGTAGATCGCCCACATACTATAGATCGCCCACATACTATAGATCGCCAACATACTATAGATCGCCCACGACTTGTAGATGACCTAGGTGGCTGCTGAGGTTCAAAATCACTGTGGAGAGGTAATATATCGTATAAATATGAAAATGTGTCACTAAAACATCAGATACGTTACTCATAAGTAGTTTTAGGCATGGACACCTGTCATTTTGTGCGTACCTGGCATTTTACAAGCAACTAATCAGAGTCCCCACGTGACCGCGCCATTTGGCGCTATTGGGCACTAAAGGGGATATTGAAGGGGCAATGGACCAATCAACATACTTTTTCAAAAATGTTGACCTAATTTTCACCAAAAATGCAACCTATTATTATATTGTTCAATGCATAATTAGAATGTGCTTTGAGACATGTTCGATTTCTTAAAAGGAAAATTTGATTGCTCCAGGGACTTTAAAGATATTCAATTTGGATGACCAAAATGAACTGAAACCAATGGATAGCATGAGATTTTTCAATGGAGAAATAACATGGGGAACACTTATCTTAATGCAATTAAGTTTTTCTTTCAAGAACTATTTGGTACATCAAAATAAAGAATAGTAATGCATTAAACATTGTAAAAAATGATTGCATTTTTGGTGAAAATGGGGTCAACATCTTTGAAAAAGTGTGTTGATGGGTTAATTGCTAGTTAAATAGCTCCGAGTTTGTTTGAATTTATTATTACTGTGCATAATTTTCTTTGAGATAATGAATTGATCTAAAAGATAAACTTGTCTTCATTGTCAGAAAATAGTCATAATCCAAGATATAACCTTCTGAAATTGTTTGCGATAACCCACGTGCTCCTTTACGAATTATAAGCTGTAGTTGGCGAAAAATAAATTGTTAGTTACAAATATTTCCAGTCCTTACAAACACAAAATGCAACCGATTTAGGGAATTTATTTGTCTATTTGATACATCATATATGTATTTGTAACTTAGGCATTTTATTTGTAAATGTAACATAAATATTCGTATTTATAAGGGAATTTATTGCAAACGAATAATGAAGCAGTTATACATGGTTTGTTCGAGTTTGCACATAAACCTGGATTGTGTACTCGATTGTGTGATTCCATCCACGTCACGTTCCTTCTTTTAATAAATTAAGGTGATCCGAATGACGGTTGTCCCTCTGAAGGTTCGCTGACGGAGACACTGCTGAACCTAGACAATATGAATCCTGAAATCATACAGGTAGGGTTGGATTTTTTAAGATAGTACCACTCGAAATACAACTTATCGATAATTTGTACATTTCGAATAATTTAATGTAAACAGCATTTGATCTTTTCATAGTATTAACAGTGAGTAAACGCAACGTCAGCATATCACATATCACTACGTCCTTCCGTATCAAGTCAAGTGCAAGTCAAGTTGGACTTGTCCTTCTTCCATCAGAAGTGCATCCTATTTTCTAACTGATTGTATTCATTTTGAATCGAATTCACCTCTCTTAAATTTCGAAACGTTTGAATTACGTAACCTTCTCTGGGAGTAGTATTATTAGGGGGTAGAAACGCGTGTACAGGATGAGCCTGTTTTTAGGTAAGGACACACTGGAAAACGATCACAGGCTACCGAGTAAAATTAGATCAACCTCTCTCTGGATCAAAAATGAAGGTCTGCGTCCAGTACTTCTAGTTGTACCAGACGAAAATACTGGACGCGTTTATATCCCCTGATTTTTTTTAATTTTTATATTTCCTTTATTTCATAATACATCATACAAACAGATACAGGGCCTACGCCGAAGCATTATTGGCCCTGTTTACATTTGGGGTTCCCAGTTCTTTACATTATGCAAACAACTGTTCTTATGGCCATCTTTCATTTACATTCAATTACAAATGTAATTAATAATTTAGTTGTGCTTCAAGACATGTTTCATTTATAGTGAACTGTGATTCAAGGTCTTACTTTCATTTATTGGTCACAGTTTTAACGTCTATCATTCAGGTATCACACCAGTGTGTTGCATCCAGGTGATAACATGCGATCCGAAGATAGCCGAGCACACTATCTTATCCTGTTATCTCTGATGCAAGGTTGCCCGCGAACGGCTGCCTTACCTAATTGATTGACGGTAAATGAATTCATACTTGAACACTTATATCTTAACAGGTAGTACAGTGCCCTTGAGCAGCTACCTGGGTTGTCACCGCATTTTCAAAAACGTTGTCGTGTCTAGGAGTACAGTGCCCTTGAGCAGCTACTATGCGACGACACTGCATGATTGGCAGCTCACCTTTCATGCTATCTTGGTTGTATATGTGTATAACTTTCAAAAGCATTGCACACGCTCGGTCAAATTACGTCATAATATTTGATAATAATGTTTGCATTACTTGTACCTTCGACAACGGGATTTAGCCAAATGTAGTAATTGTAACTTGTTAAATATGTATTACAACAATATATAGTATATTATACAATTGTGCGAGTTTATGTTGTCTTTTATAAATAGCATCTTATGGAATAAGTGTGGTTTGTGAAAGACAGTTGACTCCGCCCAACACCGTGAGTTATGGCTCTGCTGACTTACTGTGTTAGCTCTGTGTACAGCAATGTAACGTTCTATTCTTTCTGGTCCTCGGCCTTAGAACAGCTCTAATTCCGAGGCACCTCGTTACGTTTTTGTTTTAGCTATCCGCCATCCACCCCACCACTCATCCACTAATGACGCATTTTGACCGACATTTGGCGCCATCTTTCATTTACATTCAATTACAAATGTAATTAATAATTTAGTTGTGCTTCAAGACATGTTTCATTTATAGTGAACTGTGATTCAAGGTCTTACTTTCAATTATTGGTCACAGTTTTAACGTCTATCATTCAGGTATCACACCAGTGTGTTGCATCCAGGTGATAACATGCGATCCGAAGATAGCCGAGCACACTATCTTATCCTGTTATCTCTGATGCAAGGTTGCCCGCGAACGGCTGCCTTACCTAATTGATTGACGGTAAATGAATTCATACTTGAACACTTATATCTTAACAGGTAGTACAGTGCCCTTGAGCAGCTACCTGGGTTGTCACCGCATTTTCAAAAACGTTGTCGTGTCTAGGAGTACAGTGCCCTTGAGCAGCTACTATGCGACGACACTGCATGATTGGCAGCTCACCTTTCATGCTATCTTGGTTGTATATGTGTATAACTTTCAAAAGCATTGCACACGCTCGGTCAAATTACGTCATAATATTTGATAATAATGTTTGCATTACTTGTACCTTCGACAACGGGATTTAGCCAAATGTAGTAATTGTAACTTGTTAAATATGTATTACAACAATATATAGTATATTATACAATTGTGCGAGTTTATGTTGTCTTTTATAAACCCTGTTAAAGCAGTTACAATATAGGTTAAAATAGGTCACAATGTAAAAATGATAGATCTAGAACATATTTATGAACATGAAAATAATCGTGAAAACGTGAAGACAGGTCAGAGATATATGTACAAATTAATGAGTATTGGACTATTTAACTTCCTTGACAATAGACTGTAAAAATTCGGCTGTTAATTCAATAGCCTTTTTATTTGTAATTTTGTCAAGAGAAGGATCTGCAAAAAGCAGAAAGTCTACCCTGTCTTCCTGTTTTCTATTATTAAAAGAGCTTAGATTAAAGGATGGCAGTCCCCCTAGTTCTCTGTGAAAATTGAGTCTTTGTTAAAAAGAGGGCAATGGAGCAATAGGTGTTTGGTTGATTCAGTAGAGTGACCACATTTACATTTGGCATTTGGAATATTTTTGAAGTTATGTGTAAAAAGATGCTGCCTAAAAATGAGATCACATCTCGTTTTATTTAAGACAATTTCTTTATCTCTGGATAGGTTTAATCTTGGGGTTGTGAATTCTTTCTTTTTCCCATTCAAAAATGTTCTAATTTTATACTTAAATGAGTTGCGTGAGTGTGCTTGTTGCAGTTCATCAGGTAAATTATCCCATAAAATACTGGATAAAGCTGTAAACTTCCTAAGTTTAGCAGATGCTTTGAATGGAATTTTAAAATCATTGCTACGTCGAAGTCTTTTGTGATTTACCTGATTCTTATACTGCTCAAAAACATTAGAAACATATGAAGGCATCTATAATTATTTACAAAGTCACGCATAAAAACTAGTTTTTTTTTCTTTTCTTCGATTGGATAAGGATCTCCATCCAAGACATGCCATCGGTAAAAAAGGTTTCAGTTAAACAAACCTCTTATCATAGCAATGTCGAATCAAAACTGTACGAGATCAAGAAGAAAATGGGGAATTCAACTTTGGTTCAGAAATCAAGAAGACAAAACAGCGTATACGTACAGATCAGTATACTAAATAAACCGATAATGTTATAAGTGGTAATGAATCATTTTGCTAAATGTCTAAAAATCGACAATTTATTGAATAAGTCTATTTTGTAGGCTGAGCTTAAACTTTGCCTCAAGTCAAAAGATAAACAAGTCAGAAAAGCAGCTAATACCGTAAAGAAAAAGAGAATATTGAGAAAATGTATCAAAACTGTTGAAAAACTTGTGAAGGTATATGACAAAGTTCGAAATATCCTATATTCGTTGAAGGAATGTCTGAACAAGGGCACGACAACCACAACTGAAAAAATGATGATTAATGGCCGTACGTATCACCTCTGACATATACTACTTGGTTTTATTGTTTTAATTGAAAACATGTTCACGACTTCACGATGAAATGAAAATGACTGACCGAGTAGATATGATGATACCTTGTTTTTAAAATGTTTACAGAAGCACAAATGCTTTTATTCATGGTGTTAGAGATTTGTCCTGGTGACAGCAACCACTGTAAAAACAAATAAGATCTTTTTGAAAATTTTGATTAGCTCTGTATGCTATAATACACTCTGAATTTGACTATTCTAGCATGTGATCATCTTGAAGCAGAAGGAGGAAACGTTACAATAGACTGGGCGTACCGGATGTACGAGCCTAAATGTGTATACAAGGGTATGGGACTTCTTTTCAGTATAACACAGTGTATGTTTAGAATCATATGTTGTTTACGGTAGATATACTAATGTGTATCTAATGTTTTAAGTAAGTTGTTTTAAATATCATTCGAAGAGAAATACACTCCCCTCTATAAGTTTGGCAACCTTAGCTTCCCCATTGAACTACGTGTTAAAGCCTCTTTACCTTTGAATTTTTATTTACTTAACTCACGATGAAAATACTTATACTGTTAATGGAAACGTAATTTGACTTTCTTTCCAAAACCTCCAAATTTTCTTACTTTTTTCCTCAATTGCAATAGGTCGAAAATTGATGATAAATTTGATGAATTTTTTTAAATCGACATCCCCATGTTAACCAATGGGAAATGGTAGGTTTGCCAAGTCATATGACAGAATATCCACCCATCAGAGTCCTTGCAAAAAATACGAGTTAGGTAGGCAATTGAATTTGCTAACTTTATTTAACAAAAAATCGATACGTTTCTTCAGGATTTACAAAGTTATAGGGCTTTAAAGTCAAAATTGTTTTTCAAAAAACCTCTCCCATTGAAATAACACAGGAGGCGAAAAATGATTTTCAAAAATGACTTTGAAGCTCTCTATCTTTGGTATTCATCAACTAAACAAAATACTTACTGTACAAAAAAGTTAGACAATTCAATTTTCTATATAAAAATATTTTTTGCTGAATCTTTTACTGAATAGATATCCTGATTTCTGATTTGCCCCGAACCCACTATTTCCCATTGGTTTACATGGGAATGACGATTTTCAAAAATTCATCAAAATCATCAATTTTCCACCTATTGTAATTGAAGAAAAAATTGGAAAAATTTGGAGGTATTGGAAATAAGGTCAAGTTACGTTTGCATTAATAGTCTTTTCATCGCAGGTTAAGTAAATAAAAAGTCAAATGTAAAGAGGCTTTAACACGTAGTTCAATGGGGGAGCTAAGGTGGCCAAACTTATGGAGGGGAGTGTACGACTGTGTCATAATTCGCATAATAGGCAATTCCATAACAAGCATACCCGTACCCTCATTTTAGGTAAGCCGTAGACAATGAATTTTGACTTATTTATTGGGTCTGTATGCCTTGTTACAAATATTTAGTTCTAGTGAGGGAATGCCTTACCATGGTTCACGAGATTTTCCCCGATGCCAAGAGGTCGTTATTCATTTCTAGGTTTCTCATTTCTCATTGTGTACCAAGGGGAAAGGAAATGTGAAGGAAATATTCGCTCTACAAATGTACAGTAATTAAGCATATAATTGAAAAAAATATCACAGGATAGTTTATGTCATTTGCAATTGATGAGTGTTCACACAACGGGAAACACTATTTTATAAGCACAACTAAGAAAGAATACTTCATGTGTTATCCATAAGTAATAACCATGACTAACTACTAATTCTCAGGAATAAAAAGTTCACACTAATCATACCTATTGAGAGATAGATAGAGCTTATCCTCGGACCAGTTACGTCTTATCCGTGTGTCATATGACTACTTTGTTAATTAACTGAGTAAAGTATTCCAATTTAAAAGTTATGTATGTTTGCATGCAGCAAGCGTTTAATAATTTTTCGAATATATAATATTGTCCATAAAAGAGTCTGATAATTACAAGTAACTCATGTTAATTATTTTAAAACTATTCTTTACGAATTTATGATAAGTGTTTAATGTTCAATCATACAAATGCGCAGTCAGTGATTGTTCTCCACACTCACCACTCCCCCTTCCTGACATGAACTATTTTGTAAAACCATTGACAGTGTGGAAAGGATTCTTACACTCGAGTGTCAAGGGGGGGGGGGGGCAGTTATAAAAAATATACAAGGCGATGGTTCAAATTGGACAATTTTCAAAACTGCTCAACATGGTGAAAACTTCACGTTTTTAAAGAATGCTTGCCCGGCGAGGGGTTTGCTCTGGATTGAGAGAGAACAAAAACTTTGAATTAGGATTTTTCCTAATACGTTTATCAATAATCAAAACAACCTTTTAAACCGTCTCTCTGATTAGACATCATGCCAATTAATACCACGATTGTGTTGACAGGATTAAATATGAAATCTATGGAATTATAATTTAATGAACTCAATAGTCTAAATGATAAATAAGTTCATAATTTAGTCTTGGCTGACTAGTCTTGCATCATCAGAGTTGGATTGCAAATACCTCCCTAAATCAAATATTTAAAATTTACAAATTTACTAGTGTACGGGGTGGGGAAACAAGTCTCCGTCCAACCACTAAAGTTTAAAAGGAAGACTATAGTGTCCCGTGAATTCATTATAATTATCTTAGACAATAGTGAAGCGGTACAATCATGGGAGTGTTAATTAATTAAATAATTAATTAATCGGAATGCAAGTTTGATTTAAAATAACTCCTTTGGATGATTTTAATTCTACTAGAATGCGGGGAGTGGAAACAAGTCTCCACTCAAGCACTATAAATATCAAAAGAAAGATTTCAGTACCCCTTAACTTCACTCCCGGACTTCACTATTCACCACCACCCGTCCCCCTTCCCCAATTATCCCGTATGACCCCAGAATGTTCGTTTCTGTGCCCCCCCCCTGTTTAACGAAGCCGGTTTAAGCAATTAGAGGCAGAAATAATTCCTAGATGACTTGTCTTTACTGTAATCAAGATGCTACCTAACTGCAGTTTTAAAAGGGATAGGTAATTTATCTTTTGTGATAATCTTATTGATTGGTTTGCCAAATATAAGACCCCGTCATAAGACCCTTGTCTCTTATTGTGAAACATGTGTATGCATCAAATCCGAGGAATATTACTGTACATTGTGTGAAACAATTCCCCTAAAATTTGTCTTAAACTCAAGCAAATAGCAATATATTTCAACATGTGGAAATTATTTATTAACGTAATGTCGGGCACTATAGGTAAACGGGTTTTCAGTTTTGCTCTTTTTTGTCACGCTTAAATTGTGTGCTTTATTTATTTACGATTTGAAATTGAAAAGGTGAATTCACGATCCAATAAATCTTATAGTATCATTTAGTGGTCAGCTTATTGTCGGATTTTAAACTTGATATTGTTTATTGGATTGTTATCTAGATTCTTCTTCTATTTTTTTTATTTGGGAACGTATATTTTTTATTATTAGAGAACCCAGGAAAGCAATACATGTACAACAATTACTATTACTAATTAAGCTAATGGCCACTTGGCTTTGTGTATTTCCATTCTCATTTATAAAGTTCAAAAGACGAGCGCGTTCTTATAAATAAATAAATGAATAACGCAAACCACGTTCTTAAAGTTTTTATTCAGAATCGTATTTTATATTCAGTACTTTTTATTATTTATTTAGTTACAGACACAAACGGCACATATAGGTTTGTTGAAAGACCATTTCTGCGATGACCAAGGAGCGTATTTTGGTTTTATAACGGGGATATTGCTCGAGCTTGAATAACAAATAAAAGGCATGTTATTATTTCTGTATTCTGTCTTTTGATTGTGTATTAAGTTGAGCTGCACGCCAAACGTTAAGATTGTTAAAACACTTAAAATTAAACTTTATTCCTTTCAATTTACATAAAAATGAAACAGATTAGATTCGAATTTCAGTCACACAAGCCACTGGTCAAAGGAAGTACAAATATCTATGTTAATCAAATGTCTGAGAATTTGATAACTGTCGGGGATCCAATGTTTATTTTATTGAATCAAACTAAGAAAAGTATAAAGATGAATTTTAAACTTTTAGAGGGAAAAGTCAAATATGCATTGTAACCCTAAAAATAATTCATTAAAGTGTCGTACAGATGTTATAACATTTATATAAATAAAACAAATAAAGCACAACCCTAATGCCCTAATGAATTCATATCGGCGCTTAACGGCCCTTGCAATAAAAAGGCATCGAAGCAGGGAATGCTTGGTAAATTCTTCTGAGACTGACTTTTGTTATTTCAAAATTGAAATATGCTAAAATCTTTTTCCCTGGGTTTTACTCTATTTTAGATTTACTAGAAAAATGTTTATATGATGTTGTGATGATTGCGTTTGCTTCTCACGAGTTCATTGAAAAGTTCAGTCGTAAAACTTCAGAGATCAAAAGACTAATAAGCCACCTGATTGCGAAAGTTTGATTGCATTTCGATCGCCGGGATTTTACAAACGTATTGTTTAAGTAGCGATCGTGTTCTTGGGATCTTGATAACTTCCTATTTTAAGTTTTGGGTTGGAAGCAATGAGAGTATGTCGGACTTTCTCAAGTCCACATAATGAAACAATAGCCCTTTATATGAGTCCAATCGGAATTTGCATAAACATACCAGTTTTATATTGCAAAAAGAACTGTAATTAATAGCCTACATAAAAGCCATCATGATAAATAAAACATAAAAGCATATATAAAGCCTATTGTTATCAAAACCCATAAATCCTAACCATATAAATATAGTTTTATTGATGACCAAAAACAGATATCAAGGGCGTAGCCAGCTTCCAGTCAGGGGGAAGTGGGTGCGATCGCCAAAAAGGTTTCGGTTTTCAGTCAGGAGGGTACGGTTGTGGCCTAAACAGCACCCATCGCACCCCCCCCCCCTCCTGGCTACGCCTATGGATATTTTGGCAACTTTCACGTTTACCCCGCCCCCTAATATTTTTTGCGCCCCCTCTAAATATCAGACCCGTCAGGCGTTGAGGCATGGAGCAGGATACCCTGACTCCCAAGCTGTGCGACTTCTGGCAACCGCTACACCTATATTCCCGGGGAAAACGCTTTTTCCTTTGAAAAATTGTCAAATATGGTCGCGTGTGGGCAAACACGGAGGAGGAGGAGAGGGGTGCGTGCATTGCGTGCGATCCCTCATCAGTTGTATACCTTATTTTTGTATGAATTTCTTCCGAATAGTTATGCTAGAGGGGTTCTGATATTTATTTCTCTTTTCAAATGAAATAATTTCACCCTTGCCCGACTGACTTGTAGATAATGCACGAATCAAATAGCATGGTCAGGCCCGTAGCCAGGATTTGCCAAGGGGGGGGGGTTCACTTTTTGAAAAATTCCAGGGGGGGGTTCACTTGTGACAATTTTGGTCCAACCCCCGAACCCCGCCCGAACCCCCCGAACGCCCCCCTGGCTACGGGCCTGATGGTGATCAGATAATCAGATTGATTCGTATTTTCGCAATCAGATGAATTAACATCAATTGTTTTCTGTGATTAAAAGGCGGTTTGAAGCTACTTTTACAGGATTTGTAAATTCGCAATCAGACTGGCTCATTTTAATATTTAGTCAGTGCAAGAGGAGGGGACCATAATGTAGTAGAAAATTGTTTTGATTTCGACACTAACCGAATAATTTATCACAATTGTTAAATACGCAAACAGAGACGGCTTAAAAATGAGAATAGAGGCAAAAAACTCTATTCATAAAATGTAATTAAAACCCGGGAATTAAAAGCAATTTTAGACTGTTAGATCTCTTCTGTAATCAAGGTGATGTTGGTACACTTCCGCCGTTAGAAAAACAAAGACTATATAGCAATTAATCCTTTTGTAATCATTAAATGTTAGATTCTTATTATTTTGTTGGACAATGTTCAGACTTCTGACCAAGATTAATTCATTTATGTTTGTATTTAAAAAATAGAATTTCAATCAGACAGACGGTTCTAATGAGTTAGAAAAATACATTGTCCATTTCCTCTCAAGAAGTTTTCAAAGGTAATCAAGTCGATTTGTTTGAGTGTTTAGCATTGTTTTTCATAACTTGATGCTTCCATGAACAGAATGACTTTGAAATGAGTTTTTATAATTTTAGCTTTCTATATGAACGTTGTAGTTATGTGATGTAACATCGCCCCCCCCCCCCCACCCAAATTAAGGGTATACAAATTTTGGTCGAAATGCTTTAACTTGCAATTAAAAGCAATTTTAGACTGTTAGATGATCTCTTGTGTAATCTAGATGATGTTGGTACACTTCCGCATTTAAGAAAACAAAGACTAAGGCAAAGAGAACTAAGCAATTAATCCTTTTTTTATCATTAAATGTTAGATTCTTATTTTTTTATTGGACAATATTAAGACAATTATGTCTCCGATTGTTATGCAGGTATGTGTATAAAATCATGTGAACAACATTATCGTGGAGATTCCCATATTCATTTTCATAATGTCTTACAACTATTTCGCAAATGACATAATCCAAAACAATATAATAATGTGGACATAATATTGCAGAACTGACCGAAAAGAAAGGTGGAACAAATCAGATTAAGATATTTTATTTTTGAAATGCACAAAGGGCAACAGTTCAAGAACAAAAGTTAAAGGCGTTGTGAAATAGATCGTGCTTTTATATGATCCCCTTCTATAGTACCCTACCCTTTGCATTTGTTCGAGTTTCGTCTTCTCGTAGTTTATGATTAGACTCTGCACGCAGCGTAATAGTGCCCCTATTATCCATGTTCAGGGGCGTAGCCAACTATCAGTCGGGGGGGGGGGGGGGTGCGATCGCCAAAAAACAATAACGGTTTTCAGTCGGGGGAGGGGGTTGCGATCGTGGCAAAAGCAAGCCAAAAGATGCAACTTCCTTCAAAATTGAGCTAGTAGCTTCTATCTCTTCTTCTATTTCATGGTTCTATTTTATTGGTTATGCACCGCACCCCTCCCCCTGGCTACGCCTCTGCCTGTCGAGAGACAAAAAGAGAAGCGAAAAGACTGTTAAAACAAGTACTTCCAATAAATACTTTTACAGTTAATGTGTTTATCAACGACCCTGCTTATCAAATTAATAGAATCGAAAACTAAATACTTTCATTACGCAAAAACCGGAGAAATATCTACCTGATTCGCTGGAATAGTCATTAGTCCATATCTGAAGGGAGGTGGAGGGGAATGGGTGGCAACAATAAATGTATATAATAGTCCACAATTCCAATAATAAGTATAATACAGTCCATATAATAATATATACTGATAATAATAAAATGATAATAGTTACTTATAATGAAAATAATATTACTGATCACAAGTTAAAATATCTGAAACCAGCTATGTGCTAGCATAGACTGATAGAATGCAACTGCCCCACGTTGACCTGTGCCTGGGTCTTTGACAGCAGACAACCACGTGACCATCATTTCAACCTACTTAATATTTATGAATGTAAGAAAGCAACGATACAGTCGTCCCACAAAGACTTTTATGATGCATAAAAAATATTTGTGTCTCTTCCCTTGATCTGCTCAGTTGCTAATTGGACAAAACAAATACAATTTGTGTTGGTGTACATGTAATTGATTTATTTAATATTACATAATAATATCAATTAGCAAGTTGGGTAGTCCATATCTGGCCACAAAGATCGCATTGATCAATGAAAGCGAGCTTGTCACCCAACCAGATCAAGGGAAAGGAAAGTGGTTTGTGGGCCGATGTACGTTACACATAGTGGGACTACTATAATTTGCACATTATTGGTAAAGGTTTGTTGGTCCCGACAACAAAATTAATTCAATTATGTATTACCGGTGCGACAGGCGGGACTACTATCATTTGCACATTATCGGTAAACACCTGTTGGTCCAGACAACAAGATTAATTGAAATTAAATATGTTTTACCAGTGCGATAGTCAGGACTACTACCATGTGCACTATAAGGGTAAACATTAATACGGCCGAGAGTTGATAATGTTTTAAAATCATTATTACCCAAACGGCCCTTGTTGGTACTGACAACAAGACTAATGAATCAATTTAATGAGGAGAAAACATAGATAAGCAATTTACTAATACAAACAAATATTATATTTCGACTGACGTCTTAATAAATTAATTGTCATATTGGATAAATTGGACAAAACAAGCATGTTAATTACTCACTTTCGACTTATCGCTCGCAAAAATCAGCGAACGCTTCAGATTTTTGTCGAATTTTAGGTTTCCCGTATCAGAGAGGTGTACTCCTTTTAAGTCATAGAGGCTATCTACATTGTTGTAGAAACCTCGATTAGGGAATACATTAATGCGTCTATTACTTGCTCCAATTTCAGATAGTTTATTATTGAAGAGTAATCGTCTTCTTTCATATTCCCCATATCCAACTTTTGGACATGTCTATATTACAATTTGCATGCCAAGCTATACTTCAAAAATATAGCATATCGTCCTTTAAGGTAAGGTAGAAAATGTGCGTTATTACTAATTATATTACATTATTAACTTGTGTTTTATTACAAAAAAAATAATTCTATGGAGGAGAATACAATACGGTGAGATAATAATGGTAATTCGTATTAAAGGTACAGTCATACGATTGACGACAGTGATAAGATAATGGTAATTCGTATTAAAGGTACAGTCATACGATTGACGACAGTGATAAAATAATGGTAATTCGTATTAAAGGTACAGTCATACGATTGACGACAGTGATAAAATAATGGTAATTCGTATTAAAGGTACAGTCATACGATTGACGACAGTGATAAAATAATGGTAATTCGTATTAAAGGTACAGTCATACGATTGACGACAGTGAGATAATAATGGTAATTCGAATTAAAGGTACAGTCATACGATTGACGACAGTGATAAAATAATATGGTAATTCGTATTAAAGGTACCGTCATACGATTCGAATGGGAAGGTGACCACAATGTGGTTGTATTGAAGAATAGAAAAGAGTTTGACGATTGTGATGTTGGGGACGATGTTGATACAGACTACACACTTGTAGCAGAATACACGCTTAACCAGGTCAAACAAAATTAATTAATTTTCAAAGTGTATTGTTGTTTTTTGTTTATCACATGTTTCTTTTAAGTTCGTAATTTTATTGTATTTTGTTCTTTATTTTGGCATTCAATACCTTAGTTTACGTATTTTACACTCGGAAACAGAGTCAGACACAGAATTTCTGGTAAAAGGGTCGAAGGATATTCTCTTTCCTTCCTAGGATTGTTGGTACGCTATGTCCCTTACTCGGCGTATCAACGGAGTATGTTAAATTTGAGTGGAGAACGTATTTACAGACCATTTTGTGTTCTGACTATACTAATTTTACAAATTTTAATGACGTCACGCCAAGGTTGGGATTTCCCTTTTGCAAAAAACAAATGTTGCAAAATTGTCAAACTAGTAATCGTGTGACAGGATAACCAAATCACACAAAGCAAGGACAAGTCATTTTATCTAGTGACTCGTATTGACAACATAAACTCACGCTTTGCTGTAGATGCATTTATTTACACTGTGATTGATCCGGTAAATGTCAGATTCCAAAGAGGAAGTGGTCCAAATAACTGTTGCCTAACCACTTTAAATTATTGTTCTAGGTGAAAACATATTACTTTGCGTGTGGTGTGAGCATACATTGTTGTCTAACCACTTTAAATTATTGTTCAAGGTGAAAACATATTACTTTGCGTGTGGTGTGAACGATGCTTGTCAGATAGGAGGACAGAAGATAGAAATTCAAGTAATTGAACGCCCAGATGGACCAATCCCGATGTAGCGAACGACTGTACCAGCCATTAAAGACTTTGTAGAGTTATAGAATGTGATCAAATTCTTCACGTTCAAATAAAAGAAGACACTATCAATTTAACTACAATCCATTTTAATTTGGTTGTGTATTACAAGTAATAAAACCTAAAGAATAAGCAATCAAAAGACTTTCTAAAAAATATTTGTTTTTCAAATTAATTAATGAGCCCGACTACTGCAACATATTGGTATGACCAAGCCGGTGACTACATGTATGACAGTAGAGACAAAGTAAATACTGACAACGCCAACAGGCATGAATTTGAAAGCAACATCGTTGTCAGTATACAGTAGAACCTGTGTAAGTGGAACACCCTCCGTTCTGCCAAAAAGCGTTCCACTTAGGAGGTGTTCCGCTTACGGAGGTTTTGGGTTCGCGGGGATTTAACGAACATACAAGATTAAATATAGAGTTGATATGTATCACTGAAAATAAGATTCTCCGATCATTGCAGGGCAGCTATATAGCCTTAATTATCCATTTGTTTTACTCAACAAGGTATCTGACATTCTTAATCCTCCTCATTCTGCCAAAATTGTTTTCTGACATTCTCAATCCTCCTCATTCTGCCGGTCTCAGACACTAAGATAAGGCAATTAAGTTTTAAAGACTTGTTCCTAATGCTAATAATTCATTTGTTTTTTTTAACTGACATTCTTAAGCTTACTTATCAAGTATGAAACAAACAGCAAGAGGTAAGAGGCAAGAGCATCACATGTCCATCTCTTAATCCAATTTGCTGAATGATAATCTTATGAAATTCTAATTTGCTAATTATCAAATTAATTAGTGGTAGCATCACATGTTGATCTCTACAGGAGGTTAATCCAATTGACTATATGGTAATCCATTAAAATCCTAATTTGCCAATTATCACGTTATTACCTGCTTTCATACCCAGGTATCACTGTTGGGGGTTAATTTTGTTTACATAAGTATCACTATTGAAATTTATTGAAAATTGACTGTTCCACTTAGCAGGTTAATTTTTCAATATGGGGTGTTCACTGTTCAAGTTTGGAGGTGTTCCACTTACAGAGGTTCAACTAGAAAACGGCAACTCCACGGAGTAGCAAATCCCAACGAACACTATATAAATCATCAATCTGTACAGTCACAATGTAATATTGACCTTCTACTCTTACCTTCAATAAATATTTTAAATAATTGTAGTATCATGTAACCATACTTTAAAGATAACTCTAAGTAATGGCGAATTTCTGCTCTAGTCAGCCATTTTGAATTTTCAGAGGCGCAAATCAGATAAAAACAATGCCATAATTGTGATCTACTCTGAAATTCCTTCAATTTGAGTATAATATAGCCATACTTTTAAGAGATCATAAAATAATTGCGAAATCCTGCATTAGGCGGCCATTTCGAATTTTTTTAGGCCCGAATCAGAAAAATGCTAGACTATTTGCAATCTACTCTAAATTGCCTTTCATTTGAGTATAATAAAGCTATACTTCAAAAACATCTCAAAATTAATGCAAATTCCTGTTTTCCCAACCCCCCATTTACGGCCCCTGGGGGTCAGAGTGAAAAACCCGGGATATATGTGAAATAGATAGATGTTGTTAATATACTACCAAAATTTCAAATAATAATATTTATTATTTTAGTTTAAAATGAAAATGAAAGATTTTTGCGAAAAATTCGCGCCATTTTTTAAACTGGCGGCCATCTGCGTAAAACCATTTTACCAATATACATCTTTCCACCAAATATGAAGAAAATCTGTCGACTAGTATTCGAGTTATCTTCCGGACAGACGGACGGACTGACTGACTGACTGACGGACAGACGGACGGAGGGCTTCACTATATCCCTACAGAACTTCGTTCGTTGGGATAATTAACATTAAGTCAATGGGTTTTTAAAACGGGTTTTTGAAAAAGTGTTCCACTTGAGAGGTGTTCCACTTACAGAGGTGTTCCACTTAGCAGGTTCTACTGTATTTAGCATATAACTATTTTTTCAATGTGCACGAATGTGAAAATAAATTTAAGGCTTTATGTTTTGTAATTTGACACACCTTGTATACCCTGCTATGTATCTGCGTGTACATATTTTGAGTGAAAAATAAAGCATTAAAAACATTCCTGTCATACATCGTAAATTCATATTTAATGGATGCAAAATAACTGTCGACATATCAATAGCGCGTTTAGAGATTTCAATAATTAGTCTCAAGGCGTGCCAATACTTTTTGTAACACTCTTAACAGGTCTTTGCACTGTATGTGCTTATACGTGCTTAGAGATGTCAAGAGTTGGATACATCGCGTGCTGTGAGGTGTCAAAAATTGGCACGCTTAAGAACCCGGTTTGCTTAGACTTAGTTTCTAGACGTGCCTTGAGTTTCTCTTAAACCAGTCATGAAAAATTGTGAAAATTTCACACATCGTCAATTTAATGATCATCTTTTGAATGGTAACGATAAAAGGATGGGTATCGATATGGCGAACTTTTTGAACACACGTTTCTCTTAAACCAGTCATCAAAAAATTTGAATGGTAACAATATTATTTGTAGATGTAAATACTTTTCTCTATATTGTTTTAGAAAACACGTCGGACACTTCTTTCGATTTTGGTATCATATGTTCGGAATGAAATATAATAACAACTTTTGATTAAAAATGATTTATACCATTTGGGGTAGGGCGTTTCAAGTAGATAAAAATGTGACATGATTTAGAATTAATAATTTCAAATTCAAAACTTACTCATGAGACAATCCTGTCTATAAAAACAACATCTTGCTTCAATGAATTCTTGACGAAATTCTGTTACAAGGTAAAATTTGGGGGAACTTTAACAGGGGTTTCGCACGGACCCCTCGAACCCTTGGTCGCTACGAGCATGAATTGGCAAATATACGAGTTAAACTGGTTATGTAAAGCACAAACACGATACAGTGGGGAGTCTATTTGTAAATCAACAAAATAAAGAGAGCATGTCTTATATAATGGTATAATATATTTAGTAAAATACTTGTTTTATAAAATAATTATATAGTAAGCTATGTTGTTCTAAATCCTTAAAAAATGTCAGCTAGTCAGCAGAAAATGTCTGTAAAAATAACATTTTCAGCGTTCAGTTATCCATTATTTGGATAGTTGTAACTTGTTTTAGTCCGTTTCAACCAAATGGATAATTTATGTTCAAATGAGTCCTCCCTTATTGTAAAGCAAAAAATGGTAGTACTACGGTAATGAATCGCAGCACTTGTTTTGTACTTGAATATGCTTTGAACGTGAAGATATACAAATAATACATTAATATTCCATACTCTTTGCATTCGTTTGACTTCACTTCTTAAAAGAGAGCTTCGTCTTCACTCTTTCAAACTAAAATAAACCTGTGAACTCACCGCGCCAATCAGTGTTCGTCGGCCAAATTTGACCGACGTTCTATATATGGTCATTCCTTCTGACGTCATCGTTGAGCCCGGAATTGACCAATGACATGCGCATATTTAATTAGAACGCATTTAGCGTATGTTTCTTCAAGCTCGCTGATTGGTGGAAGAAAGGTCAGCGCGTAGGTCAGAAGTGATTTATTACCCAAACTGTCACCGGTACCCATCGTGGGGGCGGAGCTACTCAACTGTAATATGGTCTCTACTAGGCAGAGTGTAGTTTAACTAGACTCTGCACGCAGGGTAAATATTCCACTACCTTAAACTCAAAAAATATATTGCAACATACATACAATGATGTATGATAATAATATCGTTATAAAGTGAGTCTATATCAATGCTCTATGTAGTCTTATTGCTCGTCCTTATCCTTTTCACGTCACTTGTTGCCAAGCTAAGCGTATATGTCTAACATCACCAATTAAGCATACATGGTCATTTGCATAAACTGAAAAAAAGAAATAAGCACATGATAGATTTACCTTATGTAGCACCGACCAAATTAATCGAAAATCGAAAAATAACGACAGCTTTAAATAATTTTAACTTCATGACTTTCTGATTTTGTTTAATCATATGTACATATAAAATACAATTTAACATGGATGCAATTAATTTAATTGGAAATACAATAAGAAGGCGTTTAATTGAGAGTAAACTACATGTTAATAGTTTTGAAATCAAATGAAGATCTTCAGTAGCATGCTATAAGCGGCACCTAAGTTCCAATTTACAGTATGGCAATGTAATGAAGGCGTGAGGACGATGCTATTCATGCTTTTTTATAATTAATGTAACATATTTACAGTTTATGGTGTCTATGACCGTGACAATGACTATAGGTTAATAATGATGTAAAATAAGCCAAAAGAATATTGCACTGCTTAGCTGCAATTAAACCTTTCGCGATCGTGGTTCGCTTTTTAATCCAGAAGGTACGGAAATATGCACTAGTACTCAAAAAGCCCTCCAAAAGGACAAAATTTAATTGGTCAATATTTTCAAACGATGCAACAATGTTATTTGGGTGACCCGAAAGTTCTAAATCAAACTAATTACACAATTTTTGTATTTACACCCGCACGCTAAATAATACAATGGCACCATCAGAAGTATTGTTCTTTTTTGTCATCGCTTTAATGGCCAGTATACCGAGTATAATCAAGAAAAGCTTGTACAATGACCAAAACGAGTACTGAAGATTTGCTTTCGGACACTGAACCGATTGACCTAGATAATAGCGACGCGTCTTTTTTGGTCAACTGCTCAATTGTTTGTGGGTTTCCAATGTAACTCTATAATGCAATTTGAAGATGAGTACTTTTATTCTGTTGTTGCATCGAAGTTGCAGTTTGTGGTGCGGTAAGATTGGAATGAAAGTGTTGAAAGTCGAATGAAATTATTTTTTCCAATATGGCGACTAGTCAACTGATCACGTGACCCTTTTTCAGGAATATTTTCTTACTTTTCAATCATTGTTTTCACTACGCTATGAACAATGGAAAAAATATCTGTTAAATAAAGATTAATAAGAGATCAATCGTTTCTGATAATTTTTCTGTACTCCCGTGCGGGAACGAATATATAGATTGAAAAATAGGTGTGAAAATCCCCATGTTCAATCTATGGGGGAAAACAAGGAAGTATGAATTTGTTCCTCTGCGAACTACATCATGGGAAATATTTTGATCTTATGAGGAAAATATTTTTTCTATAGCTGTACAAATAGATGTAACCACTTGTTATTATTTGTTTTGCTTGAGTCAGACTTCAATAGGCTTCAATGTTGAAAACTTGCAATGCTAAAGTCGATCGAATCTGTCCAAACTCAAATGTCACACTAAGGGATAATCCGCAGTAATGTGCATCTATGATTAGTCATGAGAATGTTAGTTGTCGAACGAACAATCAAGGATTTTAAGGAATTTAAACATTGCATCAATAGAGATTTATAAGATTATAAATCATAAATACAAGGTGGCCTAAAACTAAATTCACTTTCTGATATCCAAAAAGCATTTTGCAGTCTGTATATGTGAAAATACGGTCTGCATGTTCCTTCAACTGATACTTAAGGATTTGAAAACTAACGTGCAAATGTTTTGTTTAAGTTGAGTGAATAGACTACTGTAAAGATATGTTGATTGAAAAACATACACTATTCAAGCGTGCAAGTTCAAAACGCAATGTTATAATCTAAAATGCACAATGATGTGAAAATAATAAAACAATAAGTCGGAGAAATGCGACCACACTGTTTTCATAAAATTGATGATTTATTAAATCCGAAAAGCTCAGATTTGTGTTGCAAACTAAAATGGCGTCCACAGGGGTTCATATGGTGCCACCGCCCTTTTTGAGCCAATCGCTGGGGATTTTGTTCATGGTGCCGAGGAAGAAATTCGGATCGAGAAAAGAAGAACTATAACGTGCTCTGGTGAAAGAGGTGGAGCTAGGTTCCAAGTGCAAGCTATGGCGATGCAGACTGTTTTTGTTGTATTGTGTTATGTAGACGCACACCCTTTGAAAAGAATCCTGTGAACGCACCTGTATGATTACCTTTTTGTCATTAATCAAGGGATAGTTTGACATAATCAGTTCATTGTAATTTTGCAAAAACAGTGTGAGACAAATCTACTCGTAGTTTAAGTCTTAACCTTTCTGTTTGAGATTCTTGCTCAACTATCTACGAATACATGGTCGTCTGCATGAACTACAAATAAAATTAAACTTGTTGCATTTATAATACAGGTTGTTCAATAAGTAAAGCTAATTTTATGTATTCATCATCAATCATTTCAAGAGGAACAACATTTGAAATGTGAATATAAATTCCAAAATATGGTTAATGGCATAGAAAGAGGAATAGTGACAGCTTCCATAGCAACTTGGAAAAGGGAAAGGGGTCAAAATTCGCTTTACTTCACGTATCATTATTATGAAATAAAAATATGAAAAAAAGTTTGAAGGAGGCAACAAAAAATTGAATTTAATACTTCTTCAGTATAATCGTGTAATATGTGACATATACATTTATCATAACAATCGTAATTGTGACAGTAGTGGTTAAGGTGAAGCCATGCTGTTAGTGGTACACTGAAGATGTTTAAAGATGTTGCAGACGTTGGAATTCCATATCTTCTTGAAAAGTAACGTGATCACCAAGTCAAAACCGCATATAATGAAAATATGATTGATGAAGTTGAATAATGTGAATAACTGGGATATAAAGATGATCAATGAAAAGAAAGTATACCATAAATAGAAGAAGTGACTGTTAATGCCTTGGTCACAATTGCTCCGATTTTCACTACGGCGCCCGGCCGAATGAGTATTTTGATCAAAATTGAATACAATATTGAACAAAACACGCAATCGGTCGGGCGCCGGACGATGGATCGGAGCAAATGTGACCCAGGCATAACCGAATGATTGTTAGCCCATAAACCCTCATCTTCGACTGAAGTTGAAGAAACTGAAACCTTGTGAATCAACATGATAAACCTCATATTGTTAGAATGATAATGGTGATAATGCTATCCAAACTAAGGTGTATTATATATTTAATCATCTTCGGTGTGTAAGCAGGTGAAGATTACTAGCATGTTGATATACAATATCAAAATTGAGTCATGAAGACACTGTTGCTCACCTCGTCCATTTGGAATGTTGACGTTCCATCATCAGTCTTATTGCTCATGTAGGTGGCTGAAATCCAAATGTATATTTGTGTGTATCGCAGTATAGTATATGGCGGTTTCTTCAATAACCTCAGTAACTGTACTTTCATCTATAGTATTTCAGTTGTTAAATTAAGGTTCAGTACTTTTTGACAAAAATGGGGGACATGTTCATGTCTGTGTCCGTGTCTGTGAATGCAATGTTCACGTGTCTGTTGATTTTATTATTGATTTGGGCATTTGGGCTGTTTTCTACATGCATTTTCCTTTCACAGTTTCTAACCAATATGTATTGCAACGGGACGTTTATTCATAACTAAAACAGTCTATTTCAATAGACCTTTCCAATAAATCCTGAAAATTTTTGTAGATTAAAGAAGCAAAGATATATTGGCTTGATTGATGATGATGTCATTTGCTGTTGGTAGCAATCTGTCCAAGCAAAAGTAGGATTTTCTTATTGCTAATTTTGAAAAAGAACAACCTATGACATCATCAATGTAGCATCAATAACTCCTATGAAAAAAGTGAGAATTTTATTAACATACATGTACACCAACCCATTCAAAATGACTTAGATAATCTTGCTTTATGGGCTTATACCTGGAAGATGAATTTTAAAGCACAAACAAGCGCCGATTTGATTTTCACGGGAACTAGAAACTTACTTATTGAACCTCCCTCTTTACATCTAGGAGATGAACTGATACCAAGATGCAACAGTCATAAGCACTTGGGGCTAATTCTGGATCAACATTTGAACTTTAATGACCATATTGATCAACTTATCACTAGAGTAATTTCTCTAATGAGACCTTTAAAGAAACTTAGCAAACTTCTTAAGAGTAAACACTTGGAAACAATTTACAATGCTTTCATTATGCCACATTTTGATTACTGTGATATAATTTACGGTAAAGCTTCAAATTTTAAACTTCAGTGTTTAGATAGATTGCACTACAGAGCAGCATGTTTGGTTTCTGGTGTTATACATGGGTCAAACACTGCTTCTGTTCTAAGTTCCTTAAACTGGAAATCCCTATCAATTAGAAGAGATGAGCATTATAAAATGTTTATGTTTAAATGTAGGTACAATTCTTATCCACCTTTCATTTGTGAATTACTTCAAACCTATGAAAATACTCAGGCTAGGCAACTGAGAGATACAAGACATAACTTAATTCCTACAAAAGCTAGCAACTCATTCCGGAGGTCAACTATTTTGAATGGAATAAGAATATGGGACAATTTACACCTTGACACGAGAAGAGGTCAACCAATATCTCGCTTCAAAAGATTAGTAAGAGATTACAGGAGCCCTGTCTCCATGCTACCCACTACCAATATGGTAAACGAAATGCCTAGATATGTTGCATCTGCTTTTAACAAACTCAGAGTGGGTCTCCTTTTAAAATCACAGCTATATGCTCATAATTTCACCAGTGTTAGTGATCCCTTTTGTAAATGTGGATTACCACAAACACCTTCTCATTTTATCTTAAAATGTCCTCTGCTTGTAAACGAGCGTGAAACTTTATTTGCAGGACTGCGAACTTCAGATCTTCATCTTTTGGTTCAGAATTTGAACACAGTTGACAAAATTCAGTTTCTTTTGTATGGTGATGAAGATTTAGATAATTCATTAAATGAAAAATTAATAGAACTTATGAGTCATTTTGTTAATCAAAGTCTGAGCCAAATTGATCGGTTTGGCTAATTTTTGCATGCATGTGTTAACACATCCCTGGCCCATGGGATTATAGTTTCT